ACTTCGGCATTTTCTCTTTATTCAGATATTCGTCTTTTGTATTCTCTCGTTCGAAATGTGTTCTTTTTCATTCTTTTGCACACAACATGGTTCAGCACACCGATAATAATTTCCCCTGCACAGATGGGAATAACATGTTGTAAATGACTAACCTCATTAAAATGCTGAAAAAATATCGTAACCACATTTTGATTATTCGTGCATACACATTGAATGTGTGTATCGAGATTTTGTGCCATGAGTGTGCTGCTACAGTTCATCAACATTTTCTTTGAATCACTGTTGGTTATTTCCTAATCAGAGCGTAATTTAATAAGATGAAACGATGTTTCGTTTAATTTGATCGAATGACGTATGTACGGACAGTTCCGTGACCAAAGCGAGAGAGACCTATTTACACTCGATTTCATTTACTGTTCAAAGACGAAACTGGAACTGAGTCATTAAAACTTTCCGAATTATCTTTTCTTCGAGAGTAACTGTTTCCGTCGGAATATGACGTACATGCGTACTCATTTTACGATTATGAAAAAAAAAAATGTGCGGGTACCAGTGGTACCGTATACCACATACATACGAACAATAGATAAACAATTCAAAGCGCGTAAAAAAGTTGTGGGTTACATTGCACTGAAGCAGAAAAACAAATTTAATTTAAAAACAACAAAAATTAAATCGCGACCACTACACGTGGCACCAGCGCGACTTTAACAGCCCCATAAAAATCATTCTAGCCGCATACTATTTCCAATGCCATGACTTTTAACAGCAGCAAAAGAATTTGTACTTGTACCTTATAACATTGGCGGTCGCGTAAATATCGTCGTCGTCGTCGTCGTTGTAATACAAATATTTTCGCAGTTTCTGGTTGTCTTTTCAAGCACACAATGATAATACTCTGTTGTTGAATAATAACAACGACCACGAAATTGAATGAACAAAAAAAAGAGAGAATAAGTGACGCAAATCCATCGAATGACATATAAGAGATGAGAAAAAGAATGAGACGGTTTTTTTGTTTGTTTCAAATTCTGCACTTACTGGATGTAACACGAGAGTCTGTCAACAGTGCTTTCGCTTCAATATCAATTGTTTCTATGTGCAAAATATCAAATTTCTTCACACTTCTTAGTTTCCAATATAGAAATAATGAACAGAGTTCCACTAAACAGTTTTCACTCGATTTGATTTTAATTCGATGTCAATCCGATCAACACTTGATTCTCGTCAAATTTCCGGAATTTTAAAAAATGATTTCCAAACATTCGAAAGTTTTATACAAATGAACATTTCGATTCACGTGAAACACTGGTTTTTTTCTTTCTCTCAACTTTATACTTCCTCTCTTGTAAAATTCAAAAAACGAACTGACTGACAATATTTAAATCGCTGCGCGCGAGAGGTGCGAGCGTTGAATAAAATGAAAGACAGTGTGTCGTATTTGTTCATTCGCAATATTGCACACACAAATAAAGCGCTATAGCGCGCACATTATATTGTATCACAGCAACACCCATACGAGCGTCATTCACTGTTCGTAATCGGTTTTCTTTCTTCTTCTTTTTTCCGGTTTCGTCGGTTATTTGTTGGGCCGTCGTTTAAAGTTGCCGACTATGAATGAGTGAGCGAACGAAACGAGAGACGACCGACGCTCTTGAGGTGAAATCGCACACGAACACACATCAAATTCCAGTTGATTAACACAAAAACCGATTCACATACACACGCAGTATTATACACATGTATTTAATCTGATATCAATGGAAAAGTGCAAATACACACTCTCATCGTTCAAATCTATGACGAGTGCTTGATCAATTGAATCAAAGCCGGAGTAACGATCCTCTGATAATTCTATTCATCATCTATCGTAGGTTTTTCATTTCTATCACTCACTCACTATGCCATACACAAACACTGTGGAAATAATGAGAAAAAAAAAATTCACTTGTACTATGTACCTCATAATATTATCTATCGACCTGCGTTGTATTGAAACGGTTTGCTTGGTTTAGTGTTTATAAATAAATATGATAATCATGTTAAAAAGGCGAGAAAGAGTGGGAATAACAGCCAGATTACACAATAAAGTCTAATCGAATGGAGAAATATTATAAATGGTCGTTTTCTGTTTGCCACTTTCCAAATCACATGCTCGCCAGATGATGATTAAACGGAACTCTACGTAAATAAATGAGCACTTTCATTCGATGTTTTTCGGTCATTTTGACGATTATCTATGCACTTGGATCCGCTTGACAAGTTGACGGTTAAACAAACCACAGCGAACTGACAACGTTTCATCGCCATTCCATGAAAACTGTCTATGTTATCATAGTGTATATATATATATATGTATATGGCCATCAGCCGAAAGAGGTGAAACGTACATTTAAATGTATTTGTTTTTTCCAAACGTATAATACAAGTAATTAACACTATTAAATTATATGTGTCGTGGTAATGAAGCTTTGCGAATGGGTAAGCGTGTGTTAGGCCGACTATTTTAATTAGACGGTCCAAAGTTTATACATTCAAAACAGAAAAAAAAGAACGAGACAAGTGAAGATCAGACTGACCCGGCGCGGCTTTGTCGTGCATCCTCAATTGGAATTACAAGGAAGAAAATATGATAAGACGATCTCGTGGTCGTCTTTCGCTGGAAAACGTCATTCAAACACACACACACCACACGTGCTCATTTGAATATGAACTGTTGACGAGTGAAAAAAAAATTCCCATGCCTCTCATCTGGAATATTACCGAGATTCATGTTAAGGATTTAAAACAAAAAAAAAACAACAAATTTCACCAGATCCATGTGAATACGTGACATCTGGCATGGTATTCACATGAAAAATCGTCATTTATTCGAGTTTTATATGTTTACACTCATTCATGACGTCTTCATACGTGAAATCATTCTCAGTCCATTCACCAGTCAAATCTCTTTTGGAAAACATCCAATAAACTTGTCAAAGCAAACACATCACGTCCACACCGCTACTATTTTTCAATGCACGTCATTCAGGGCTCATGATCTTAAAAGCAAAAAACTTATTTTCATATGGCTCGTAGCTGGTCTAGAGGTAAATGGTTGGGTATAAATAAAAACGACATCATTGTGATGATCGGAACTGTACCAATAAATTTAAGGAATAAATCGAAACCAGTTTGAAGCCGATGGTTCTTCGTAGATAACATCGTCTTGTTTGTGTTTACATAGAAATCGAGAAAGAAAACCGAACAAAATGTCTAAATATCCAGATCTTTTCGAATGTTTACGTGCATCTCAGCACATCAGGTATTTCCAACGATGTTCGAGAAATGGAATGAGAAAAATCAAAAACAACAACAGCAACACCTTCTAGTAGTTGATTAATTGATTGTCCGAGAGTGAAAACGCAACTTCTATTCACAACACATATAAGTGAAGTTGTTACACTTACTACATACCGATGTTACACTTTAAAAAAATCTTTTTTGTTGTTACACTTTGAAAAAATTCGATTGTGTTGTTTCATTTCAATAAATTTTTTATTTTTGTTTCACTTATATGTGTTGTGAATAGAAGTTGCGTTTTCATTCTCGGACATTCAATTCTAGATCTTGTGTGAGATATTAAGACTTTAAGTGTCTGCTTTTGATATTCACGGCGATTATCTCATCAATTGCCTGCGACGAATTGTCTGCCTAAAGAATCGATCAATAAATTATTGGCAATCTATTGCAATCTCATTATGCATCATGACCAATTCCACTTGATTTATGTTCAAATTGAGATTTATGCTCTCCGCTTTTTTTTTCTTCACTTCTATACATTTCATGCATTTAAATTTTCCCATTTAATGTCATAATAATAACTTAGCAACGACGTAAATAATAGCAAAACTGTGAAAATTGGCTTATGATTTATTTTAGCATGGAATTGGTTTCATCGTACGCAGTTGGAATCTATTCGATCGAAAAGAAGTATACGTCTTGTGTCATGAAATGCACACTGGGCACCGTGCATGCAACAAACGGTATCGAATTGAAGTCAGCGTGTCGCTAGTTTTTTATAGAATACTACGTGGAGTATTTTTTTTTATTGGTTTTGCTTTGCATTTTTATTTATTTTTCCAACACCCAACACTTGTATTTCGATTTGCAGAGGCATTTTTGCAGTTAGTCTTACGTTTCGGTTGTCGTTTTTCTTTTGCGAAAAACCAATATCGCCACGATAAAGATTTGAGAAATTCGAATCAACTTACATATAATCCAACGTGAGATTAATATCAAAGTCCATCCTTCTATCACGTATTTTTAAATATCACATACCTGAAATAAAAGGATAAAACATTGATTAACTTCAATACTTTCTGATTGATGGCAAAATTTACATAAATATGAATTAATATTACAAACAGGTAGTGCGGTATGATTGGGGTTAAAACAAAATTGATTGAATCAAACCAAACGAGTCTAGCCGAATTCTCTGCAATTGTTTAGTTTTACGTAATCGCATTGCATAAAACGATAAAAAAAATTGAATAAAACAAAGTGCGACAAAAATATTTAACATCGTTAACATGCATAATTCGCTCAATTGAAACGACTGAGTCGGACGCAGAGGCAAAAAAAAAATGTTAATGCGAATGAATTACAGCAATTGGCATCAAACCGCATGTATTTCTCTGTTTAAATTCGACTTGATCAAGTAACGGTTTTGTCGTTGCACTCATGCAAAGCCAACAACATTGCTGAAATCATGAAGTCACATTTAATACGTTTGCACTTGTCATATGTGAAGCACGTGATGAAAAAGGTTAACGTTTTTTTTTTAAACAATTCCTATTCGCAAATTATCAAGACGATTGATTTAATGTTCTAAATAGGCTGTAATCGGTTAAAATTTGCCGGTAACTTTCCAAATCGAAAGATGTTATATTTTTGTTTCGGCGAGAGCTATAAAGGAAAAAAACGCGTTTAAAATATTTTCTTGGCTTGAATTCCGTTACCTTTTTCTTAAGCGATGCCCTCTCTTTCGGCTGAATAATGTAAAGATCAACAATACCCAGCAAGCAGTCGTCACAACGACATACGTCTTCACCGAGCATCGACGATGTGCAGGAGCCAATGCTCGAAACTGAATCCATTGAATCGGTTCGAAGCAATCGACGACCAAGCAATCCACCACCTTCAGCCGAGGCGGCCTCGATTTTTTTAGCCAACAGTAGTTCCATAAGTGTTTTTGGACGCGTCGACGGTGACGAATTACAAAACGTCATTTTGACAAGTTTTCTGTTACTTTCAAATGTATTTTAGTACAATCGACGAAAAAAAAAAGCTCCGTGTTTCTTTTGGATCTGCGTCAATAAAATCCATCAAACATTAATTTCGTATAACATGAAATAAGCGCAGAAAATATCTGTTTATTGGAACAGATGCAATATCTCAACGACGATCAAATATTTGCAATAAAAATGACGTTAATCAGATGATTTTAGATGATTAGGTAAAACGGATTTTTTTTTCTACATATTTCGAATCTATTGAGCCAGACTCGCATTTTCAATGAGCCAATAAACTTTATCAACATATATATCAATAAAGAAATGAGATAGGCCTTGAATTGGTGTATTGAGATTTGTCTTGTTCCTCGTAATGACTGCAAACGGTTGGCATGTTCGTTTCCATCCAAAATTGGATGTGCTCAGTTGACAGGATAATTTCTGCATTTGGACTTGTTTTTCACTAGTGCTCGCAATATTTTATGGACGTTAATTAAGCGTAAGCAATTGAAATGATTGAGATTGGTCTCAACATTGATAAATGATTCTTTTACCCATTCATGGAATCTCCTGTGAGATTAATTCATTGGGTGGGAAGGACTACCAATATCAAACGATATGTGTCCACCTGTAATTTTAATTACAAATGAATCGGCTGTCAAATAAAAAACCGCTTGTAGGAGCTACATTTGCCATTGACTATAATTGGCGTTCAATTCAAATCGTTTCAATTTATTTACGCTTATTCCGTGACGCGAGTAAATTAACGCCACTTTGGTCAAATTGTGTTTTTAAAAAAATAAATTAACCGATGCAAACGAGTAATAAATAACACATTTGTTATAATTTCAGTCATACAGTTGGAGAGCGGGTCTTCAATTGAAATGATTACATTTGGAAAAAGTGCGAAAACCAATCATGAACGCTTCCATTTTAATGCAGAAAAAAAAGCTATGTATTTATCAGGCGGCTGGAGTAACTGGAAAAGAGTGCACCTAAATGCTCGCCGAGACGCCGAATGCAAACTGTGAGCGGAGCGGAACGTGACATGTTGCAGTCGGCAATAAATGGGCGGAAAGCATAAATAATCGCATATAATCGGTTATTTAATGTAATCCACTATTTTCATGTTCGAGCACTGCTTAACACAACATGCGTGCATTCGCACATAATTTATGAGTGTCACACTAAAAGTAATAGGTAAGCAACAACCGCGTGTCTATGATTTCTTTCAGTTTACTTGGGCTTGTAAACGTTTTTTCGTCGCGCTTAGCTGTTTTTGTTGTTGTTGCTGTTGTTACTGCTGCTGCCATTTTTTTTCCAGTACAGAGGGGGCGGTATTTTACAACAAGCATTTATTTTGCTGCACCGGAATGAGAAGCAGTTAACCATTTGCAATCAGATTAAATTATTCGATTTTAATTTGTTTAACTCGGTTTTGTTTATTGACCAAAAGAGTATGCTGCATGCATGGGCTTTCGGTCGCTGAATAGTCACGGAGACATTGAGATACAACAACACCAACAAATGAGCGTATGGAACGATCAGTATCTACATGCGTTACGTTTTGCTTCGGAAAAATATGTGACATTATTTTTTTGGTTATTTCAAGTGAACTTCTGCTCCGATGCATTGACGTCACATTGCTTTTATCAAAACTTTCGATCAACGTCGAAATACGAATTCGAGTTACATTTACAAATTCGATTGAACTGTCCGCGAACTCCAATTACGCTTTCAATTTATTCAATGATTTTTATCTGTATTCGCGGGGCGACATAATTGTTTATTGAAACATCAAATGACACGCGGGCTCACTCTTTCGTTTCACATTCTATATTTAAAACTGAATTTGTTGACATGACGTTGACACCGAAAATTATATGTTTTGTATAAATAAATTGCATGGAAACGTCAATGGTCATGTAAATTACTTAATCACTGCACACGAACTATGTGCGCGCAAACCGAAAATCGTCGTTCGCTGATTTTTTTCCACTGAAATCTACAAGTGGTTTCAGATAAGAGATTCATATTTGATCGCAGCAAAAGAGATAATATTGCTCTTCACGAGATTAATACAGGAAACAGGTAAATTCCAGAGGTACACAGTAAACAGTTGTTGAGTTGGCAAATAAAGAAATTTATCGGCTTCAAAGAATGCAACAGAAACATGTACTTGAAGAATGTAGGAGTTGTCGATGATGACAGCTCCACTTAAAGTGACAGCACAAAATGATAAACTCCCTTGCAAAGAGACCACACGCAAATATTCTTATTATATGTTTGAATGCCTTAAAACTGGCTTCAAATAACTCAAGATTCGCTCTATCACATTTTTTTTTCACAAAAAAACTGGTAGGCGTCAATTTTCAACGTAGAAATTGAAAATATTGAATATCAAACGAGCTCATTCGTGTGTCCGTAATTCAGGAGGCGATTGCCTTTCCTCGGGCAAGCATTAAAATAAATGAAGAAAATGATAAATGTGTGCAAGTGTGAGTGAGCGAGTGAGTTCGTGTGTTTGGCAGAGTCGAATGCTAAAATCTTCGACAAACAGACTCCCATACATTTCCCCATAGTTGCGATTTTTCAAAACTGAAGCTGCTTGCACAGCGCCAACTGAAAGCGCATAAAATTTTATTGATTTTTACGAGACAAATTATTAATATTTCTGCAGACACTTTAATCAGTGCACTTAAATTGGCAGTGCCTGAGCGAGTGAATAAAATCGGAGCAGTCGAATGCGAGCAGCGAAAAAAAAGGTAGAAAAACATTTACCTACATGAGCAAATAACTTCGCGAAACCATTTGAATTTTATGTAAATTTTTATCAACTCCAACGGTAAAATGGATTAAATTGCAGACGTCTGGCTGGTTTTGTCGATATACCATTCCATGTTTACAGTTTGTGTTTCTCGTGCAATTTCAATTGCATCGAAACTTACGTCGAAACGCATTTTCGCCCAGAGTTTGAGATGTGGTTTCAGTTTTTCTTTTCAAACTGTTTTTTTTTTCTTGTGCAACGCATTGAAAATAACAAATTGGAGATGTTACGAAAAATAACCTATGCATAAGGAATTCAGTGCGTGTATGATATTATAATAACAATTTCAATGGAATATTTGGGTTTGTTCAAATAATCACATTTTGCATTGTTATTCATTCTCCGATCGTGTTCTCAATCAACTGAAAATGCTCCGTTCCAATTATCGTCTGTATTCGAAATATGAAAATGTGCGCCTAATTTTCATGTCAATGACACAACCAACAGTCATGTGATGCTTTTCTGTTGTTTTTTTTTTTCTTTGTGCAATTGACATTCCAAAAAAAGAAAGACAATCAAAATTGAAACACGCACAAACAACTTAAATGTATTGATTTCTAAAATAACGTTGACTGCTCAGAACGATTTTGCGTCATATCTTGCCAATATTTAGTCGACGGGTGTATTTCATGTTATGCAAAATATGGTTAATCCAAACCGAACGATTATAAATTAAAAATCACTATGAGTTTAAATTTGAAAACTGTTTTGTAATAATTCAAATGTCACACAAAATTAAAACGGCAAAAAGCGGCGGGAAATCAACAGGAAACACACATATTCATGCAAATATTCGGATTACAATTTGCGTCACTAATGATAAATAATGTTGCGATTTTATTGCTTTGATCGTTCACAGTTCTATTCAAGTTTTACTATTCAATTCGGCAGTTTACCACAAATGCGTATGTTGATTATAACAAAGAAGAAAGAAAAAGTTGAATCAAATCTTCACACGCAAAAAAAAAACGGTTATTTTAAATCAAGAACAGACGTAGTCAATGGGAGCTCGAAATAAAATTGTGGATACCGTAGCGCTTCGATTAGAATAGTTTCAGAGTTCGCGAATCACTGAATCAATGGCTACAAAGTAAACAAGCTGAAACGCCGCCGAGTCTCATGCAAAACGTGTCGGCACAGCGAAAGCAACGACCACAGAATCTCTCACAGTCGATCGCGTAAGTTTGTTTGTTGTGTGTACGAATCCAGTGTCTTATTCCTCCTATTGCTTTGACTATTCGGTCATTCTGGCTGCGAGTGATACTTTTTTTTTTGCTTCTCCTTCTTCTTCTTCTTCTTCTCCTCGCATTCTCTCTCTCTTTCTCTCGATTGCTATTTTCTTACATAAATTTCATGTCCGCAAACTCATTGTGTCGCATTTTCACAAATCAGTCTCATTTTATCGCCAAGCATTTTTGACCATACGTGTACACATGGCTACGGGTTTGCTCGACTGTAACGACTCGACGTCGTCAATATACATATGTAAATACAATATTTAACATTGCGAATAAATGAACAAGCAGAAAAGCCATACACACGAAAATTAAAATGATTATAGTACGAGTTTGTTTCTCGCTTGACGGACAATAGAGTGAGCGGCCACTTTTTGAGTTATGATCATCTGTGCCAAGGCAATGATTTCAACGCATTGATAACGTACACCTTTGCTCGTGTCTCTTCATTTCTTCCTTTCTCGTATTTCGTTCGCAGCCAAAATGTAACGCGTGTGCAGATGACAACACAGAACATTGGCCATTCGTCGTGAACTGCGTCAGAAAACTTCTGTGAAAGGTTTTAAAAAAAATGGAAATCAAATCAAATTTATGAATATAAACATGATACATATAAACTGACGATCGTCCATAGTAGAAATGAAGAGAAGAAGAAAAAACGTGTGGCGTCTTATAATTTGCTCATAATCTCTTGATTGAAATCGATTTAAATAATTTAAGGTCAAGTTTTATTGGTGAGCTTCGCAACAGTCAGAGTCAATTAATGATGTATATAACTTTCAGTTCATTCAATTTTGAATAATTTAAGATTCACTTTCGGCCCAAAACAGGAGAAATAGTTCAGGTTCCATGTTTCCATATGGATCAAATATTTTATACAAATCAATTTGCATTTGAATAATGCCGCTGTTCGGCGTGAATTAAAAAGTGGTTTTAGTGACGTCAATCGGGGCGATGTATCAGTGCGGTGCGCTGCTTCGACGTAGTGTTTTAATTTGGACATCGTGACATTGATCTTTTGTCTAAGATTATGCTTTCAGTTCAATTAGAAATTTCAATTTATTTTCTTTGGATGTGTGTTGTTGAACACATACAAAATAAATTTATCTGTGAAGACTTCGTCCAGAACAAAGGTTTATTCGTTGTTTTGATTTTTGAAGTACTTCCTATTTACGGTTTTACCTCGACACTAAATTATATTGCGTATGTGCTCAGTTCAATCATCCAAAGACAGTTAAATTATTTCCCTGAAATTCACATCCGTTCTTCTGCGCATCTGCGCACAGCAAAAAAAAAAGATAAATCATAAACACTATGTGAATGTGAGGATCTTCAACTCGAGAAAATTACTTGAAATAATATCTTTATATTGCTGTCGAATGACACAGAAAAAAAAAACGGCCGACTCAGCACTTTAAATCTTCATACACGTATGGCATTTTATACGAAATAATTTCAGCGGTTGCGATGTCAAACTCGTTTGTTAATTTTCAATATCCTCCGTTTTGCATGCCGACACACCACCGCCAATCTGTCTGTCGCACCATCAGCCCAACGGCATTTACACGTATGTGAATCGGTGCCGCCGATCGTTAAGAAAAATGAAGCAGTCAACATCAATTTATACGTTTCGATGAGCTCTTAATATCACACTTCCAACGTAATGCCATAATGACACAGTACATTAATCACACCGGTAATTTTGCAAGCCAGCCTCTTTCTTTTCCTCTGCGTGTCAACAAACAACTTATTGAGTATGGTTCATTCTGTAGCGGCCATTTTTCTTTGATATCAGCAGGCCATTTTATCAGGACTTCCTCTCCCATACATTTTTTTCAAAGTGAAACTACGATATGGAGACTATATTTATTGGAAGCTGTTATATTGTTGCAGTGTTACATACATATACGTGAGTAAACAAAAAATTCCGGTTCACGTAAACGAAAAATATGTAGCGGATTAGTATTTTTTTAATGAAATGGGGTTGCACCTCTGAAGAGGATGAGTCGAACCACATATGATTCGACTTTTAAATTGCCTCCATTATATCATAAACTCAAGTGATAAAAAGACTTTGACATTATTCAACTATGTATCTATTTTTGGCAGCGCATTTAAATTGCATTAGTTATGCTAATTAATCGGCTAATTACCATGTATATTATTTGATAACATAAAAAATAAATGGGATACAAATTATGAAATAAACAGTTGCAAAAACAACAATATATGATTATGATGTGTGATTATGAAGTGTATATATAAAAGCGCCCGAATGTAGGCAGCACCGAGTCGAATGGGTTGATAATAGATTGTGCGAATTGTAGAGCTTGAATTATGTTATTTATGATATGTTATCAGTTATTGATCATAAAATGTGCTGCCAAATTAAATCATATTTTGAAATGGACATATGAACGGAAATTTTTTGGTATCATAATACATTACAATTTCGAAAAGAAACAAAAAAAAAACATAAGTTCAATTAAAGTGAATATGAAACGCAATTTCGTGTCACATAATATACAAAAAGTCACTTGATGTGGAGAAGTTCATTGATTATGATTCGTTGGTTGGATGTAAATAGTGAAGGAGACTGCCTTGGTACACATATTCAAAATCAAGATAACAGTTAACACTATCATTTATCTCACCAACGTAATCTGCCTGATATTTTTTTCGATGTTTTTTTTTTGTTGGAACATTTTCAGTATCTATCAGTGGAACAATAAAAAGGAAACAATAAAGATGTGCGTCATCAAATAAAGTAGATGATCGAGCTCATTTGTAAGCAACAACCATCAGATCGATGGAATGATTTAAGAGATCGATCTATAAGAAAAATTCAGTCTACAACTTGATTATTTTAACAATTTGTATAATCTCTCGCTTAACGATTTAACATACTCCCAAATAGATACAATACTGACTAAGACATATGATCAAAAAAAAAGTATCGAGCTACGCGTCCGCATACAATAAAACATTTATGGAAGTGTTGCTCTTGGTTGTGTGGTATAAAAATATCACATTGGCCATAAACTTTATGGTGGTTATCAATTACGCTGCGATGACGTACACAATGCAGGCCACCTATTGAATTAATCTAATTTTTCTTTCTGTTCTGAAATAGAATATGCAAATCAACACTGAATGTCGCTTGTATTTGTCTCGGGGGATTTTACCATTCGCATCCAATGTAAAACGATCTACTATAAGCGATAAATTCTTAATGCCAAACAACGTGAGAACATACTCTCCAGCAGACAAGTTTAATTATAGAAACGCGAAAAATGCCCAGAGTTTTAACGTAAATGATTGAAGAAAAAAACGAAATGATCGATTAAAAAAGTTTATCTTTGACAGAAACACACACATACAAAAATAGCCATTGATTGATACAAGCAAAAGCACGACAAAGGTGTATCGTACTATCATCATCGGCATTTTATGTTCTATATTTCAGGGCTTGTGTGACGCATTCAACAACTGAATAAAAAACGTTAAATTATTCATTTTGAAAATGTGAACCTTAAATGGCACCGTTTGCTGTCTTTATTTTTAGATCACAAATAAATATAGACAAAAGACGAAAGCCAATCCAGCATAAAATTGGCTAATGCTGACGTCTGAAAAAGTAATTTATAACTTTTACTCAACTTTGCTACCTAATCGGAGCAAGGAACTGAATTTTTTAATAGAAACGATCATTTAATGTGTGATTTCTTTTCATTTGTGGATGAATGATTTCACGGTTGACCTCGACCATTATGGAACGCCGACACTCAAATGCAAAAAAAAAAAAAACAAAAAAAATTGTTAAACGAGTAAATAGTCAACCAGAATGTGTCAGAAATGGAGTGAAGCGCAGAAATAAATAGTAAACAAATAAAATAATGAACGCTTCTTATTGTTTTGTCAATCTGCTGTAACCTGATAAGCGGTGTGCTATCGTCAAATATTTATCGAATCAACGAACACATTGCTGGTGCAATTTGGTCATGCAATGAAAATTTGCTGGTATTTGTACTTCATTGGACCATTCAATCAAGTAAACAAAATATGGTTTGTGATCAATTCGAAAAGTGGCGCCATTTCGGTTTCGGTATGGCAAATGATCCCACATTTTGTTTGGTTTGAGCACGTCGCCTAGTGCTTCAACAACATCACATTGATATATATCAGCACTTCGCGCAAAACATGGTCATCTTTGACGTCAAACCACACTAACACACAAGCACTCGTTCGAAATAAAAAAAAAAAACGTCTGTGTAAACATGTGAGAGCTCTTGTTTTTATATTCTATCGACATTCCTGATTTGGCTTCAATGTTTTTTTTCTTTGTCTCTTTTGAGTTCGCATCACATAAGCAAAACTTAAGGCCAAAACATATTCGAACAATCGTCGAAATTGCCAACGAGTGACAGAGTTTATTGGTTTTCTGTGTATTTCCCATGCATATGCTATTGATCTCATTGATAACGTTTCATTTAGCTCGAACACATACAGTTCAACGAACAAACGTGTATAAAAGATGATCCACATTCGATCAGGTGAGCACAACGTTAGCAGTAAACGGAATTCCGTCAGCACTTCAGCTCGTTGCCATACGAAGATTTTTCTTTTCTTTTACGGTTAATGTCAATTCAGTGCGATTTTATTTGCTGCCATTAATTGGCTTCTTTCTCGTCATGCGAGTGATAAACGGGCCAATTTTTATTTTAAAATGTCTTATCAACGACTCCAAAAATAAATTTTTATGTATGTATGCATGTTCAAGAAGAACGAGCTCAACGTATTAAAGTGGATAATCGAATGCATGTGTCGCAACGATGCACCACATTAAAACCAGATGACGAAGAGAGAAAATAAATAAGAAACTCACAGAGATAGTGAATTTTTGCAGCATGAAAAAGCGGCTTTCGTTGCGGTCGCGCAACGTGTCGAGTCAATTGAAGAAGAGAAGAGACCGAAAAAAAAACGTAAGTTTGATTTAGAGCCTTTCATTGATCAGCACAACTGTATACAACAAGTTGAACAATATACCTCTTAACGTCGAATGAAGCTGAATCAAATCCACACCCATATACCAGCATCGTAAACAATACGAATCGAAGACCGACCACTTTATATTCATTTCAGTATGTAGTGTGTGTGTGTGTGCGCGCGAGAGAGAGAGAGGGAGAGTGAGTGAGAGAGCTCTAAAGTGCGGAACAAATTCATTGACGTCATACTAAAGTTTTTAATCATATTTTATTGTACGTATGCCAAGCCATCGAATTCATTTGGCTTATTCATATGCTTATGAATTTGTATGGTGGTTTTTATGTTGCCGCAAACGGCTGCATACGACGCACTCATGTGAAATAAAAACGATATGAAGATGGGCTGATACTGATCACAGGAAACGATTCAACCTGGTGAATGGTTCTATTTTTGAAACGAAAACAAACAAAATCGAATGTATTGAATGTATTGAATTCGACAAAGTGGCAAACTATTTTTTTTTGGTTTCTAATCATTGACTATGCCTCTAATTGTAGGCTTGTGCACAGAAATGCACAGGCTGCAAATAAATTCTAACACGAAATAACTAGGGGTTAGACACCAATTTCTAGTATAGCTAGTTTGTTCAAATCGGTTCAAATATGCGTTTAGTTTCTTCTAGTATACAAGCAGAAACGCAAATATTCTGCTAGTATTTCTAGTATCGTACCATTGCTTCTTCCATAAGTATAGCATTGCCAATGCATTTCCTTTGGAAGGATTAACGGTACTTTTTGTAAACAAAACATTTGAACTCCATAAGCAAAGCATTGGCAGTATATTTTAAATGGAAGAATTTGTCCATATTAAAACCACTGGCAATGCTATTGATTAATGGAAGAGGCATCACTCATTTTTTTTCACAAATATTCTTCTAGTAACTTCTAGTATGCTCAATTTTTGCTAGTTTTCTTCTAGTGTTATTTCGTGTCTACCCCCTAGCGAAATAATGAAAAAGTACTTAATGATAGATTTCAAAGTGAATGTAATATTTTGGTGCACGAAAAAAAAAACATCAAATTCTATATTTAGGAATGGGATCAAATGGAAGATGATTTGGTATCGCAAAGCAAATAAGGTTCCATGAAAGACAGGCAATTGTTGCCAGCAATTTAATTGTATTGCATTAAAATACGTAATGAATAATTGAGTTCGCTGTATTCTAAACAATCTACTTGAATTGATAACGTAATGAATATAATGCGAATGCGTCAATCGCTATTGAAACTGGATTTAAGTTTTTTAATTATATTTAATTATAAACAGTCTGAGCGATCGATCGACGTTCTGATGAATGCGCACAACGTATAAACACTCTAGTAAAAGTAATCGATGATGAACGGATCGCGTGCAAACTGTTGATTCTCTCTCTCTCTCTCTCTCTCTCTCTCGCTCTATCTGTGTGTTCTAGTATGGGTTGAACAATCAATTTCGATTGATGATATCGAAGTATTGTTTGCTTGAAATGAATCTGGGCTTTATTTGAGTGCGATCGGGAGCGGCAAAGTTTGAATTCCAGATACATTATAGACAAATACGTACACACCCAATAAAAGTCTAGAGAAAAATCGTTTTGCATTCGTTTTCTTCTGGTTTAGCAATAAATTGCTCATTGAAACGTATGCATAATTGATTGGGCAAGTGAATATAGAAGCTACTTATGCTGTAAGTTAATGGCCCGCAAATTCAATCAATTTGCAATTGGTTCTTGACTCATATTTGTTTTACTGCATTACGTTACGTTACGTGCAACAAATGCATTAGTACTTCTAATGTTTGAGTCGGATTTTGCGCACCAAACAGACTAGATTACATGCAACAGTTTGTAATCAATGCCAATCATTGATGCCAGGTATCACTATCAATATAGTATTTCGATTGTGGTTCCAGCAAAAAGACACACTCCATATGGAAAATGATAACCAATAACCGCAAAAAGTGATGCGAATGCTCATTGGGTAAACTAAATAAACCAAAAACCACATGTTTCAGTCGGGCGTTTGTTCTTTCCTTTGTGTGTGTTGAGAGAACGATACAATGAATTGATCATAACAAAGACACGCGTCATTTTCCCCTTTCAGTAGAATGAATATGAGTCGAAAAAAAAAACGTTTTCTGTTTTCCCGAAATGATGACTAATGCGAAAGAATTTGTTCAAATATTTATTTAGTTTGGAAACAAATGTGGACACGAAGCAGCAGCAACAACAAAAAACGCGACAATGAATTGAAATAATGAAAATTAACCGTAATAAATTGCATGCACACACGAAAATTAAAGTTAATCCGCGTCAGTAATGAAGTCAAATGACATGTAATCTATTCGCTGACGTCTTTCAATGGGTTAAATTGCGAAATGAATCGTATCGAATATATTGAGAAATTGTGCAAAAAAACAATAAGCAGAAAAAAAAAATTGGCGACAACATGAAAAAGCACTTGAATAACAATTAAGTACGGAAGTTCAAAAATAAAATTTATGGCCATCGTGCGTTAACAAAATTTGATTGGTGTCGAGTTGACCATCGTTATTATGTTACCCGATATTCAAGCTTTTTTTTCGCCCCATGTTGATTGCGTAAATGAAATGTTCGTAATATGCAAAAACAGCCATGTGTTCAAAGCCATTCTCTTTATCCACTATTTCATAAAATAACAAAAATGCTGCATGTAACGACTGATTGGCACAAATACGTGGGAATTAATCCCACAAATTCTTAAAATAAACACCTCAATTACGCATTTGCAAATTACAGAGAATATCGGAATGGACCTCGATTAAGGTTCATTCTTGTTTTACACACACTACGGAAAACAAAAACAAGAACAAAAAAGCTTCAGATAAAAAAAAAACGCCTTTGAGAAATGCTAAATAGCGCTTTGAGATTTGTTTTGTCTAATTTGAAACAATGACTCCGGATTGAGATGTTCTTATCATGTACGATTAAAAATAACCGTTTGTGATGTGCTCGTCCGGCGTTGGATTGAATGAAAGGAAGTCATTTTGGAAACATTGTGAAATGAATGGTTGTCGCGCGCGCGCGCGTGGTAAGAGATTTCTTTTATCTCAATTTCTGTGCCACAATTAATCGGGGACGTTATAAATACACACATAAATTTAACATTTTAGCTATTTCTGCGAAAGTTATAGAAAACCCTATGATATAATTTAAAATCATTTCAGAATGTATTCTAAAGCTGTGGTGGCTTATCTCATGAACCCATGACAAATGCAGCAGTTTTAAGATTTTTCTGTAGCAGACAATAGCAAAAACAACTGTATCACATCGGTTGCGCGATTATTGTTGAATCACATGGACACAGTTGCTCTCTCTCTCTCCCTCTCCCTCTCTCTCTCTCTCTATTCTGTGCACGAAATTTGTGGAAAAATTTAGTTCATAAAGGAGGGACTCATAAAAATGTCAGAGGATTATATGAGCTGATAAACTGAATTTTTATCTATGGTTTAAATGCTTTTTGCCAGACATTATCGTTAACTCGAACGATTAACATCCAAACAAAGAGTGAGAGAGAGAGAGAAAAAAAAATCGAGGACGGCGCATATGAATGCAGATAAAATAATTTATTTCGCGCGAATGACGTTAGTTGGATTGATTTGTTTCTTTTTATTTCGTATGCAGCCTTATTTTTGTGTGTGGCTTTTCTACGCGATAAGATAAGAGTTTAACGTTGGTTACGTTACTTTCAGGTCTGTGATAAGTCGAATGTTGGAGTTAATATTTTAATTGCAGTAAAAATATGTGCATACATTGCACAATGCAGTAAATACGAGATTAGTGGGTCTGTGCATTGTTTGGAAATACAAACAAAGCATTTGGTGGCAGTTCATCGTTTTGCCAATATTTAAACATTATTATTATTTTTCCCACCTGAAGTTGATTGAGATCATTGCCACTGGGATCGCGTGCCCATACATGATGATGCCAAATGAATTAGAGTGTAAAGAATTTTATGGCACACAGTAAATAACAAAAAAAAAACACCGACACATTTCGATTCTCTCATTTTCTAAAACGCAAAATGTCGGCCACAGAACGGTTCAATCCAAAATGAAAATTTCATTTAAACAGACATTCTTTTGTTGAAACACAAACATGAAAAAGCAATAGCAACGACATCACAACAACAACAAAAAATAAAAAGAGAATAATAGATGTGATGAAATGTTATTACATTGACAACCAATAAAAAAAAAACAACAATGACAAAAATGCAAAACGAATGGAACATTTAAATCATTTATTCCAAATTAAAAATCAATTCAAAAGAGAAAAAAAAATTGAAGGGAAAATTAAAAAGTCCATTAACTCAACTCATTATTTAATTTTTATTTATTTATTTGTCTTTCTCTTCGGTTAGCCGCTAAATGTATATATGTTTAATTTAGCACATGTTTGGCTTACGGATAACTGCAATAGGAACATTTTCTCTTTTTTTTATCGATAAAATGGGCTTTACAATTTTTGCTTGCTTCATGTAATATCACGATAAAAGTCCTGTTGGAAATTTACTCGTTTCAAAAACAATCTAATTGCAAATACACGCAGCTGCCATCACCACGATTCAGACACAACATAGTTGAACCATGTGTCATCAAGAATGTACTATCTAACGAATGGAAGAGTCTTACGCAAAATTAACGTAGGCAGAAGCCGTGAAAATAAATAAATGCCTTTGCTACGTATTCGACATTCTATCGAACACACAATTACTATTACATTATAATTTAAACGCAAATACCTTTTTTTTCTTTACAAATTATTCTGCATATTAATACTTATATTTGGATGGTTTGGAATTCTCATCAAAGAAAGAAAAAAACTTAACTACATTTCTTAAATTTTCTTCATTATTTTATGTAGGTATATATATAGCATATTATTCTTCTCTTTTTTTTTTAAATTTTTCTGTGTTTTTTTGTTACTTTGCATTTTCATGTTTGTACAATAAAAATCTGTAATAAATGAGAATCACTCCTTTTTCATATTTGCGGAGTTGCTGGATGGATAATGACTAGAAGCTTTAGATGAACTAATACAATTGCATACCTTTTTCTTTCGTTGCTGTTGATTCAGAGCTTCAATCAAGTTGTTTGAAAACTGGTTCGCTTCGTTACATTCTTCGTCGTTATTGTACTCTTGACCCGTCGAACATGTCGAACAGCTGGACAATTTGCGCTCGGGCGTCGGAACACCCGACAATGATGATGCATAATTATCGTCGAGTAAACTAATCGATGATCCACAATAATTTAAATTCGAGCATGATGAAGCTGCACTGATGTCGGATAAATAGTCCGTATTTTCAGTAGCTGACGAGTGTGGGGAATCTAATGTAGCACCCAATGATGATTTTCTTTGTTGACGGAAAAATTCCAACTCTTCCAGTGTAATGCCGCACAACACATCATCCGAATAATCACTGACAACGACCGATGGCGTTCTAACAACGCGAATATGGTTTGGAGGAATTTCATCGGCTGTAGTGTCGCTAACACATGACTCTCGTCTTGAAAGTTGTCCAAAGTAGGAAGTTTTATTATTATCATTCAACTGTGCTGGTGAAGCTGGTGTTGGAATTTCCACAATGCGTGCCTCAAGTATCATTTTGCTTGGCACCACAACGGGCGCTTGAATATTTGATGTAAAAAAATCAACGGGCGCTTGTACGGCTAAAGGTGAATCGGGTAGACTTGTCGGTTCAGCGACGGGAAGCAAAGCAGGCCGAAGAAGTTGCAATGGAATGTCTGTAACAGTTAATGTCATTCGACGTTGTTGATTGCGTGGTGATAATTCAGCCATTCCTGCTAAAATTTCCTCATCCAAACCGAGGGCCGAATCGGAACTTGATGATCGTTCGACTTTTTCGTGTACCGGCGCTCGTGTTTCTTCTTCTTCGCCCGACGAACAATACGGACTGGCATTTGCCAATCCTTCATCCGATAATGGGCTGGTGCTGTTTATACGCTGCGTGTTTAGACTCTCTGCCAGACTGTTATCACATTTATTTTCGCTGCTTTCACACGAAATGATATCACTCGGGCACGGAAATTCCTTTTGTTCTATTGCTGAGATCAACTGATCATCACCTGACTGAATAACGGGATTCGTTTGACTGTCGCTTTCCTTTAACGACGGCGTATACATGTTGGTTTTTGTGAACTTTTCCACACAGGAATAATGTGCTATAACTAAACGTTGATCACTTGTCAAATCCAAAACGTTACTAACGTCTATTCCGATTGCACCGATGAAATCTTGATTATATACGACTTTTTTGCGTTTACGTTGTAATGGCACGGATAACAAAAGCTTTTTGCTGGTGCTTGCTTGGATTTCACCATTATTAATGTGACAAGCGCTCAACTGGCAATGATGTTTATAGCAGCAAGTGTGAACGATAGCCGATTTCGATAGTGGCATTGTGTTGGTAACACACGTCGATTTATTGTTTCGGTCGCTAGCGATTGTGGTCGTTGTCGTTGTCGTTGTCGCTGTTGACGTTATCGTTGTCGATGGTGTAGCGCAGATGTGTTGGTTTCTCGCGTTTGGTACGAGCGATGAAGTGTTTGTTTGTGTGGCAAATAGAGATGACGGTATCGAATTTAACGAAGTTGATAATAGCAAAAACGTTTCATCATTTGGCTTATCACTCTCGCGCTTACACTTCACTTCGTCCATATTTAGTATGTATGAACACAAATATCCGAAATTCCGATAGCAAAAACACTAAATGAAATCGAAAAAAGAAGGAGAAGAAGAAGAAGACAATGAATTTAGGAAAAAAACACTATATAGCCCGTTATTCTCCGTAGACACACTCGTACACACTTGAGTATCTTTGTTTTGTATGTGTATATTTTAGGTGTTTTATAGCTTTTTTTTATCTCTTTAGTCACGTCTAACTGTTTCTTGCTGAATTTTTTTTTCTCTCGCTCTCTTTATTTTGTCAACTAAGCAAACATAAACCAAGCACCGTACACACGGAAAACGATACACAGTGATGTGGCTGTATATCAATTACACCCATTGCACGCAATGTCATCCTTTTCGTCAGAACACTCAGCCGTTGATTTCGTTTCGTTTTTGATCTGTAACTTGTCTATCTGCATGCGCATACAAACGATAATCGCGTCAAACATCAAGTTCACTAAAACCTACTTGTGATTTACGGCACTTCAAACAAGTGTACATTACGAATTGCGGCGAATTAATAAACATCACTCGCCAATGGGCGCAAATAGTTTAATAAACACACATATTCTTTGCGCGCACTCCATTTGCCGCCTCTTTTTGCACTGACAATACACTTTTTGTATAGTTTTTGTCTGCGTCTCGATTATCATACACTGTGTATGCTTTATGCTTCATATTCATGCATGAAATAATGTCGATCATTTACTTTAGTTGCTTTTGTAGTCATTACTCATTTTTTTCGGTGTATTATTTACTTCAAATGTACTCTTTTTTCAACGTTTTTTCGATTTAAAGTAGGATATTGTACACAACATCTGGTAGCGTCGGGCATGACATACAGACAGCGTTAATGAATCTATTGTAAGTCGGTGCAATACATTTTATCTCTCTCTCTCTCTTTACAAACAAAAAGAACATTGACGCATTGGACGATTCGTCGGGTTGTAGGCGAATATATAATGGAATCTGAAATTAAAACAATGGAAAAGAATGAAAAGAACGTTAATGGATTATTTTTAGAAATCACAGAATAATTTTCTTTTTAAACACAAAATGTAATCGTTTTTCAAATTACAAATATGACGTGAAAGGAAAGAGACAGAGTAAACACATTTCAATAACAATTCATGGCAATAAACTGAAGTCACATTTGCGTCAATGTTTCAAGTGATCATACTTTTTTTTTTCTCTCTGCTCATCGGTTAGTCATCACAAATAATGAAAGCATTCAGCGCAAATAAAAATTGGAACAACGACAATGATCAATTCCAACGAACGGTTTTACGATTATCTTATCGTTCAATTGATTTTCTTCAGAGTTTCAATTTCATTCGAATGAGGCGGGAAATAAGAGAAGTGATGGCATTCATTGTTATAAATTTTATGTTTTAATTGGTGTCACTTTTGAAACTATTATTAATTCCATACATACATATATTGTGTATTATTTTTTTAATTCAATCGAAAAAGTTCATTCCACCTCAAACGAGGCTTTATAAACGTTCATGATTCGTTGTAATTATGGAGAAACGTGTTGGTGACGAAAATTATCATTCAAACAATATGTTTTGAATTTTAACACATTTTCAAAATTTAAAATTCACCCGAATGTGTGTATGTGTGTGCCTTGGCACCTACTTGTCTTAATTAGAGAAAACACCAAGTAAGTGGTCCAAAAGAGAATTTTCGGTTGTCATTTTGAAGATATGAGAATCAATCACTTTTTGGATCATGTTTTCTTTCATGAAGATTTTTCTTAAATTCCCATCTTTTATCCACAGCCGGGAGATAATAAGGAGAGATTTTATCGAATAGCCTTGAATGTGATGATTTCGTGTGGCACTTTATCAAACATTTACCGTCAAAATCCATAAAGGGAAAGATATTTTTTTAATATGTGTAAATAAAGACGCTCTAGTGCCGAGAATAGAACACTATACAATATTCGTAAAAATCGAATTAAATATATCTGCACTTTCCTCACTAGCTCTTTCGTCAATGTGTTTATTAAACACTGTTTAATGCCGACAAATGTATTGAATTCATGTGAATATAAGTTGGTTCAACGTGAACAGAGAAAAAAAAACTGTCGTCAATATCGATCAACAAAACAGAATAATCTATTTTAAGCTAAACAGAAAACCGTAGCGATCTGCTCGCTCAAATGATTAAGAACAAACCTAAGAAAGAACAAAAAATTAGAACGTAATCGCTTCACGATGGAATTGAGAAGGGGGAACAAAATTGCACAGGACAACTGGTGTGATTTAATAGTATGCTTTTGAATTCAACGGCTGCCATGACCTAATGTAATGTAATTGATAAATAAAAGCAAATTTAAAACCGAACCAAAATATAACCGACGTAAATTAATGCAAATTAATGCGTGAAAAAGAACAGAAAAGTCTAATAATAAATAATTTTGCTGAATTTTCTGTTGATTTCGTTTTTTTTTTCTCCCTCTCATTTGATTGACGAGTGTTTAATCAAAATTTCTTGGCAATTATCAAACCATTCACAAAATGTTTATTTTCGGTAATGAAATGGCAAATCGCGAATAAATTTCTTATCATTTATGTGTCTCATACAAAGTATAAAGGAGCTAATCTGGAATGGTTTGGGTCATTGTGATTAATTGATGTGCGTCATTTGCACGTTTATTTCGGGTGAAATTTTATGAATTTTCTCAAACATGAATAAAACATTTCTGGAAAACGGAAATGTTTTGCGCGATAGTCAGATTTTTGGATAATTTTGTTTTCTATACATACACGAGATTAAGATTGTGTGATTCGCAGAAGAGATTTTTGTGAATGTTAATTGGATTTTATCAATATTATCGGGCTGTGAGCGATCGATTGCAGACCTTTAAAACTAAAAAAAAACTCTACACGTGACACATTGTCTGCGCGTCATCAAATCAAAAGATCGTCCACAATCGTAGATCGTAACATGATTCTCACGATCTCATGGTGTATTACCAGCATGATATATATCATCTCACACTTCTAATAGACGCAACGTTTTCATCGCTTCATTGTGACCTGTATACACGTTTCACACATTCAATTTTATCTCTTGTGATCGGTCCAATCTAATTATCGCAACTAATGATAACAGGTCAATCGGGAAGTTTTAATCGCATTAAGTTACATTACACCTTTTCCCTTCTATATTTAAATTAAACACTTAAATTCGGGCCCATAAATGTTTAACGTGATCAAGCAAATGAAACAAGTTCGCAAACGTATGTATTTACAGTGTGTGCGACAACGACAACGACGACGATGACGACGACAACAACAAAGATCGTGGCCAGTATATTCGCTCCGCTTGATCTGGACTAATTATACAAACAACGCATGTGCTGTTGTTGTGTATTTTACAATGTCTTAAATTAATACACACATAGTGGAACAAATTGCAATGAGTGCAGTATTATCGGTGCAAATTATTTAGTCGGATTAATTTCGTCAGCAAATTTGGTTCGCTCGTTTTTTTTTCGCGATAAGATTTCTTGGGATTAACTGCAAATATTTATATTTGGATTGGCCCGATATTCGCTTGTTTGTACTCTCTAAACAATGGGACTCTCCGCATCATTGGTAGGAATCGATGCAGCAAAACAAATTCTTCGAATGATAAACTCAATGGATTTTTCCCATGTTGACGCTCGTGTTCAAACACAATTTTTCCACGTTTGGATTACTCTCCCTGCGCTGGATGTATGTACGTTTCTTGTTTTTGTCTATTTCAGATGTTAATTACAATTTAGTTGAAGTTGCACTCAATGCTTGCGCTCATTAGAAATGTTCATGCATGAAACCAACCACCAATGATGGAGGCCGATCGAAGCAATGGCGGCAACATAGCCTACGCATTCAAACGAACAGCATTATTCATTGAACAGTACAATTTTTTCGAATTTGAATTTGAATGAAAATGACATGTTTATAAGGCTTTGCGTACGGTTCGATTGTATGCGTGGAACGACCATAAGCTGCGCAAACATATTTTGCCCGATTAAATGCCCAACCGTTAAATTAGCGTTCGGAAGTTTTATGTTTATTAATAAGTGGTTTGAGTGTTTGCGCTCAGCTAGAAAATCACATCGATTGAATTGAGTGGCGCGGTTTTCAAGTGAACTTAGATGTATATAATTTTGTGCTCACCAACGAAATTACGATCGATTAATTGGTAATTTAGCACACTGAAAATGTACTTGGAACATATATACACACACACACACACACACACACACATGCATACCCTCTCAGTCTATCGCTTAATGCGAATTCATAGTGCCAAAACAATCACGTTTCATTGAGTCAGGACTTAAAAATAGTGTGGCGACAACGCAAAAAAAGAGACTTATTAATGCCAATTAATTTAATTTTTACAACTGGCCATAATTTCTTTTAAAGCCAACCATAAGCCATACAGTGTTGCACTTTTAGTTTCATTGTACTTGAGCTCGGAACAATGTTTTCTGTATTGATACTTTGCCTAGCACATTTTATGTCTAATGCTAATTGGACGATTGGAATGCTTGCGATTGGGCAGAAAGGCGATATTTTGTGATTTCATTCGAGCATTGCCTGTTGCCAAAAACAGCTATTTTTCGATTGATTATGTCGAAAAATTGTCAAAATTCCAATTATTTAGTCTGATGATGATGGAGAAAACACTTACTATTTTAGAGACAAACGATGCGTTGTCAGCCACCGACTGAACCAAAGTCACAAAAACCAACGAGTTGCCGACTCACTGCAGAAAGTACTACTTGCCGAAAGTTCACATTTAAATCACATACAAATGATTGTATTCAGTTTCTTATTATCCGTGTTCATACTTTGTTTTTCTTGGGTCACTATTTGGTGTCTTCTTTCGTTCATGCACTGAATTCCGCGCACGCCGACGCCATGGCACACATTTCTTGAATCACAGTACGCACAATAAAAACAATATACTGATGAAGAAAGAAGAGAAAAAAAATGTTCATCAACACATGCAAAAGAACGGAGCGAAGATGATAACCGCAACTACATCAGATTGAACAATGCAAAAATTCAGTGTATATACAACGCGCGAACGCGACTTCGTTCATTGTGAACATCACAACACGATCACTATGAATAAAATATGAATTGCCGATTGAATAGCATACATGTCATTCAGCGTGGTCTCAGACTCCTCTGGCCCCGTGCACGCGCGCTCTCAACGCAAATCGATATTGTGTTGTTTGTCGTTTCTCAACGTTCTCTGTCTTTGTTTCGCACGCGGTCTCGATGTCGCTCTCCACAGCTTACTTCTCTTTCCACTTACATTTATTTATTGCACAATTTGCAGTGGTATTGGCGTACTATGTTTCGGTTTCTCTTCTCGTTGCTCCATTAAACCACTATGTTTGATGTTAGTACGTGCAAGTGTATGCTGTGTGGCCGTGTGATTGTATTGGTATGCTATGTTTTTGCAACACCACTTGCTTTATACGCTAAAGTTACACATGTTTTCAACTTGACCAGCTCCATTTGGGTTATTGATTTCCATTTCGCCGCTCTTCCGATCAGCTAAAATCAATATACCGCACTCCACTTGTTTATCGTATAAAATGAACCTGTTGAATTACATGCAAGACTTGATTCGGTTGTTCGTATTGGGTTTGACTGGAATCTAAAGCTGAAAATAGCGTTACCACTTTCACACGCTCCAAATTCGGAATCCGTATGGTTGTGGCTTGGTTGCGAATAATCTAGAAATTATATGCGAAACTATTAATGTATCGAATACGCTAAGTACGTGTATGACGTCGTTTTGAAATCGTAGACTTATCATGTTGTTAGGAGGAGAAAAGTTTGAAATCTATTGAGGATGATATTAAATATCTTTGTCTTACTTTATGTGCAAATAAAACACAGTCACCATTTTATATTTACATTTCATTTTATTTGTTTTTTTTTTGTTGTTGTTGTGTGTTGTGTTGTTGTATTTGCCTATAATTAAATATACAGTTTTTATTCAATGACAACTTCAACTGAAGCTTGCACGATAGTAAAAGCAAAGGTTGTTTTCTATTATAAGTCTTTTCATATAAATTGCATTGCTTAATGATTATTTCAAATATTAATTCATATTTCTCTTTTCTTATACACGTATAAAGATTGGAGCAAAATCCATTGTACATTTGGATTTTATGCTTCAAAACTGACAAGCAATTTATTCTCTCCTGTGCACACTTTGAAATTTGACCGATCTTTGACATCAAATTTATTTAATGAATGCTTCCGGTGGTATTTTGTTTTGTTTGTTGAGTTCGGTGAAAACAAATCCAGCTCGTTGGAAATCCCAGTTGGTTTCTTCCAAGCATCTGAAAAATTGAAATTATCATTTTTTTTTTAAATTTGAATTTTGAACTAATTTTTCTTTCGCTTATAACTTTATATCTAAAAAAAAATACATACTTTCGACTCCATTCGGCGTTCATTTGGCTGAGCTGTGCCATAGCCTCAATCATTTGAAGTTTCGTTGCATCGTCTGGCGGTAGACTTGTGTTGAGTGCACTTGTTGGCGTTGGAACGACTGGCGGTTGAATTGGCCCCGTTGTCACAGGCACTGGTGCGATCGGTTTGAATGCCGTTTTGACTTGGGCCATCGTGAGCTGGGTAACGTGGAGAATGTCATTTTTTATACAGAATCCTCCGCCCATCGGTACAATTACTAGCGAACGATGGAACGAACGTAAATCATTTCGAATTGTAGTTGAACCAGACTGTTTTTCACGGAATATTCCCGTCACTGTGAGCATTATCAGAGCAGGCTGTTGAAGAAGAAGAAGAAGTAGACGCCAGAAGTTACATTAGATATTTTAGTTGAAATAAAAAAGAATTCTATCTAAAATAATTTGGGAGAATTGAAATGGGGAAGCTTACCGTAAACAATGTTAAATCGACAGCAAATGACTGTGGATCGTGCTCGCTCTTCGGCAATTCTGACAAAAATGAAACCACAGGTAATCGTCCACATTTGAGCAATGTTATCCGCTTTTCTGGGTCTTTGACACGAAGCAAATTTCGGCTATGTGGCAAATAGTTGACCAATCTGAAATGAATAAAATTGGGTATTATTCCTTGGTACGATACTTTTTTTTTTGTCAACTGATCAATTATTTCATGGTCATTCGAACGATGTATACTTACCGGTGATCAGGATTTGGATGATATGTACAACTCAGTGAGAACATGGCATTTTCGTGGTAAGCGTCCAATAGTGGTTGACGGTTGTCCGAATCGAATACCGCAAAGTATTGTTGTAGAAACTGGCGCACAATTTCAGCACCAGCTTGATCGACCAAAAAGGATGCTTTTGCTGGTGGCATTTTATTTGAATCTTCAGTTTCAATATCGAAACCGATTTGGGCTGGTAATTCAATGCCATCCTATGACAGAAAACAATTCACAATATAATTCCGAATTTTGATAAACTCTTCGATTCCAATTCAAACTCACCAATTTTTGTAACTTCGGCAATCGTTTTCGTACCTCTCTGTATCAAATAGAATGAATATAATAAACGTTTGTAAAAAAAATGTTACCCAATTGGCGTCGAAGACCATGATGGCAAGGTCACACTCCATATTCAACGTAAACATACAACGATGTCGATGTATATTTTGAGTTTGTGAGTTGACTTGATACCTGCTAACTTAGTCGACTCGGCTATCTTTTATACAATATAAGCTTATCTATTTTCTTATGTGCTTCTTACGGTGTAAATGACAAGCATATTCAATATTCTTATGATGTTTGGAGCAGTCTTTATATAATTCAATAAGATGGTAGTCATTCTTTTACTGAACTTTGGGTAACAATCGGTACAAAATGCCAATTTCTGGAATCCATCGATTGCGTTATTTGATTTGAATTTGGATTTCTGAACCATGCTTTTCGGTTCCGATTTCACGTGATTATATGCAAAAAATAATATGAGAAGAGACAAACTAATATTTTCTTCTTTTTTTTCTAAAGCTGATTTTTTAAATTTTTCTTGAATAATTTTCTTTTTGTTTGTTTCTGTTTTTTTTTTTCATCGCCTGTATTTTTTTCGTATAAGCATTCGACGAATGATAACATTACACAATTTGATGTGACAGTTCGAATAAATCATCAGTTTTAACAAATGTGTTGATGGATGTGTTTTGATCAATCGAAGCGAAATCAACAATTTCAATTCATAAGCAAATTCTTTGACAGAATTCGTCGTAGTCGTCGTAGTTGTAATCAGTCTGGCAATTGCTTACTCAGCAAATTTGCCTTCCTTTGACTGTTTTTTTTTTGTTCCGTCGTCTAATGACCTGACTCATATCATACGGATCGTTTCTGTTTACTTCATGTCGATGAAATTAACAATTGCTAGGTCATTTCCGAACGATTTGATGCACCAAAATTACTTCAAACTAGAAAAATTCATTGGCCACTGTCAAATTGTCTCTTTGACATATATTGCAACCAGTCGTTCGATAGTAAATTGGTTTCTCACTCAGTTCTGTCAACGAGAGGTAGATGTTTTTTTTGCATGTGTTAAACAATTTTTACATTTGTTTTTTCGTTCAAAATACTTTGATAATTGCAGGTTCGCTATCAATTTTTCATGAATCAGTTTCCATCCGTACTCCCGAAGTCGAATGAATGGGAACACGATCACATGATGATTCAAACACACCAATCACCATTCGTAACGATTAAACACATATTTTCATGATGACTCAACTTTTTATGTTATCAAACCTCAACACTGCATGTACTTTTGATTTTTTTTTATTTAAATGATATTTTTTCAGCAACTTTTTTCTTTTTGCTTCAGACGTTTTGTTTGTTTTGATTTTATTTCGCTGAATTCTTTGCGTTTTTTTTAAATGAATGTCTCATCTCATATTATCATAATATTCAATACATTTTTTCTGTTTACATGAACACCCGACCAAAATCAAATCAACTATCGACAACAATGATTCGATTCATCCTTTTTATCATGTTTTCCATGGCAATTTAGAGCGATGTTACGTTTTCAGCACCTTAAATCGAGTGAAATGTATTCATCTCGTTACACAATGAACTCGACTGTAAAGATTTAACACCAATATATTGGCAAAGCAATGAATCCCTTCATCAAAGATGTAAAGAAATATGTATCAATTCTTAAACACTATGAATGATGGCTAATTTAACCGTAGGCTTGAAAGAAATAAGAGTAAAATACATTTGGCATTAGTGTTGGAAATTTATTTAAAGTGTACCTTTTGTAGACATTTTCGTCGCGCAAACGATCGCAAATGGGATTTCCTTTCAGTACGAGGTCGATGATGTTTGAGTTCTTCAATGGTTCCAAAGTATTTGCCGACTGAATCTATGTGATTGAAGTACAGAGAGACCAAGAAATATTCAATTATTATGCATTCTTGAATAGTGCTAGCCAACTTCAGGCCAATATAACGTACCTTGTTGTTTGACAGGTATAAAATTTTCAGGTTCGGCAATTTGTTCATCAAATTTCTGAACATTTCCAATGTGTAGATTTTGTTTCCGTCCAAATTTAGAGCCTCCAAGTCGGAAATATTCTCTGTGATGATGTCGGAGGCTGCTGCAAAAATCGGTGCCCGTGACAAGCCACAGTAAATGTCACGTAAATCGACATCCAAATGGAATTGTGTTAAATCTAGGGCTTTGGTTGCAGCATTATAACGTTTTGCCATCGCCAATTTCATGCGGTCGCGTGTGTTTGCATCCAGCTTGACCGGTGGAATTCCATTGCGTACTTTTACAATCAATTTGAAGCCATTTGGCATTTCGATGGTTCTATCAACGTTTGCCAAAATTTTGGCCATCTTGAAATCGTCAATGTAGAACGATACAGACTGTGTTTCAACATTCCAATAATGCGGTATGAATATCTCTGGCGAAATGGCGTTGAGCAACGACTTTAAAACGAAATCTTTATCATATTTGTTGCCGTGTGGAATCTATTGGTGCAAATAGAGGATTTGAATGGAAAAAACCATAATTTGAAAATAAGAAGACTCTTCTCGTTTTACTTACGGTCACTTGAAACCATCCCGAACCATTTTCAACGAGCCCCTTCGTTTTATTGCGAGCTGATCCTGGAATCGGAGAGTTGCGTCGACGGAATGTGCTTGCTTTGCTTGGATCGAAGTCAACCATTCGTTCATCATCTTCTTCGAGTTGGGCACGGATTCCCTGCTCAATATTGCCCCTTTTTAGGTTCAGTTTGCTCGCAGCAACAACCCCTGTCTTGAAACTGACACGACGATTTCCACCTTTGTTTGGCTTTCGAATTGTGATATCCGACGGGTTACGGTCACGGTCGTCATGTTCTAGAGTGAAAGAAATGTGAAAATAAAATGAATGAATTATGAACAAAAGAAGTATAATGAAGGAAACACAGCTGCGTTAAAAATCGCATCAAGACAGTATATCGTCTGTGTTTATATATTATTATAATGTATATCAACAAGCTTTTTTCTGCTTGTTGATGAAATGTGGTTCACATTGGACTGAAACATCTTATCTGTAAAGAAAGATGTTTCCTATAAATAAACCTACACAGCAATTTTGTTCATATTTCGTAGACTCGTAGACTCGTCTTACTCTACGTGTCTGCGATTTTTTTTTCAGGTAGATCATTTACAAAGAATATCAATGTATTGCAATGAAAAAATATTCGGAACAAATGTTGAGAATTGCCACATTTATAGGAGAATTATGAAATCATCATTCCATTTACGTCACATTAATGACCTTTAGCTTTTGAAAAGTGATTACGGATCAAGTACCTTTCTTCGGTTTGTTTTTTCTATACGTAAATAGAAAAACATTTCTTTCACAAATTCCAAATAAGTTCAATGAAAACATTATGGCATTTCGATTGAAGTTTTAAATGTTGGATTTTCGAAAAAAAAATGAAATGTGAAAGTCGTTTTCTAGACAACAGGCGTGTGACAGCCAAAATGGCGCACAATATCCGAAACAAAGGATTACCACACATTATTTATTTAACTCACCATCATATTGTCTTCCCTGATATTTTTTGCTCCAAACATTATTCCGTTTAAACTGTCTCGGCATATTTAAACGATTTTCCACAATACTTTCGAAAAAATATGTATAAATAAAGACTTTGGTACAATTGACGATAATATTACGTGTGATGCTTTGAACGTGCACGAATTTATTCATGTACAAACATGAAAATATAAGTGCCTACGGTAGAAAGAGTCAGAATAGCTGTCAAAAGTCATTCAAGTACTACAAATTCACTCTAGGATACTTTTATGAATGAGCTGAATGTTTTTAGGTGAGAGAAGAAAAAAACATCTATTGAAATATTTTAGCCAAAGTTGTAAAATGTATTGGTTTTTAGATTTTACTATCAACATTTTATTTGTTTTATACCGAACTAATCAAAGTTATTGACAAATCATATTCCATTTCTATTCGAAGTAGCATAAACATCGTGTTACCGTATTCAAATTATTGAACCCTTGTACAGATTGACAGGCGCACACAACCAACTTCACACTGTTGTCGGCGCTCAAATTGTCAGAATTTCTGTTCAACCCACAAAGTCGCGTGCTGCATCTCGAATATTCGTATCCACTGTTGGTTCATTGCTGAAAGTAGACAATTTTTTTAAATTAAATCGCAAAAATGTCGTCAATTAGTTTATTAAACCCGAAAGCGGAAACAGCCCGTGCAGCTCAAGCATTGGCCATCAACATTTCGGCATCCAAAGGTTTGCAAGAAGTGATGAAAACCAATCTGGGACCAAAAGGCACAATGAAAATGTAAGTTACTACGATCGATCGGAGTCACGAGTGTACACACAAATCATAGTTTTTTTTTCATGACAATCACTCAACATTTGAATCATTTACGACATAAGCTCTTGCAAAAAGTATGTTTTGTGCATAAATTGTGCAAATTCAGTTTAACTTGACTAAATTTAAAAAACATATGTTTTCTAACCTAAAAAATCCACCGTAAAAACGCCGATGACTCATGGTTCTGAAGAGAGATTTTTGTTAAGAATAAAAGTTATAATTGTATCAATTTCCAGGTTGGTTTCTGGAGCTGGTGACATTAAAATCACCAAGGATGGTAATGTTTTGCTTCATGAAATGCAAATTCAACACCCGACCGCTTCGCTCATTGCTCGTGCATCGACTGCACAAGATGATATGACCGGTGATGGTACCACATCAACAGTTTTGCTCATCGGTGAACTGTTGAAACAGGCCGATATTTTGTTGACCGAAGGTGTTCATCCACGTATTTTGACCGATGGTTTCGATTTGGGCAGAAACAAAGCTTTGGAGATTTTGGACACAATGAAAATTCCAATTGAGGTACAATTTAAATGCACAACATTTTCCGAGACAGAAAGAAATTATATTGTTTTTTTTTTCGCCTTAAAATTGCAGGCAACAAAGGAAAGTCTTATCGATATTGCCAGAACATCGTTGCGCACAAAGGTTCATTCAGCGTTGACCGATGTTTTGTCCGAAGTTTGTGTTGATGCACTCTTGTCGATCTACCAGAATGGAAAGGCAATCGATTTGCACATGGTCGAAATTATGGAAATGCAACATAAATTTTCGACGGAAACTCAATTGGTGCGCGGTATTGTTTTGGATCATGGTTCCCGTCATCCGGACATGCCGAAATCACTTGAGAATGCCTACATTTTAACGTGCAACGTTTCATTGGAATATGAAAAATCCGAAGTAACATCGGGATTGTTCTACAAAACCGCCGAAGAACGTGAGAAATTCTTGACAGCCGAACGTGACTTTATCGATCAGCGTGTGAAGAAAATTATCGAGCTGAAGAAAAAAGTGTGCGATGGCACTGACAAATCGTTTGTGGTGATCAACCAAAAAGGTATCGACCCATTCTCATTGGACTTGTTGGCCAAGGAAGGTATTATGGCATTGCGTCGTGCTAAGCGTCGTAACATGGAACGTTTAACCTTGGCCTGCGGTGGAATCGCATTGAATTCGTTCGATGACATGGATGAATCACACCTTGGTTTCGCTGGTTCCGTGTACGAACACGTTTTGGGCGAGAACAAATACACTTTTGTCGAGAATGTGAAACACCCACAGTCGGTGACCATTTTGATCAAGGGCCAGAATCGCCATACAATCATGCAAGTCAAGGATGCAATCCGTGATGGTTTGCGTGCTATCAACAATGCCATTGAAGATAAATGTTTGATTCCAGGCGCTGGAGCCTTTGAAGTTCGTGCTTACAACCAATTGATGGTTTACAAAGACACCGTCAAAGGAAAGGTTCGTCTTGGCATTCAGGCTTATGCAGCATCATTGTTGGTGATTCCAAACACCTTGGCCGTTAACTCCGGCTACGATGTGCAAGACACAATCGTTAAATTGCAAGAAGAAGACCGATTGAGTCCCGATCCAATCGGTTTGGACATTACAACCGGCGAAGCGGCCAAACCAACCGACTTGGGAGTGTACGACAATTACATTGTCAAAAAGCAAATCCTCAACTCCTGCTCCGTCATTGCCAGCAACCTGCTTCTTGTCGATGAAATCATGAGAGCCGGTATGACCAGCCTCAAAGGATAGACCACATGAACAAATCTCATATTTTTCGCATTTTACGTTATAACAATGTCGGTATTGAATCCAGCGTAACCGAACGTTGGATGTTATTAATCGTTTATTTCTCACTGAAAGATCAAATAATTAAAAAAAAGAAAATATTTTGTCACGAAATCATTTGCTACACTTACATTAACCCAATAACTAATCTTCAATAAAACACAATTGCTTTAAAATACTGAATTTTTTTTTATTTTTGAATCAATCATTTCATTATTATTATATTAGCAAATTGACAATACGCCGCTGCATCCTTATGGCAAAAATGTAAGTATTCATTAATTTGTATTGACTCACTCTTTGGAAGAGTTCAAACATGATTATATACAAACTAGTCAATTGAATTGAAGAGAAATTTCTTCATAAAAAAGCTGGCAGTGACACTTTTGAAGGCACTTTTTCAGCTAAAATCATTAAAACATCTGCTTCTACGTAAGCGAACTACAAGCATTTGAATATATCTATGGGTGAGATTGAGAGTGGAGTATGTTTTTTCTTCGATTTATATTTTTGAAAAGGCGAGTATGTTTTTTGATGATTCTGTTGGCGTTAAAGTAGAGTATGTTGGCGTACCGTCTAGCCTCTGCGATTTTCACGGTTTTCGCGCAACTGATAAGAGATAACAACATGGTGTCTTCGGTACTTTAAAGTTGTAGTACTCGAGGTCCTCTATAACTTAGCTGAAGACAGTTATCTCTTATTTCTTATCAGTTCCACGAAAACCGCAAAAAACCGTGACGACCCGCCAAAAATGAACATACTCGCCTTTAACCATTTTTGAGTCGAAAGAAACTTACTCGTCTCTTTCATAACAAAGTCAGTGAAACATACACTACTCTCAATCTCACCTATAGATATATATCGCATAGAATCTTAGTAACTATTGCCTTTTCGTTCAAATTCTGAACCATTCGAATTGTATACATATATGAAATGAATGGTTTGGAGCGAAAATGTAATACAGAAAAGTTGAGCGGAAAAATGTCAAATTAAAAGGGATAGCTATATAGTTCACTATAGTTTAATATACAGTTTACTATATAGCTATCCCTTTTCCGCTCATTCATCATTGACATTTTTCCACTCAACTTTTTTGTATTACATTTTCGCTCCAAACCATTCAAATACAACTTAATTTTTTAATTCTCGAATGGACGGAATATTGGTAGCGTTGACGGATAGTGGGTGTCAGGTTTTAATATTGACTCGGGCCATGTGTTTGAAATATCTGTGCTACTATTTCTAAACGGATAGGTGCCAATTGTGATTGGTAGCTGAATTTTAATTTCTTTTTCCATCGATTTGGGCTCAATGATAAACTACGAATGAAAAAAAAACTGTATTATTCAAGGTCACAGCGTTTTTTTTTATATATAGAGCACACTTACGAAAATGTCGTATTTGATCGATATTAAATGGCATCCTTCCAAATTGGTTGGAGGAAGTGGAGGCACATAGATGCTTTCGTTTTGCCATTTATCAGCCATACCAGCTCTGATCTTGCCACGTGCAATAACAGCCAATTCACGCTTTTCCACCTGCACAATTTTCCCTCGTGCTAAATACTCTATCGTTTCGGTTAGCGCCGCTTTTGTACTTTTTATTGTAATTTTACTTTTGTTCGACACAAATGCTGACACCAATATGCTCTCGCCTGGTACGAATCCGCCACGGTCGAGTGTGACACTGCATTTAATAACACCACCGCCAACGCAAGACACACCGACGCGATGCTCAACGTCACATTTGAATGGTTTCTACAAATCAAAACACACGAACAAAAAATGCAAGTGAAATCGAAAATGGAAACTTATGAATATTAAATGAATTCCATTCATTCTTTCAATTCGGAAAGGTCAGTAAGTTATTCATTCTTACGGCTAAAACCGGTTGCTCCAAATTCAGATCGATCGGATTCATGACGATAAAAACTTGATGGTTTTTATGAATGAGACCAGATGGTTCACGCAATGCTGCCTTGCAATAGTATTGAATCCACCCATATCTTCCCAGAAATGTCGACGGCAAGCCCAGTGGAAGGCCCAATTTAAACGGGAAACTATGAATTCCTGGAGAAAGGACTGATGGTCCTTGGTCAGGGTCACCTAGTAGCCTCATGCGAAAATCTATGTAACTTTCCTTGTCATAGGTTCTTTCTTGGCGTGCGGACTTTGCACGAACGACTCCCTCTCCAATGACGTGGAAATGCAATCCAAGTGCTGGTGTATCGTCTTGCAGCTCAAGCAATACACGGCCCGAAAGAAATTGTCCAGGGAAAAAAAGCAACGACGGATTGTCAAATATAATTAAGAATTTCAACAGTTTTCTCGGCATTTTTTGTTATATTATATTGCCCGACTAGGTGATGTTTTCAATTCAAAATGGCCCGAAGTAATGCTGCTTTAACGAAAACTTCTCTTGACTGCAAAAGAAATAAAGGACAAAAACACAAAACATTTTGATTAAATAATCTGGCAAGTTTGTCGGAAATGTCGACTAAATGGATAAGAATGGTTTGGTCTATTTTAATTTTGTTTAAAGGAAAAAACGCTAAATTTCCGAGGTTTCTTTTTTTAAGCCAATAAAATAGCATTCAAAATTATCAAAATTATAAATATTTGGACAGCATAACTATCAATTAGTTTGTTTCTTTTTTCAACATATTTGGAATTCATTACGGATAATGAATGTGGAATGAAAGCAAGTGAAATTGTATTGTTCAGATGTTTTGAATAGCCATGCACTATCGATTTATGCAAATATTTTGAATGACGTCGTTTGCCCATTGAAAATGGCAAAATGGGCTGCAATAGAAGCGTGGCGAGCAGAATACAATTCATAAAGTGAAATACTATCCGATTTGGGCATCTAATAACCATTATTGCACTGCCATGGAATACGGAATGCTGTCGATGCAGAGTTCATGAACGATTTCTATGCTATAGAATGTTATATCTATATGCATTTGAGCCATGTAGCCAGTGCGTTGGTTTATTGGTTGGTTCGTTGGTGCAAAGTGGTAAATATAGAATTTGAATTAAATAATGTGCAACAGAATATGATGTCATGCTGAGGTGTCACACAAGTATTACGTCGAATTTGATAGCTAATTGACGTCGGCATGAAACGGCAGGTGATAAAGTCAATTCGATTCATCTTGAATTTCATAGTTGAACTATCCGCTTGCTGTAAGTTAAAGATTTAAGGAGAAGAAAAAACAAGTAAAGAGTATTGCAAACGAATCGAAACGGAAACTGTTATTTGACCAACTGAGACAATTTAGTTGGATTTAATCTGGATCTGGATCTGCTTATAACTGTGCATTTGTAATTCAACGCTTGAGTTGGTCAAATGCAATCAAAGTTCATTATGCACACGCAATGGTTCACCGATGTTGTTGCGAATTTCGATGCGAGAAAAAGAAACTGACTTTTTGCAATGCCGCTCCAAATGAATTAAATTAACGTAAACGTGAACCGTATTATTTTGCACGGTTTGGCGTATTTAATAACACATATGCACGCATTCGCCGTGTATTGTTTTTTCTTTGCGTCATTTCAACGAAACGGAAAGAGAAAACATTACGACTCAGCGATGCACGTTACCAAAATTTCGGCTGGTACACAGCATATTTCACCAGTTGCGACTTCGGTCATATATTCGTTGATGCGAGTATAGTGTGAGTACGACGTGTGTACATAAGGCGCGAACTAAGACGACAATTCACTTCGCAAGAATTCGACCGCTTCGCGCACACGTTGTAACTGGTAAACCGTACACACGAGCCACAGTTTGCTTTGATTCGCATGACCGAAGTAGCAAATGGTGAAATGTGCTGTATACCAGCCGATCAACTGGTGACGTGCGTCGCTGAGGATAACTGGAGGAGATTGAACGCCCGTTGGTTTAATTTACCATTTGTGGTAACAAGTTTACCTCAAAATTTATAGCAATATTAATTTCATTCTTCTTTTCTGTTTAAAAATGGCATCAAGACATTTTTTTCTCTTGTTTCTTGTGCTCCGTCGATGTTTATTTATGGGAACGGGTGCCATTGCCATATAAGAAGAAAAAAAAACGATTGGCTCGATCAACGCACACTAAACGCAACAGCGTGAAGCATTCAACGTCTAATGATGAATTACTCGTACCGTAAACACCAACGAAGAGAAACAACCAACTGTGAATTACGAAAACTCATACAAGCAGAAGCGACGAAGAAATGAAAAAAAAATCGTCGCTTAAACAACTTGGAACGTAACATTACCAAATTGAACACACACTTTCAATTATTACGGTAACTTTTTTTTGTTTCAATTGAACTCTTTTTTACTCTCGTCTCAATCGTCGCGTGTTTCACTTTCGCTTTTTATCCACACTGTATTTCAGCTACGAAAAACTTTCGTCTCCAGTTTACACGCACAAAAAATTGCCAGCACGACAAAATCACCTTTTTCTTCACCAATTGCAGATGCCAGCACGAGAAAAAAAGTTGAGGAAATTGACCAATTCCAAAAGCCAAACTTCTCGTCGAAGGTAGCACGATTTTGACTTTGTAAAATCGCCTTGTGGCGGTCGTCAAAGAAACACAGAATTACTTGTCACACCTACGAAATATCATACGAAATTATGTAGAGCAATTGATATGTTTGTTGGACGCTTGAATGGGTCGATCGGTGTTGGTCGTCATTTGGCCATTGGTTTGTTTTTCAGTATCCTTGATCAATTCCACCAAATTTGGTTATGGGATAACATTTTATTCGGAATATTGATTGAATGTTAAAACAAATGGTCGAATTGAAAAGCTGTTTTTACACGCACACACGTATCCCTATGATATTAATAAACAGCAAATTGGTACACACACCTTGTTTATTGTTTTCAGCATTCGGGGAAAATAAATAAATTTGATTTTTTTTTCAACTCACAATAACAACAACAACAACAACAACACACATCAATTGACATATACCCCGTGGCTGGACCACAAAAATTCAATATGCTTTTGTCTTTTTTTGTTCACAGTTCAAATCGAATCGAAAATTAAAAACACAACCAATTTTGCAGTGGTTAATTGAATTTTATTTCGGTGACCACAGGAATTGTTTCAGCGAGCTGAAAACTACACAAAGGAATATGCAAATTATGTGGAATGACAATGGAAATGCTGCCAATCGAATCGAATACGTGAATCCATCAGAACGAGTTAAATATTCGACACAACGTTATTTGCAATTGTTTGTTCTACACAGTCGATTTAGACTCTTTCTCTCTCTCTTTCGCTCTCTCTATTCAGTCATCGCTTTTTCGAATAAACACACAACTAGCTCCAGCCACAAAAAAAATATGAACAACAGCTACAAGTCATCACACTGCAACGGAACGCACACAAATACTGAACGAAAATGACTGAGTCTCTTGTGTGCTCTCGTTAGCATTAGCTGAGCATGGGAATGAGAAATAAAAAAAAACTGGTCTTGAGTTTCTTTACGCGAACACATACACACATAACCGACACACATTCATCTCACCTCGCGCTCAAACTACTTGAACACACATTGCATATTTTTGTTGTTGCTTTTTTTTATTTTTTTTTCATAACTTCAAATCAACCATATTCAATACAAACAACAGAGATGTGTGTGCTCAGATTGTATAACTTCTTTTTTTTATTGTTTCTGTATTCTCCAATGCTGTCCATGATATATTCTTTTTATTACAATGGTTGAGTTGCATGTGTGAGTATTAGTGTGTTTTTCGTCATCTTTGTTTGTTTTTCTTGCTGTCTTTGTCTGGTGTCTTACCTCATTCATAATGATGATCGCTTGTTATTACCTGTGTTATGTGTTCGGCTACGCCAACCACGAGGGATCGTGATTGTAATGATGTGGATATTTTCTTGACTATCAGTGTTTTAGTTGCTTGTTCTCTTTGCACACTTCGTGCATTCCACAACTCATTCTCCATTACTTTGCATAGGAATTTACACCAACTTCTCAAAGGATGACGCGATTAGTGTTTTAAGTATTATATTATCTTTGGTCGTATACGTGTCATCGTTTCATGACATAGCCAAAAATAAAATTAAAACCAAAGTAATTTATCGTTATTAAATGCTTCAACAAGAAAAAAAAAAACATTTTCGCATTGGAAACATATTTTTTTTCACAATCAACACACTCTACATAAAATCCATTTCGAAAGCACAGTCCAACCATCAAACGAACAATATGTGGATAAACATTTATACATTGAATGAATAGGAAACAAACATACCGAATAAAATGGTTTCAATTTCGATTGCGGAAAATAATACCCTCTCAAATGGCCATGAAATGCGATGAAAATATTGTTTTATTTTTCCATCTGATTGGTTTTTGTTCGAAAAATATTCGATTAATTCGAGTTAAAGCGATTTACATCGAATAATTCCATCCATTAACCATCAGGAGATATTATCGAAAGTGCCCATTTTTACAGCCATTGTACTCATATTGTGTACACATCACTGTATGCCCATTCAGTTATTTCGGGGAAACTCACTCGGGGGCAAAAAGGTGAAAAATGTGTTGACAATGTGGATGGAGCGCGGGTGCAATCGTGTGTGCTATGTTTGTTATGTTAACGGTGGTAATGACAATAGTACAATTTTTTTGTTTGTTATTTTATATTCAACGTCAATGGAAGATGGATAAACAAATCCATCGATTGATCAATTGTTGGGGGAATATTTTTATGTAAATGTAGGCAGCAGAAACAAAAACAATAACAATATTTCAAAGCAACCCAAGTTTAATGCTTGTCTGTTAGGCGAATACAGGACCCATGCGAAAGGTGCAAATTAAAATACCGCTCATTCGCATGCAAATAGTTCCACTTGAAAGAATTGAATCATTTAAATGTTTGCAAATTGGCACTCAACGGATCAATTTTAACTTCTGAGATTTCATTTAATTTCGTTCTCGAATATGTCATACAAATTTTATGATTGTCACACTGATTTTATGACTGGAATTAGTTATCATTATATTGGAGCCGGCAGCATGCCAGCACATTCATTGAAATCAGTTGGAAATTACAAAGGTATTGTGTATGGATTAAAAATTGAAAATTGCTGATGCTGTTTTTTTTTCGCAATTTAGTCACGCTGTAAGTATATCAAGTATGCTTTCATTTTTATTTTAAAACGCCCGAAACTACTCCTGGTGACACAAAGGCACAAACATTGATGAATGCGGAGAAGATTGCTGGTGAAATTGAGAGAAATAATATAATAAACATACAGTAAAGCCTGGAGTTTGCCCTGAATACTGACCATATAAGTAAAAGCAACTCAAGCTCAAGCATCAGTACAATCAGCTGCATTCAGTTCACATGTCCAAACCATTGGTAAAAATTTTTAATCGATATTGTTTCATTATAAAGATTATAGTTTTTTTGTTAAATTTTTTTAAATGAAAATATTTTCTTCTTGAGTTTCAACGAACAAATCTTCAATTTTCTAATCGTTTATTAAACTACACTATATTTTCAGAGAAAAAAGTTTAATTCATGTTAAAAATGACAAATATTCCATCAAGTGTTGAGCAAACAAATATTTTTTTCAAAATAAAGTGAGAGCATTCAAAACGAAAGTAACAGACATATTTAGTCAAGTCAGATTTTCTATGCAGGTGCTAATCTCGATTCAAATACTTTCGATATGAAAGAATAGAATACAAAATCAATGAATTGTTGTTTGCATTTCGAGTGAATCGTTAGTTGGTTTGAAACTTTTGTGTAAACGCTCATGCTATTTACAATTTTTTTTTCATCATGAACAGCGGAAAGAAAGACAAAGTTTGTTTTGCTGTAAGTGTTTGATTTCGAGTTATCGTGATTTATCTCAAATAATTTCATCCGCTACCCATTATTTATTGAAACTGCTCAATTATCAAGTATTGTTTTCACAAATATTCTGTGCCCATTCAGATCTTTCATCACTCGGGGGGGCAAAAAGGTGTAAAATGTGTTGACAATGTGCAGAGAGTGCGGGTGTAATCGTGTGTGCGACGTTTGTTATGTTGACGATGATAATGACAATAGTATAGTTTGTTGTTTGTTATTCTATCAACATCAATACGAAAATGGGAGAAAAATAAACAGATCCGTCGATTGTTGGGCAAATATGTTTATGTAAATGCAGCAACAGCAGCGGCTAGGGGGTTAAATACACATGAATATGCGATGACACTTGCATGATTGTCACTTGACACGAATAACATCACTTTATCATCATTTGTTTTGTGTTCATATTTTGGGCAAATTTTTCGTTCGTTTGTACCTATACAGAGGTAAAAGTGTGTATGTTGAACAATACTCTGGTGACGGCGCCTGAAATAGCGAAAAGCGTTCATAGCGGAGACGATGATTGATTGATAAAATGATAAAAATCAAATTTCATTGTTTACAATGTAATCATTTAAGCGTTAAAAAGCAATCAACGTGAAGCATATTCTGATGTAGAATTCGAAAAATGTGATTGTCTGCATATATTTCTTGTTTTAGTTTGTAGACATTTCTACTTACCTCCAGAGATTTGTGTTACGTTTATGCTCCTTTCTTTGAAATGCTAAACACGTTAGAATTGTATATTGGCCTTTGGCCTTTGCTTTATTTTCGATTGCGTATGTTTTTAACTTAATACAATTGATCGAATAATATTCGAATGAGAAGAAAAAAAACGAATGATTTTCAATGAAGATAACAAATTAACGACATTGATAACGAATGCGATACATTTTACAAGGAATCGCTATTAGTGATGACAACTTTAAACAAAATGCATCAGTTATAGTAATATTTTTAAATATTTAATTTGAAGTAATTACAATTGATATCATATCATCCATTAGCGTGACATTTCTATTCATATTTGGATACATTTAATATTTAAAGATCAAATGGCAGATCTTACATTTAAATATGCATATGCAGTAGATTATAATATAATAGTTTTATAAATTATTATATGCGATGATATGTAAACATGATGTGTGTAATTTCTCTCACATTCTGAGCTCAGTTTCGAACAGGAGCTCGAAAAATCTAATTGAATTTATTCACGTTCAACTGTCAAACATTTTTCTTCATGTTTTTTTTTCTCTGATTGAAATATCTACGAATAAGCAATTCCATGCGTAATAGCCCATTTTCTGTCACTGTTGACCGTACATTTTAAATTCCGTTGATTAGTCACAGAAGAAATACATTTCATTTAAGTCGAATAAACGTTGACATTTTGATCATCCTTGTACGGATAATGTTCACCGGAAATGCATTAATCTCAAAGAAGCAACGTCTATTTTTGTATGCACTAAAAGAAATTTCGAAGCTGGACAACAAATTGAGTCACAGTACAATCGACGGTATTGCAAATGGCATGAACCATTCCTTTAACACTCACCAACACTGCAACGTGTGTATTTAACTGTATCTATGCAACTATTTATAAATAAACAATTCAATACGACTAACTAAATCCTGAATTTTACACTAGACTGATGAAGAATCTTTGCTTTGCTTGTGACCGGACAATCTCACAATTTTTTTTTTTTTGGTCGTGTGTTCCGTTCCGTTAGAATACCGCTGGAATGAATTTGAGTATTGGGTAAATATTTGATATGGTCGTTACGAAAAACAGCAATGCAGCTGTGGTCGAGTGAATGGTTGACGAATGAGAGTAGTACGGTTCACCGCATTTTCCCGGCTTCGGCTTAAATTTTTCACAATGTAACTGTAAAAGAAGAAAAGCAGAAAACCAATTAAATATAATGAAAACGGGCATACAAAACAGAGAAACAGCACGTGGAAAGGGACCGCAAAAAAAAACAACTTTTCCGAAACAAATTTTATCAATTGTAAGCGAAACAATATTTTAATAACGATTTGCACGCTGAAATGGCAACACAACCGTTTTTCAAACACAAAAAATGGTGACGTAAGTGCTCTCTGCAATATCAATATTTATAGACCATGAAAAAGGCTTGAAAAATCGGAACATACAATTCCGGCCTGGAAAAGAGTTAATTATTTATAGATTGTTTTTATATCGAGTGGCATCCACCTGAAGCCGTTTTTTAAAGCGCCTCGAACAAGTATCTGCATTGCAACCGACCATAATTCCAAACGGCAAAAAAAACGGAAAATGATACGGATAAAAGTGTGGAAAAATCCAGATGAATCACAGAGATGCATCAACTTAACGTTGAAGGATGTTCACGAAAAATATTACAAACCGCATTTACCGTTTGACATTTTTACCATTGGACACATTGCCATTGCCGTAAGTCGGTCAAATTTCGGTTGACAAATTCGAAAATATTCCGACAGCAAAAACGGTTTGCCAGAGATTTATATTGTAATCGCAGCATTTCCAAAGTGACGGCCGTCTTCTTTTCATGGAGAGCAATCGCAAGGAAAATATTTACATATTGAATTTCCGCACCGGAAAAACCAACTTCAACATCAATAAATAATTGCATTCAAGCCATACATTTAATTTCATTGCAGTAAATTAGTTTTCGGCAAACTCTTTTTCTCTTTTTTTCTCTTTCTATCCATATGCTGAAGTCTCATTAAATATTAAACTTTTCAGAACAAATGCCATAATTTTCGGTCATGAAAAAAAAAAAAAAAAAACACACACACACCGAACAATTTTCAACTTACCCGCATCAACGAGAATGATATTCTATCGAGGATGTTTCGCGTAAAATGTGCTGCCTCCTTGCCACAAGTGTGTTTCACTGCAAATTGTAATAAAACCAGATGTGAAAAATCGTAAAATTGTGGAATTGAATGTAAATATATTCGAATATGTATAACAAAAATAAATTGTAACAGATTTTGACTAACCTATGTGCTCTGTGCATGAGATGTACTCGCGGAAAGAGCTGAAATGAAAATTGGCGGGTAGAATCAATGAATTAATGTTTAATGAGTTTCAAACCATTTCAGGCGAAATGATTTTTTGAGCATCAAGTATTGTACATACCAGCAAACTTCTTCGAGCGCTTTGTGAGTGGCATTCGGCGATGGATCCGGCAGCTTCGCAAGTGTATCCTGATAATGCTTCGAACATTCCTCGTATTTATTTTGCACGTGCAATAAACATGGCGCGTGTCTAAGGAAATCTACGGCGGAAAATAGTTCACATTAGATACATGATTTGGTCTGGTTTGGCCAAGCAACGAAATAACTTCGAATGTCTATAAATCGCCATTTAAAAGATAATCAGACAATTTACTATAATTTTTTTACAAACATAGACCAATAAATTTGACTCTTTATGTTCAAGAGACACGAGTAATGCATATAAAAGTGCATTGAGTTTGGGTAAAACTCAATCGATTCGAAGGACCGGCTACAGTCATGCAATGCTACTGAAAAAAATCAACTCTTCTTCTTCTTCTACCTGACGACAAAAATATCATCAATAGAGTCATCACACAAACAAAGCATGGTATTCAAAAGGGGAGCCATAAGCCATATCTCGTTTGCTGATGAATCCTTGATTTATAAATACCGTATCCTATATCCATTGGTCACCGGAAGTTTAATCAGACGGTTGATCTTTGTGACAAATTAGCGACTTAATTCGAAAATTTTGTAATAGAAATACGTACGTGCCTTCCTGATATTTTGAATCTGAGTCACACAACTCGTGAATAACTTCTCCCGTACCGTGATACAGCTGATTGAAATGGTTCCGTTGCTCCTGGTTCATGCATCGTCTCGTATAACTTTGGATACACTCTAATCCGGCCAGTAAATCGCTGCATATAAATTAAAGATGAGAAAGTTTGGTTTTAATACAATAAGATCCAATATAGGATGTGTTTATGTTGGTTGCACTTGATGTTTCTTTTCATTTCCATTCAAATCAACATTAAGGATTTGTTCTTGTCGCACATTGTGAACCATCTATTTTTGCTTGTTTCGAGTATAGTTCATTTTGGATAATAACAAATGGTTATGAAGTGTACAATTGTATGTTAACATAATTATCAAAGACATTTTTTTCTAGTCTATTATCGCTACAGGGTTGAAATTCTCCAACAATGGACTCACCGAATTGTACGTTCGGTCTTTATATCGAAAAATAGAGGGCAACCTTAGCAAATGATACGACACATTTATAAATATTTCCACTTAATTGCGAGAAACGCTCAAACCACATGTTGTAATGCATTACAGCAAACGCATGGACGCAAATACTCGACAGCCATAAATTTCCATTTGCGTCAAAAGACACAAACAGAGACACGCTAGAGAGAGAAAGAGGTGGGGGGAGGTTGTGAGAGAGAAGGAGACTGAGTATCCACACATGAATTGTGCTTTATTAAATGCTCGGCAGTCGTATAAATTAATTAGCGTATAAAATGTGTTGTTGTTTTGTCTGTTTTGGTTTTTTGGTATTTGCGCTTTTGCCGAGCGATTACCCTTCTCGCATCTAATGAAGGCACTAATTCAAAGACACTAACGGCAGGGATGCTGATGCGACGCTGCAAAAAACTCGTTCGCATTTCACCATGTGCAAGATTTGTAGATGTGCCGAAATCACTTAAACTGTGTGCAACCGCACAGATTATAATAATTTGGCGTTTGTTCAGCATCAATGCAAAACTAGAAACCGCTAAAATCTACCACAAGTAAACAGTAAACGTAAATGTTTGTTTCCGTTTTTTCCGCACAACTCTTTGAATGGGGGAAGCGAAGCGTTCTGCCTCTCTCTCTCTCTCTCTCTCTGGATAAATTGAAATCATAAAACCCGTTCAAGGGATAAAGGTGAATGTGAATGTGTGTGTGTGTGTGTGTGTGTGTGTGTGTGTGTGTGTGTGTGGGTACATGAGAGAAAGAGAGCAGATGAGACGTCGTGTATCTGATGTGCAGCGGAAAAAGCGTTAACTATGCGAAATTTGTTTTCACACGTAATTTAAGAGATAAGTCAAGCCGAGAAGTGCTCAAGCGAAAAGCATAAGAAATGCAAAATCGTCATTGCACACGTCACGGCCACAAGCAAATAAATAAATTGAGAAAAGCTAAAAGCAATGCCCATTTACGAACGCATCCATGCCCACCACCTCCACTGCTCACTTTCTATGCTGTTATTAATTAAGATTTAGAATAATATTCGGTTAAAGTCAAGCAAAGTGGAATAAATTTTACCGCCCGAATGTCATCATTAATTTATTTAAATGCGTTTTTATGTATCCATATTACAAGCGCCTCAAGCATTTCGTATCATATCGTCTGCTTTTGTGCTTTTGCGCTTTTATCCAAGTCATTTCACATCGTGTTACAGTGTTCGTTTGCAAATAATGCACATTTTCGGAATGGAAATGGGCATTTGTACGAAAGAAAAGTCGACAAAAGATTTTCGTATTTGATTTTTTTTTCTGCATGATATTCACTTTCACTCGGAACTCTGAACATGAAATCCAATGTATTTGTTGAAAACTTTTTGGGAGATTTAAAAGAAAAAAGACACACACTTTTGGAAGACTATTACATATTGAATTGCTTTTTCTCTAAATACAATACAGAAGAATGTGTGTTTGGCGCGTATACGTTTGAATAGGTGTCGGGTGAGTCGTTTTGAAATCTCAAAATAAATACAGATTAACACGAATTTATTTATAGAAAATGCTCTTTTGAGGACTTTTTGTGCGTTTGCATTTCAGCATTCGCAAGTTAGATTTAACCTAAGCGAATAATAATTGAACAAGTTCTGATCGAGTGAATCATTTTAATAAATAATAACGTTTGAGTTCTTTTTTATGCCGGATCTGGGCAGAAATATTTGCATGAAACATTGTACAGAATTCGAAATTGAGCTCTCGAATTCGGTGAAGCACAGCATTTTCAAATTTGTTTCAGTGGAAATGTGCTACTTGATTTATTTATAAACGATTGATATTGTTGCTTGATATTTGTCAAATACTTACGGGCAAAGTTTGTCCAAATCCGATTTTTTCGAAAGAAACGATAGGCCAGAAAATTCGGAAATCTCCGATAGTGGACGTGTACACGATACGAGTTCGTTGAAATCACAGGTCTCCATTTTGACATAATTACATAGACCTGGAATATGTGAAAAGAGCAAAACCAAATATAAGTTGTATGAATCGAAATCATTTTCACTGTATTATGTTGTCGAATCAATACCAGAGTTAGGATATGTGTTAGATGCCGTATGCATCCACTAGTTTTAATGTCGATGCTGTCAAACAGCACCACAACTCTTTAACCAAATGTTCACTGTATGGCTATTCGTGAATCTAGTACATATTTTAATACAATGTAACGCTGGCGGAAACAGAATAGGCGAACATTTAGGGCAAACATCTGAACGATACCCTTAATCGTTCATCTAATCGAAACAAAATTTGTAGCTTTTCGAAACTCACCCTTCTCGCGTCGGCAATGGAAAAGTACGGTTCAAAATGATAGATAAACCACAGTAATTATATAGATGCTTGGTGGCCGCAGTAGCAGTATTTTGCTACGCTCCATATCCATTAATCGAATGGTTCGAAATGTCTGTTTACAGTTCAGATACGAAACAATGCAAATGATATTTGGTGCACGTTGGTTTTGATTGGTTTTCTCATTTTTGTCGATTTCTGACTTTTGATCGAATATAATAAGCTTTTTTCGCGTGACAACATCGATTGCAAACGGCATGTTTCAATATTTGGACTGTTCTGTTCACATTCACAAACATTGAAAGCATTCGATAGTTGAAGCGAATGTCAAACCAAATTTTTTTTTCTACCGATGGTCGGCAAGGGTCTGGGGGCAGTTTTGTCGGAGGTTTCTTGTGCGTTGCGTATGTCATTACTGGGAATATGCAGCAGTATTGTTTGAGCTCATGCTAAATCCGTCCGTTGATTACATGTTCGGTTGTTGACGGTATTGGTATTAGCATTGGTGTTTGTGCTTCGGTTTGAGGTTTGTAGTTATTTTCACTATTGGAATATTTTAACTTAATTACATTTTTTTTCCTGTTTATTTGCTTGCCACTGATTGTGTTTGCATCTGTGGTATAGTATTTGGAAATAAATTACACGAGCGACCCAAAAATGCCCTGTACATGCATTTATAATCCGAGAGCACTGTAATTTTCGTGCCGCTAGTTGGCCGTTAAACCATGCGCCCATTTACAGCTATTATATTTGCGTACAATGTAATCATCAGATTAAGCATACATTTTTATCATGCATCTTTTGAAGCATTGTCCTTCGCGGCGCGAGCGCCAATTCATTAGAAGAGCGGAGGTTTGAAATGAGTTTGAACTTTAATTTGAAACACTATACAAATCATACGACATCGATAAATTCAACGAACGAGATAAAACATATACGTATGTATTAATACTGTGCATTTTGTTGCTAATGATAATGGTCGATATTTGCCCGCATCGCTTCGAATTACGCGCATCATTATTAATTGACGTGAATCAGATTGAAAAATGCACTTCCATTATCTCATCATTTAATGATGGATTATTGTGCATATTTCATTTAGGCTTTTAAGCATTTGAATGCGTTTGCATGGCGAGATTTTGATATACTATCAACATCAACATCATTTCAAATACATTTATAAAATTGGGGATAAGATTTGGCTTTTGTATGTATGAAATTTAATTTCCATTTGAAAAAGGATTGCGAAAAAATAAAGTGTTTTGATAAAAAAAAAAATAAAAAGACACATACACACATATCAGGTCCTATGTGCTAATGAGCTGTTAATTACTTTTTTTTCCATATCACACGACCGTTTCAGCGATAATATGATTGATTTCGTTCTGAACAACAGCAAATATAACAAGTGTCGACACAGACTGTTGTTGATAAAAAAAAGTGCGGTTACATAATCTTGGATCGAACTCGTGTGCATACCACAAATGAAATTATCGATTCAGTTATTTGAACGCATTGAAAAACTGCAATCGTATTGCTTAACGTGATATAAATAAAATAAAGTTGGAACTTATTTAAATCAGATCGATCAATTATTCAGACAACACGTTTTTGAAAGGCGTATATGTTCTCTATTAAATGACAACGCGATCGATAATTCCAAATGCGGTTAATGGTGAGAATTTTGATTGATAAGCGGCCAGTAACGATATCGAGAGTACCTTAATACAAGAATGTGTATGAAACTGAAATCAATGCGATGCATTAGTATTTCGCATAGTTTTCTATGTTGTCACTGTTTCAATAATATGTATATAACGCATGGATGCTAGAAAAACTGAATGTATTATTGCAACAAGCATGAATGCTTATTTAAGATGACACTTCGACTGACATAGTCCAGTCGAAACATGTCTAATCTGTTCGGTTTGTATGACACGTCAAATGTTCAATGTGAAAATGCTGTCATGTGCCGTGACTTTGTCGAAAATCCTGACTCGAATCATACGATACGAATCCATCGCGTGATTTTGTGCCGCATCATAATGCTTATCAGTCGCAACTAATTTGAATTACTTATAGAAAAATGGTCTGATTTGTCATCACAAAAAAGTGAAGGAAAAAAATGCAAATGTAAATATTTTTTTCTGAAGATTTAAATGGGCTTCATCGATGCATAGTTGAATGAGTTGAAATTGATAAGAAAGATTCGATTGATATAGCTACTTTGCAGGCTTACGTGTAATTAGTACAATATAGTGTAATCAGAGACCAAACCAACTGAAATCGGTTTCCTACAGCATTCAGACCATCTTACAGACATTTCACATAATTATCCATTACAATTTATCGCTATTTACTTGCCAACATCGCAAATTTCTGGCCACCGTCAAATAATCCCATAGTTATACGGCTATTGTATGGACCGATGTATTATGTGTGTGTGTGTGTGTGCTCAACAACGAAACTCGAACTGTCGAACTGTTTAATCGGCAATCCATCTTTATTATGTCTATTGCCATTTATTGTCGACTCGATCGCGAAACGATTTGGAAAATAGTCATCGTGTTTGGCTCTTTTTTTTCGGGGCGTACAGAAAGTCCAAAATCACAATCGAAATGAATTACGACAATCTCTATCAATTGGATAGGATTTACTGTGCACATTCATTCCCGTTGGCATTGTTGAGAGTTGTATTTGGTGTATATTTTGTGATGCTGCGGTTCCAAACATTGTGTTATTGATGAATGGAACACGAACATGAAAACATGCGCTGAGCGAATTGTATCGGCACACATTCCTGTTGAATATTCGATAATCCCCTAAGAGAATTATGATGATGCGCTTTGCCACTTAAATGTGCCATAACTTTTCAATCTTTTCAATTTATATGCGATTGGCATTTATAGAATGAATGACGATGGACAAAAAAAATACCCAGAGAGAGAGAGAGAGAGAGAGAGAGAGAGAGAGATTTATTAGATCCAATCGAAATAGACAACTGCGTTCCTGTAGAACCATTATACAGATAGCTATGTACTATATACATGTGTACGAGTCATATTCGTTCCCACTCATTCGGCAGTATTGTTGTCTGATGCATATCAGCACAATAAATAATGTCATTATTTCAATGTGTCTATGAAATCAAGTAAAACCCATTGAACTATACTCATTCACTAGCTACTGTATATTTGTTTCTTCAATTCGGAGTTCACTCTGATCGCTTATGCCCCATTCTTCCTTGTCCACTTTTCGGCATCTATTATCTACTATTATCTCTGCTGTACGGAAAGTTTATCGAGAGTTTTTCGGTTCGGTTTGGCGTTTACACGTTTAATGTATCTAAATATCACCTGTCAATTACAGCAAATTACATTTGGTCGAGAACTCTGCTCGCATGATTTTATTTAAAAGTAAGTGATTTTTGCATTGGGAACAATAAAAGAATCTCACAACTCTCGTCCATTACCTTGGAAAAACATTTATCTGACGTTGATTGGCTAAATATAACGTTCCAACAGGCCAAAGTCCATCGAAATGGGCAAACAAATTTGGCTGAGTTTCAAAGTTCCTTCAGATACAATTTTCATTCAGTTAGAATGCACCGATAAATCACAGCAATAGAAAAGAAAATACCGACAACAACATGAGTATACTGTGTTGAGCTGTCAAATGTTTTATCCAATTTGATAAAACTGACACCTGTTCAACAGTTTTTGCACTGCTGTTTTTTTTCTCGTAAATAATAGCACGATACAGTAAGTTTTCAGTCGGATGGTAATTGACCTGATTCAAATTCGATATTACCATGCGATGAGTGTCGAATTACGTTATTATTCAAACAAAATGGTATAAATTTATTTATGGAAAATTCGAGCAAATCAAACACAGTGTTGATAATTATGTTTTCAAATCGTCCATTCGCAAAAATATAATTAATAGCTAGAGTTGAATGGAACTCTCTGCATAAATCAGTTAAAATCACATACATATTTGTACACTGTGTGTCGTAGTCAAATATTTTTAACCGAAGTTCATGTTTTCGATACAATATTTGACTCATAAGGTGACACAGAGACGATGTCGAAATTCTCGGAATGCTGATCGCAACATTCGATGAGAAGAGAGAGAAAAATAACAAAAAATCAAAATAAACAATCTGACAAAAACACAATCAGTTTGCCACAGAAACAGGCTGTTAAATGCGTAGACTATTCGCATAAATCATACGTGAGTAATCTAAGGCCATCGACTAGGGTGATGTCTAAGCTTATCGTCTCGTCTCAAACTTTTGTGACAGTTAATAAAAAGTTGTTGAAAAGTGGAATCGTCTAACTTGTTGGTCGAATGTGATGTATTTAAATTGAAACTAATTAGAATCATGTATCGTGTTTTCCTTCTTTTTTTCCCTTCGTTTCTTTTAAATTCAAAATTCAATTTCTTCGTCCATTTTCCAAGATATTGTTATGAATTTTTGATATAGTCGTTATGAATTTTGTAAAAGTAGTTTGTTCGGCTAGAGTGGCACTGGGCACCCTGTGATAAACAATCGCGCGCTACATGTGAAACTGACTGATGAGTCTCGTTGTCTTGTACATATGTATCGACCAATTCAATTCAATTACAGTTTTATTGTTTGTCTGCGAGATGGGCTCGAATCAGTATCAAAAGATAGCGTGTAATTCATCATCTATTTCAGTTTCATTTGGTGTCATCGACGATGCCAAGCGTCGTCTTCGAATTTGTACGAAGCGACCACGATAAAATTAGACTCCGCGCTATTCTCTCGCGTTCACATCGAATTCTCTTGAATCGTTTACTAATCTATAAGACGCACTATTCTATATATTCATCAGAAATTGGGGAATTTTAGTTAAAAATCAATCGTAAAGTTTACCACAATAATAAATAGAAGTAATCTTAAAAATCAAAATGGATTGAGTAGAAAATGAGACGAAATCATCGAATATGTTGTTTCAAATGTGTAAATTGTGATAAAAATATATGATAAATACTCACCAATTAAAATGGTTGAAAAAAATCCCAACAGATTTCTGTTATTAATGCCGTTCATGTTTAGACTAGAAGTTCAGACTCAAACAAACCACGTAATCTCCAGCTGATTCTGATAGGTTGAATTGCGTAACACACAAATGAGACGGTTTTATTGTCGCAAACAGCGAATTATGTGCGACGGCAAAACAAAATCAATGTTACAACGCTTTGCCGTCCAAAATAAAAACCGACCGATTTTTGCATACGATGCTCAATTGCAAATCGGCTCAATACAAATTACATTTACGAATGTCAACAAAACTGACTCAACACGAAAATTAAAAATGTCACACAAACTAAGTTTTAAATGCACCTTTTGATTTTCCCGAATTTCTTTGGTAGGAAAAAAAAAATAATGACGAAAATTACCGAAAAAAAGATGTTTGTTTTATATGATGTTTATGATTACTTTACAATTTCGAGTGAAACTTTTTTTTTCTTTCGTTATCTGCGTTTGAAGTGTATGAATTTTGGTTCGACGGCAGAGATGCGGTTTGTGTTTCTTTCCCTTCCAAACGATGTAAATATATATATATATATATATATATATATATATATATATATATATGGAAGAAGGACTTTTTGCCGTTGCTATTTGAAATGTGTCCCTTTTTCGCAGTATCACTTTGGAACGACAAATCTGATTTATTCTCGGTAATGCTTGTACCTGGTGGGTTCTTTTATTGTGTTGTCATCCCGGAATAAGTCCAGTTTTTCCGTTTCTTTTCACTTGCTCCGCGTAATTATATTGCATATAACATTAAAATTCACAAACGAACCAAAAAAAAACGGTTTTAATTTGCACAAAACTGAAGAGGAGTTGACTGATACACGGAATATGAAATAAACGAAAAACCCATAAAAACCAAAACGTTTTTTTTTGTTTGCACACGATATAAAAAACAGAACGTGAAAAGTTTGCGTTTTTTTCACGTCCGCGTGCTGGATAATGTAGTCGCTTTTGTTGATAATATTTAACTGCCCTCTATTTGCTTATAAAATCGTTCTATCTGCATGTGCTGTCTCTACTCCCGAGAATTGTAGACTGCACTCGGACGAGTCTTTCTTTTTCAGTGTCGAATCGTTGTTATCGTCGTCGTTGCTGTGGCCGCCGCACGAGAATGCTTCTCTTTTCTTTTATTGAGTGCTGATTTATATTTATGCTGCTAAACCGTTTACACACAGTCCGATGTCTTGCTATATTCGTATTTTGTCGCTCTCTTGGTCGCGTGTTATGATGACGCTCTCACGACGTTACCGATCCGACTCTCTATTGGCTCTAGTTTGACTACTGTTGCTTCTCACTTACACACCACTTAAGTTGACGTCGGTGATGTTCGCGTTATGAGTTAAGAGTGCATAAAAAAAAAACGAGCCGAACAATTAGGCAACACTCGCGCGCGCGATACACTCACAGCAGAAACAAAAAACCGTACTGCATTCGTTTGCTCTACTCTAAACTGCAACCGTCGGATAATACATTCGAAATGAGTCCTCGGTTGATGATGGTACAGTCTTCTGGAATATTGTGTGAGAGAATAAATTTTGAAAGCGAAAGAATAAAAATGAAAGAAACAGTAGCGAAAAGCATTAAGTTGGGATTAAAATTAAAATCGACAATGTTCCAGCCGTAATTATATTTATAATAAGAAAAGATGAATATTGTTATTGTCTCTTTTGCGATGCATTTTTCTCTCTATTTGGTAACTTTTGCTGCAGAGATTTTTTTTTCGCCCTTGCTTCTACATCGTCGTCCAATTTTTACATTGTTGACTATCGTCGATAAGGACATACATACAGCTGCAGAAGAAAAAAAACGATGAAGAAGCAAACGCGACGAAATAAACAAAGCGAATAAAATTTAAATGTTGAAAATGTTCACACTTTTTATCTATGCAATAACTTTTAATATTAAAGCCATGGCGCGCTTCTATAACTGAATAATTTTATTGTTGACACTTTTTTAATGATTTTTGCAGTAAATTCGTGCGAAACAAGTTATTGTACAGAGGAAAAAAAAAATCCTTGTCATTAAAGTGTTCACTAATTATCGCTCTCCCCCAGCATTTTTTCACAATTCGTACAACTTTGACAGTTGCAGTTTTCATCTGTGAAAAATGGAACTGTTTGCATTCGTTTCAATTGTGAGACATTTCGAAATGAAGATATTTAGTATTTAATGTCAATTGCTGGTGCGAATTAATTTTTCTCTCTTATCCTGTAGAGATTTGTGGATATTGGTATTTTTTCTTTGTTCGTCTCCGAAGTTTTATTCGAGTGGAAAATTGCGAACCTTAGCGAAAAAAGTTCATTTATCAAGCGGATAACGAAGGCAACAAAAGAGAGTTTTTTTATTATTAATATTTCACCCCTCCTACGGCTGTATCGTGATTAAACAACACAAATTCTGCTTACATTGCCGCTGGATAAAATGTGAAAAATGCAATTTAAAATGTTGCATCTGTGGAAAAATCGTTTCTGAATATCATTTATGCTAAATATTTGCACATTTTAGGGAATTCTTTTTACTCTTGTAACCAATTATGAGAGAGATTACACTTTTTTTCTCGTTGCAACATCATCATGCATAAGCGATGCGAAAAACGAATAAATGAAAATGTCGGAGATATCATTAATTGAGAATAAATGACTTGAAGTCATAACGTGTGGAAAATCCTCGAACCATACTGACAAAATATGATGTGTCAGTGCATAACATTTAACTGAAATCGTTGGTTTTGCTTGTATAATTCATCTTCCGAACGCTACATGCTCATCATAAAATAATGCGCACAGTTGCACCCGCATCAAAATTCATCTGCTGCGAAGAAATGCTGGATAGTATTTTTTTTTTCAGTTTTAATTTTGTTTAACAAATAAACTAATGCCAAATATTATTATGTATGAATGGGATGAATGCAGAGCATGGAACAAGCTTTTAATATATGGCTAATATGGCTAATTTTGGAATCGCCGACTGTGTATGTATAAGTGTGTATCTGTGCGAGAACCACAAAGCCAAATGCAAATTAGAACGGGAATGAAGAGCACGTTGATTAAATTAAAAGTCAATAGTTTCATATTCACTTTATGTCGGGTAGTAGTAATAGCACCACGGTATCGAGGCTCTCGCGGAAAAATATAAAACATGAGATAAATTCAACATTTAGATTCACTCACTCACTCACTCGCTGCTTTCACTTGCTCCGAACTCGCTAATTACATTCCAAACTTTGGTGCATTAGAATTGCATTTTGTCCCAGTTTAAAATGCTATTAAATTTAATTAACCGAGTGCATGGCCAATTATTTACATATTCACTTTGATAACTTTTTCCAAAATTATTTAGTTTCCTGACGGTTTATCATGAAAAGGATGCCATTCAAACATAGCTGGAAACAAATAGATCAAAGCATTGCATGTCATACCGCAAATTATTCAAAACAACTTAATTAATTTTCAACAATTTGCATTTGCTCATCACTTTTTCTGTTGATATTTACTGTAAACTAATCGATATTCAGAATTAAATGGGATAAATATCTATTTAAAAAAAAACTGAACATGAATTCCATATTTTATGGGCAAAAACGGAATCTCGTTTATCGATTTCTTTTTTTTTTTAAATATGCAATTGAATTATTCACAGCGGCATCGGCTGTTTGTCAATCATTTTAAATGCAATAACCTCGCTTAAAACTGTGCCTAAACTGAAAAAAAAAAACAAGAAGAAGAAACAACTGAAACAATTAACGTATGAAATGGCCACTATCAAGAAACACAAGGGAATAAATTGGTTTTTTGACCCATCATATCGACGACTTCTTATTGAAACTCATACAAACCGCACTCGTTGTCACAATTGTAAGTATTAGAAATGGGGGTTTTCTTTGATTTGATTGAAGAGAAATAGCTTTTCTATTTTCTGCTTGAATCAATCAAATTCGTCAATGGTCGTGGCCGAGCCATTGTTATTTCATCGTAAAAAATGTATGTCCAAAATGAAAGGATGATTTCAGTGGTAATAATTTATTCATGTGTCGAAAACAGTAGCAATTCTAGCTGATGACACACTCATTCGATCTAATTAACACGAAGAGCCACTCGGTATGATTTCGCTGGATAATTTATTAAATTGCTCTTGATCAGTGTGACATGAGTTGAAAATTTTCGAAATAATTTCTGTGGGCGAAACGTGCTCGCACGCGCTTTCAGCACTCTTTTCCCATTGGTGTGACCACACCGATGTGTAAATTGGGTTGTTTTGCATTTTACCCATTCCGAAAAGTAAGTATCTTTCACATTTTATCAAAAATGTTTCGAGTGCTATTCATTAATGATGAGTTATGATGAATGAATGAATGCATTTAAATGTACGAACTATTCAATATATTCGTCGGAAACATTAACACACCATCAAACCAAACAAAACAAGCTAAATAGGCTAGCATTTATTTGGCTAATGAATTTATTTGGGGCAAAATTGTAGGTGGCTTCGAAGCATGAGTGTATCTCTCTCCATTTCTCTCCCTCTCACTCTCTATCTACGAAATATATTGTGCCATGCATGACCATAGTCCATTCGTATCCATATCCATCTCAACGATAAGTATATTGTTGTGTCTTAATTAAGTTTAATTAGTTTAGATTAAAATGGAAGATGCTGTAATCTGCATAGTGCTGAATGGACCTTGTTAACTGTAATGAGTGTAATTGCGATCGCATATACAATGTACACTTTGAAAATTTAAAAGCATGAAAACTATACCAATACGTAAATCATCCCACGTTCATGAGTCTCGAGAGCGCAACACACTCGTAACGAATTTCTGGATTATTCGCACCAGCCAACCGTTCGTCCGAAGAAAACCTGATGATGCTGTACATGCGACCCATTCGCATCCAATTATGTTCTTTTTCAAGCGATCTGGATTTTATTCGAATACCAGGCAAACAATAACAAATTATTCATTGGCAAGAGACAAAGGCACTGCGGCTACTTCTCTGTCTCTATGTGCTTGTTTCTTTTTATTAGCTGGCCGTCGGTTTTATTTTTTGTCGCACTCAATGCATGTCCCGGTTCATGTGTCGGAACGGTTCGTCGGTACGGCGAAACAAGAGAGTGGAAAAACAGCAATTATTTTTAATTTAATCCAATAAACATCAAACGAACGAAAAATTTGCTTACGAACAAAAAATGCCAACCGACGAAGTAAAAAGTGTAGAGGTCTATTGACACAAAAAAAAAAGAAATAAAATAAAAACCCAACGAACGAACACTGGCCCGAATCAGAGTGAAAGAAAGAGAGAAAAAAGAAGGAAGAAGCACAGAGCAGATAATAAGAGACACAAAGAAACGTACGTGGACCGGCTCGGAGTAATAACCATGCGGCGGTATGTGGAAAGAAAATTGAATGCATGGCGCGCGCGATTCCTACTGCTTGAAGGCTGCATTCTGTAGTCGAAATTGGAATTGTTCTGGTACTTTCAGTGAATACTTTATCATTATTGGCCGTACAGTGGTGTCATACCATGAACTGTCATATCGCATCACGTCAGTTCAATTGCTAGAATCAAATTGCGATTTGTCGCTCACTAACTACCCTATAATGATCGGTGGTAGTTTTTCGATGAATACTGCGCCACTGTAATTTGGTTTACCTGTGTCGCGCTTCCAACGAGAGATGGTATTTCGACTTCGGTTTGCCAAAATAAACAATAAGTGAATGAGCGCGATGAGCGGAAAAAACGGAATGTGTGAAAAAATGCATCGATGAACGGACATGGGACAAATGAGAGACGAGAGGGCAGCGACAACGAAAAAAAAGCAGTGGCATAAAGATCATGGTGTCTAATGGTGTAATGCGAAAAACAATGAGCATCGAATAGGATGCAGTCACAATTGCACAGCGGTTTTTCCCGCATGTTTGCCAAATAAAATGTGCAACAACAGCGAATGGTTGAATAGCCGAAAAGACCACTGCATTCACAAACCACTATCGTTCTTCTGCTACTCGTGCTGACTTTTTTTTCATTTCCCTGTTGTCTTGCTCCCTGCTCATTCCGTTATTAAAACAAACAGAATTTTTAGATCGCACGTTCATTTTATGTTTGTGTGATGTTTTATTATTCTGTTTTTCTCCTTGGTCGGTTCCGCTGTTTCACCTTTTTTTCACCCGTTCACGATTGCATTCGCCGTGGCGAAACGAAAGCCAGCACACATAACACATAACATATCCTTATGGCACTATGACTACTGTATATTGGCCAATTCAACAACACGAATTATTTTGTTCGTATTTTGGTGTTGTGATAAGAATGCTTTTTGGTTGTCTGTTTATTATACGCAATGCAACAATACATAGCTACCGTGCTGCTGTTGTCGTCACTTTTCTTCGGTCTACTGCCACAGCTACTACTACTACTTTTTTTCTCTTGCTGTTTGGATTTTTCCTTGCGCTTCACCGATGTATGGCGTTTGACTGTTGTTATTTATCATAAAAATGGTAGGAAGGTGGAAAATATTCAAAAACGATTGCCATTTGGCCGGTTTCGGTATGTGGTGTGACCGTTTTCGCCAAGTGCAACAATAACAACAACAACAACAACAAAAGCCCCCCCCCCATATGAAATATGTACGTGCCATAGAAAACGATATATTAAATTTCTATGCGCTTTTGCAAGTGCTCACGCTCGGTTTGTCGTCAGTATACGATTTGGCTATGACGTTTAATAAGCAATAAAAGAAAAGGAACGCCAAGGAATAAACATTTTTGATTGATTTCGTTGCACACAATCTAAAATTGAATGCTTTGACCGAACGTTCACTGGTTCTGGTGCATCAACCAAAACAAATTAAATCGGACGAATAAGAAAAAGAGAGAAAGAAAGAAAGAAAGATGTGTTCGTGAAATATTGAAGCATAGAAATAGAGCGATTCGACACGGTAATGTGGTTTTAAACGATACAACAACAAGAGCAAAACAATCTAACTGATGCGACACACCGACGATACAATGCCAAAATGCTTAATGTACGAAATGGAATTTTTTCGTAAAACATTCGCCACGAATATAATATAGAATATAAGGTGGCAAACGAGTAGCATTGACACTAATCTTTTATCTTCCATAAATTTCCGGTGAAAAATTTGAATATAATTATGGAAGTTTTGATATAATTGTGCGCATTTTTCGGTTGAAACAGATGATATTTGAATTGCGTGACGACAAAACATGTGGAGAAGCGATCTAATTTGCCTGCCTTTTAATTCGCTACCATAAAGATATCGAAAGTTGTTTGTCAGTTTTTATCTACAAAGAATTGAACCAAATGCCATCGAATCCATAGAAATATACATTTTTGTAGTCAGATCAATCGGAATGTCTTTGAAGATTGGAAAGCATGTCGTCTCAATAGTTTTTATGAAAGAAAGGTTTTCTGTATTATTTATTGGAAACAGACGGTCGTTCGTACCATAAAATACAATAGAAATGAAAATCGATTTAGGAAATAGAAATGATCGTGCAGGTAAAATAATTTGAAAGACGAAATACGAATAACGACAAACAACTCGGTATAATTCTGTGTAAAATGTGTGAATCAAATGTCATGTTGGTTTCGGTCAGGCGATTTAGTGGGAGATCAATAACAAATTTTCAATTTATCAAATAATAATAACGTCATGCACGATATTTGATACACACTTACTTATTGCTCTTGACGAATGTGTTCGGACACAGTGTGTATGGTACTCGTAGCGACCGATCTCCGTGTGATTCAGTGTACGTGTGATGTCTGTGTCTGTGTGATTAGCGGGGCCTTTACAGTCTTGGTGTAAACGTTATATCGTACGATATTTTCTTTTATTCACACAACTTTGGCTCGAATATTATTCGTATTTTGCTTTGTGTTGCTATCCCACTCTGATTCACCTGTACTCCGATTCGATCGCTCTCGTTTTCTTTCTCAGCATGCGTTTACTTTTAAAGAAATCGCACCACGTTTACATTTCTTTTGCAAAAAGTCATCTAATCAGAGTGCAAAATCTCATTCGATCAGGACTTTTGATTTTTTCTAACGCAAATAAATCGCCGAATTATTTGAAAAAAAAAAAAAAATAATAATAACATGCTCATTTAACAAATCGCAAGCAAACAAGTAAAAAATAATGTGAAAAAATAAACAACTTGATAAAATTACTTTACGGCGAATTTGTAAAACAAAACTTTTAAAATGAACTTTTCTCTCAAGTGTGAAGCGCAAACTACGTTTGTGATACGCGATGGTCACACGCTCTATTTAGTTATGATGACGATGATGCTAAAGCACTTGTTCACTTGTCAACGGTCCAATTTCGACTGATTTCAAATATAAACAGAGAATGAGCACAAGGAATCGGAGGAATTGTAGCCGAAATATGTACAACATCGTCGTTGTATATATACACAGTGCGAGACGCTGCAAGCACATGAGAGCGGCACATTGATATTCTACGAACCGACAAAACGGTGAGAGTCACCGAATGGATAACTAAACAAATTGAATGAAGGAAATATGTAACAAATGACTACAATCACAATTCAACAGAGAACTCCCTCGGCAAGCGACTGAGAGAGAGAGAGAGCGCGCGCAACAGAACGAACACGTTACGGTACGGCAATGTGGCTGAATGTACATGTTAACACAGCGTTGTCTGTGGTTATATGCTTGTTTGTATCGCCTCAGTGTATGCGAGAGATATTCTTTTGTAAAGCAAAACTTAGCGGAAAGATAACGAGCGCAACAGAGACATACATAGAGTCACGCGTGTATGCGAGACCGGCATCCCAATAGACGAATGTGTTTATGTATGCTGAGCTATGATAAAAGAAATTATTAGCGTTTCGATGAGTATTGTGTAGCCAATTCGATGTGCCTTTCATTGCGACCTGATTGTAATTGATGTGTAGAGGCGAAGTGATCAGCGCGGTCCAATTTTATCACGACACATTTGCACATAAGCCAGAACTAAACGGCAAACATTTCGATTCGTCATAATTATGACTCATTGCCAAATCATCACAAATGATAAGTTATCGATAATACCAAGAATGCAAAATCTTTGACATGATATCCGATTTATATCTTGGAGATTCCCCGAACTTGGGGGAAAAAATGGGACAAAAAATGACATTAGGTCAATGCATGTATATATATTTGGTGCATGTTGCGTTCAAACAAGTTCTGAAAATAGATGGAAACGTTCGAATCGTTGGCTATCTAATTTCCACTGCTATTTCTTGGGGGAGTCAACTATATTAGAACTCCATTGAAATTAGAAATTCACCAAATTATCAAAAGTTTTGTTGAAGAAAAAGAAAAGAAACTTCGTCTGTAAAATGTTTAGCATAAGGAAAAATTAATTCGGTGAAAGTGATCTGTCAGCGTAACGGTAATCGTTAGGCAATGGAAGAAATCTTTAAGATAAAGCCCATTGGATTCAGTTAGCATTTGTTAATGGTCTCGAATAAAGTTTTACCCATAAAACTTCCTGCAAAACACACATATCCTCCATGTTCATCGATACCCACAGCCAAGCCTACAAAATTATATTATGGGCACACACACACAAACATTATATTATTGCGCCTAATTTAATTAAGCTGACACTTTGCGACAATAGCAATGAATTCAAAATTGTACACCAAAACACACGGGCTCATCTCGATCGCATACACACTGTGTGTATGTGTGTTATACAACTGCAGTTGTGCCTGCAGAGAATAATTTGGCAAAAACATATGAATTTAGAAATTATTATGAATATTTTGGAAGAACTTTATTCGCCACAAGTTTTTTTTTATGTCCCTTCCGCACCGTATTAACTTTGGCCGTTAAAATATATATATATATATATATATCCCGTTGTTGTGCTGCTTTATCATTATTATCGTTTGGGTTTGTCTTCATTTTTGATTTCACCCCATAGCAAAAACGGTGCAAAACGGAAAAGTTCGGTGAGCATTTCGGCAAAGTGGCGGCAAAACCACATCCCGAATATATACGTATTCGTGTGTTTTGTAGGTTTTCAGCAATGACACAGTGGGATACGTGTGTACGAGTGCGATAGAATGCGAGATCTGCTCATGGAAGCCAAACACATATCAAATACAAAAATAAGCATCTTAATTTGTGCAGTTGTTCAAGTTGCTAATGCAAATTCACACTGTAACTTTGGAAACATTGCACGACATCTGAGATTTACATTCATAAAGATAAATTGACTTGCGCTAAATACATGCATCAAAAATATTACGCTGGATTATATGACTCAAGGGACTCAACCGTTTATGGTGCCACATTTATCGTGTGCGAAATTATGAATGAGCTGGGGTAAATCGAAAAAGGAGAGTTTTACTATAATGCATTGCTAAATTGACCTCTTTAGAGCGGCAATAGACTGTTTTTCCTCTTTTTTTTTTTGATTTTTCACTCTTCACTTCAAATGACATCAACACAAACATGATAATTAGGATTAATGGAGATTCAACAGAAATTAATCGAGAAATTTTGAAAAATTACCTCGCCTGGGACTAATGATTCCATTCAAACGACTTCATTCTTTGGCATTTTTGCAAAAGGTCTTCAAGTTCAGCATTTGATTTTGGTAAAACGTCTTTAACGACACTACGATTACGACAACTTACTTTGCCTTAAAATGAAATTCAAACAATAAAGCATTACTGGAACTGAATAGTTGTTGTTCTATGTATGTTTATTGAAAAACAATTATATCTATTTTCAGCAGTTATTCTAAGTCTGAAATATTGCATATATGGCTACAAAAATAGCAATTTGAATATTTGGATTCTAATGAGCTATGAGTACATAAATAAGGTTAGGTTCAAATTTGGTTACGAAAGTAATGAGTTTTGTATGTTTATTCGTTAGTGACTTCAGTTGAAAGTCAATCCGTTATTTTTTCTACGAAATGACTTGAAGCTAGCGCATGGAGTCGATTGCTGAAAGAGTAAGAGTTTTTTCATGTACATACTCGCACATTTGATTGATAATGCTTTCGTAATGCTTAGTTAAAAACTCATGAATATTTGCCAATCAATTAAGATTGTTGACTATTTTAGGGCATTGATGACGCAGATATTTGTTATTTCTTGGTAATCGCCGTCTATTGTGATTCACACTTCAGTCATAAAAGCACATATTGGTGAGTATATGTCGAATTTATCCATTTTTTTAAAGGCGCCAGTTAATTATTTTTCCATTTTCGAAACAATCAAATTAGGATGGAACACTCTCATGTTTTGAAAATCCTATATTATATGCACCTCCCGCATATATACCTATTGCTATCAAATGCAGGACAACATTTGCAGTACTTACCATTTGCCAGAGCTGGTCATCGGGGATTTTTTTCTTCGGCTGGTCAACGGGCCCATTCAAAGATGTATAAAAATGAACATTTGAATTGTTATCGCATTGTAATAAAACCAAATTAATTTATAATCAATGTTCAGTTTTATTTCATTCACTACGGTATTAATGTAATAAAATATCAAATACGTTTAAATTAATTTAAATAAATGATTTCATCCGTAAACAAAAAAACAATATGTTCCAACAAAACAGCGGAAATAATTCTTCTTTTTTTTACTGTTTACTGTAAAATTGTAAATATAACAAATTCCATTTTTATATAAATTATTACAACTTATACTGTCGTTCTTGATGCAAAATGCTTGTTATTATGTTTTTGTGTTTCTGTGGGGGCCAAAAACCATGCGAACGAAATTCGAATTTTAGAAAGAAAAATAAAATTGCCTTGAATTCAGATGAAATCTGGTGGTGTACAAATAAAGTTGTAATTTCTAATTTATGTTGTCGAACTCATTAAATGATCTTAAATAGTCTTGAATTCTTAGAGTATCGATAAGACTAACATTAAGAATTGTTTTTGTTTTCTTCTCTTGTTTCTTTTTTTTTGCATAATAAATGAAACTGAAGCGATTAACAAAGCATAGCAAATCAAATGAAAAGGAGTAATTTAACCTCAAATCAATTGAATAGTTTATGCATGAATGAAATTTCGATTTTATTTCTTTTTGTTGCTCGTATTTTTTTTCACTTCTTCTTTGTTTTTCTGTATATAAATTGTTTTGTTTTACGAAATCTTCCTTAGTTTTGTTACATAAAATTATTGTAGTTTGACATTTTTTGTGTATGGATGTAACCAATTTCCTTTAGTTTTCATCTAAACGAAGCCAAAGTTCTTGTTTTTGATGGCTAGTAAAAGTTTGTGTCGTAAAACGGCTTTACTCGAATACAATGGAATATACAGCCGTGATATACATGTATTGGCTGTTGGTAGATGCGCATCGTCGGCCGGTCGAATCGTGACGGATGGCATCGGTTGGAATCCCTCTTCGGATGCCGGCAACGCTGGTGATCCAGTCCAGAAATAAACCTGTACAGCAAACGAAGAAAAAAAAACGCATTAGTTTCAAATAATTAAGTTGCATGTAAAAGCCATACGTACCAAATCCTGTCGCTCCAAATTGGACATCTTCTCGACTATGCTCCACAACCATCTTTTGAATTTGATTAGTTTTTCACCACTTTCGCTCGATTCATCGTTGAAAGTTGTGTACGAAATCAATGTGCTCACATTGATGTCACCCACACCGTTCAAAAGCAATCGCAAATCTTCAGCGGTTAAAAAGTCCAATGCACCACTGGGTAACACATCAAATACACCTGAGCGAATAGCCTATGAACAATAACAAAAATGTTTATTCATTAGAATCATACACATAGTATATGGTCAATTAGAGTCATTCTATCGCTATTGTGTGAATATGATATTTACCTCTAATGATTTCTCATGTGTTTTAACTAAACGATAGTTTGCATACAGTCTGACATAGTCGTAAACATTTACTTCGTTCACTTGAATGTTTCGTCCGTTTGTGACAAGCTCAACGGAACCGCCGCCCTCTTCAGGTGTCAATGTAATTCTGAAAAGCAAAATATTGAATAGTAAGAAACGGGTTGATTGATAATTCGTTGAGTTACAAAATGGTTGAAATAACTTACACAAAGTTTAATTCTAAATTCGCCAAAATGTTAACACCGTCGCTCTTTGTCGATTCACACACCAGTTGCCGCAGACTTTCGTACACAACCGGATCGAAGAATGCTAAATCATGGAAACGTATTGGCCGGCCTAGGATGTACTTCAGAACGTGTCGTTGCAAGAACAGTGGGAACAATTCATTTTGCAACAAACATAATCCAATCAATCTGAAAAGATAACATCATACAATTAGAGAGGCTCTTTCATTCAATTTCGTGGTTTTTCTTACCTTCCAACATTTCTAAATGCATTTATTCGTTCATAGCTAGCGAATCCTTCGCGAGGACTGTAGAAACCACATTTTCCGGGTGAGTAGAATAGAGGCGCATAGTCATCTATAGCACATTCTTCCAATACCACGACTGGATTCATGCGTTGTTTGGCTGGTGTACTCGGAACCGATGCTGCCGATGATGTTCCACTTGAATTACCTAAGCTATTTGCCGCTGCTGAATCGACTGAAATAGCAAAAATTATGTTAGCCAAAAATATCGCTATTTGTTCAAATTTATTTTGAAATTATACAATTGAAGGTTAAGCTTACCAATTTCTTGTCGTTGACGATACAAAATAGTATCCATGGCTTCATCAGCTTTTTGTCTAAGTGTTTCTTCCGATGCTAAAATAATGAGAAGTTGAGGTGCTGGTAGTTCGAGTAACATTCCGGTGATCTTTTGTGCATTAGCCGGATGCAATGCGAATACTTTTGGATACAATCGATCGCCCAACTGTTGCAAATTATGTGGCAGATGATCGTTTAGATTGGAGTTTGAATTGCCACTATTATCGGTCAAATTGGATGGTCTATATGGGCGAGCATCGTAATTGAGTGTTCGTTTTGGTTCACGATTCGGTCGCCACAATGTTTTACTGCCCGAAATGCGTCGTGCCGAACTGCTCGATGAATTCGAGAGATCTCGATTGCTTGCATTATTCGATGAGCTATTACTGTTGCTGATACGATGACGTGAAACCACAGCAAATGGCATCGAATACTTGCCACTCGATGAAGTTGTTGATGAACCAACTTGCGCTGCTTCAAGATTGGGCAATTTTTCATTGGCCAGCAAAGCTTCGGCAATCGATGTGTAAAAACTGCGAGCAACGCCTGAACCCTCTCCCGGTTCATCTTTGAATGTTACTTTGACACGATTGAAGGCGAGTGGTGGGAATAGACGGCGATTTTGATTGTTAAAATGCGTGTTCAACTCTTTGAATGTTTGAATCAAGAGGTTGCTACGGTTTCGTTCCATTTTCAGTAAGGTTAAATCGCGTTGTTGTGCATTTCTGAGTTTCTCCATGTGTCGTCTAAATCTGGCTTCTTTCACTGGGAATCCACGCAATTCATAAACAATTGAACCGGGCTCAAGGCCAACGTCTTCCATGAAAACACGACCAAATAGATCGAGTGATAGTCGCCAACGGCTCAGCAGCAAATCCCATGTTGGTGGAGGCGGTGGTGTTGGCACTGCAAATGAAACAGTTGGCACTGGTGGTGCGGATCGGAAGTATTGACCACGAGGTGCCATCGATTCTTGACGGGTTGTGGCATTCAAATCGGGACTCGTTTCAACTGTCACATTGGCTGATATCTCTTGAATATCCATTGTCTCCGCATGTTGTATGACTTCGTTTGCATTTGCAAAGTTCTGGAAATGAAAACCGCATGAAATTTAGTATCTTAGTATCTTAGATCGAAATACATCGTACGTGAATGGAATAAATTAAATAAATCTGTACAGTGTACACTTCGTATCTGTTCCCAAGGAAATGACTGAATCATTTTGAGATCATCAGAAAGTGGCTTTTATTTTGGGTTTTATCTTTAGTGCGAATTGAATGCTAGACTTTCTTTCAATACGGTATCTGTAACCCGTTTGACTCAAACTACAAAAATTCGTCAAAAGTATAGTTAAAAATGAAATTGGCTTACCAATGATGCTGACGATCCAACGCGAACGATGACACTTTTAGATGGCGAGCCCAAACTGCTTCCTCCTGCAATTTCATTTGATGTGTTCAAAGCATTTGAACTTGAATCGTTAAAATTTGAAGATTCTCCGGATGTTTCTTTTGTTGAACCATCAGTTTTGCCCGTTTTGGCAAAAGCCGATGTTTTTCGTGGCGACACAATGATTTGTGGTCGAATGGTAGCGTTGCCAGATGAAGACGAATCACTGTTTTGCTGATGTGCATCAAATGAGTTTCTCGTATCATTTTCAGCATCTGCCATTTCGATGTCACCATCCAATTCCATTTTGGCAACCTTTGATTCTGTGCCTGCCTTTGACAAGTCTTGTGGTCCATCGGTTCGTTTTTCATTCTCATAAAAGTCGAAATAGGTTTTTTTCTTCAGTTGCATGTAGATATTGTATCCTTCTGGTGCTTGACGCGTTGGTGTTTCCTTGGATGTGCTTGGACCCGCTACATTTTGACTGTTGACCGATGTGCTTGCCTTGGCCGCCAGCAATTCACTTTGATCCGGCTTTTTCTCAACCTTCTCATCAACATCCACCGACATTGATTGATCCTCTTGCAGAGTTATATCAGAGTTACTTGTGTCATCCTTTGAACTATTCGGTTGGTTTGCTTGTGGAGTTCTCAATGTTGAAGATATTCCTAGGTGCGTTGGTGGTAATTCCAATGGAGTAAACGAACCAGCTGGTTCGGTACTTGGTCGCAGTGTGTCCGGTTGTTTTGGGATGCCAAACAAATCTTCACGACTTGCATTCGGGTGCAGTAAATGCGGTTGATCGGCTAACGGTAAGGCTTCGTTCATTGGCAAATTAAATGGTTCCGGTGGTGGGCAGCCCAAACATAACGTCGATTCCGAACGTTGAAAGAATGTATGTCGACTACCGGACACATTCGATAGTTCGTCATCAATCGATTCATTATCACAGTTCATTTGGATCTCGTATTCGCTATCATCGTTTTCGTTTTCATCGGCATCCGTCCATGAGCTACTGTCCGATTTGTCGTTATCAGTGCTGGATCGCATGTAATAAACGATGCCATCAACAACATATGCAATGTGACGTAATGCGGTTATATCGAGAACTGGCAATGAATCACGATGCTCCGAACTATGGGAACGCATCAATGACAGAGCATACGTTAGAAAATCACGGCGCGACGTTTGTGCATAGTTGTCGCGATCAAAGTTTCGTTGATTGTCTGTATTTGCTAGAAATTTTCGATTAAATTTCACAATTTGTAAATATACGCTTTGATTGGAACAAACGAAAATTAGAACGAATTCAATTAGTTTTGTGATCAATGCTTACCACTGAGAATATTTCTGCTTCCTGAATTCGACGAATCAATCAAGCGAGTGCGTGATTGTGACGTACCTCCGAGGACATTTAGTCCACTCAATGTGGCAGTTGATGTAGTCGTAGTTGGTGGAGTTGAGTTCAAATGTAGAGGATGCAATGGATGTGATGGATCGGTTGAATGAGTCAATGAAGCACCGAAGCGTAGTTGAGCTTCTGTTGCGTCCATTACATTCAACACCCAGTCCCATGTAGGCTTCAAACGACTTTCCAAAGCCATCTGAAATGTAAAGACATTATTGGTTGGCGTTACACTTTGCAACATCTACATTTTGTCGTTCAAAACAAAAGAAAAACCAGATTCAGTGCACTTACGTGAAGCTCATTGGCCTCTTGGTAGGAGATGTTTAAATTGTGCAACGTTCCATTCGCATACATTTCATTGACGGTGTTGAATAGTTGGCAAACCTGGCGCAAAATGATACCGAATGCACGTGCTAGGCTACTTGCGGTGGTTAGCATTGTGGCTGGTTCTTGTGCTGCTGTAACCGGATGGTTTGTGGTGCGTCGTAAAGCAGCTGGATCAATGAATACTAAACCAGAGCCACTGTGAATGAAAGCAAACAAAATGATTAGGTACATTCTTTCCCATAGATCTTATTTCGAATCTTACCTCGTCAAACGAACAGTTGAACGTGTTGCATCACGGTTTCGAATGGCCCATTGCATGGATTGTGGTGCCAGGTTGCTACGTTGATTTCCACTGCTCGTGGTGCGGCGTTCCAATTGTTCATCGTTAAAAATAAAATCTTCTTGTGAATGTTCGTCAGTCTCTCCATCTTCGGATCCATCGTCATCTGGTTGGCTGGATCCATCCGAATCATCTTCATTGAGTAGAAGCGATACAACGCCTGTGTCTGAGCCAGCTGTGGCGCCCGTTTGAACACTGCGCTGTGCATCTTGAGTGCTTTGGTTGTCATCCGAGTCGGATTCCGTTTCGGCCTCATGGAAAAATTCATTGTCACTCTCGCCTTCGGGTACAACTTCATCATTTCGTAACGCATCTTCATCATTGTTCGAGCGTGTCGAGTTGTGACGATCACGTTCAGAATGTGTGTCATCCTGTTCGGAAGCATCTCCATCGTCGGCCACATTGTCAATGACAGCATCATTGTCGATGGTGTCATCTAAATTACGGAATCGTTCGCTCAAACGTGCTCCCAAACTGACATTATCAATTTCGGCTCTCAGCGTTGACATGCGGTTGCCATCGGTCTCTCTTGCTGCCGATGGAGCCAATGGCTCAACGCTGAATAAATCATCGGCACTATCTGCGCTTGAGGAGGTCAAAGAAAATGGCGCCGTTGGTCTAACGACTCCCATTCGAACGGGTGCAATTAGAGCGTCAGCTGTTTCAATCAGTTCTTCGATGGAGATTTTAATCAACATTTGGAAAACTCGACGACACGTTTGAATGTGTTTCAATTGCGACGAACTGGTCTTCTTCTCTGGATTTGGTGTTCGTTCCAAACTAAAAACAACGAACACTCGAGCTACCGATCGAATGAAACGTCTTGCTACCTTTTGAGCTTCATCAACTCGATTCGGTATTCTTGTATTTTGTAGCTCTCTATTCATTGTATTGAGCAACGTGTCCAAGGGATCGCCGTTACAGCGCACAAATAAACTGTGCGTGAACTTATCCAATAGTGTAGTACCACTCTGGTTTTGCAATGATGCATTGCGATCTTCTTCATCAAGTCGATTGTTGCTGGAGCCAGAGTTGGAAACTAATTCTTGGTCGGCGGCTGTCATTATCATGGCTTTAACAGCATTCCAATCAGCAAGCATATGCTCGAGTGCTTTCTTTGCAAAACGTGGCGGCTCTAAGTCATGATCGGGCATATCGTTTTCGGTGTCAAGCGATGGTGTTTTTCGATTTCCAGTGGTATTTCGGGCACGTGATCTGTATTGACGTTGTTCATTTGTTTGTCGACCAACCGTTTGGATGAGAAACAGTAGAATTGGTTCGTTCCGTGAATTAACACGTCGTACTAAATCTGTTTCGGCCACCAGTTTTTCCAGTAATTCGAATCGTTTCTTTTGGTTACCAGCCACTAGAGCTTTGCATTTGCATTTCTCCCAGCAATCACAATAAGCCGTTGGTGACGTTTTCTTTAGCTTACAGTCGTGTCCTTTGTGGCAAACCTTTGCACATTCTGTGCAACAGCATAGTGATCCAGTTAAGCCACATGTCTTACATTCGAAAATATCTTGATTGATGTGATCGGCTCCTGTCCATGTGAATGAGCACGTATCATTGCAGCACAGAACATACAGTGGCGATTGGTCAGGTGATGAGCCTGGAGGGAAAATCATTGCATCACGGAGATTCGAGTCACCATTTGCCACTTGTTGAATCACATTCAGAAGATTTTTTGCGGCTTGGTATGCACGGGAGGAAACGGCCAACATGAACGGTGTTTGACCTTGAGCATCTTTTGCGCTTAGCAACTGTTTTAGATACGGTTGGAAAGCAGAGCTTCCACAAATTTGACCCAAGATCAGTGTTGCGTTTTCACGACGTTCAGCTGGATCTGATACGAAGGCCATTTCACGGCAACGTTCATTACTACAAACGAAAAATCAATCGTTAGTTGCTTACTATCTATTTGATCTTCAGATTAGTTCAGAAGAAAATTAAAAGTGAATAGAATTTCACTAACCGAGTTAATTTGTTTTTCATTCCGGTTAGGCTGTCTTCATCGCCAGAGTTAAGTTCGTATTCGGATGGCCAGTACGATGGGAACGTTGATTCATCCTGAGAAGGAGCATTTGTATTCGAATTACTAGCAATCGAGTCAATGTCTCGTGCACGACGCATCATTTCACGCAAACTAACTCGGTTATCCCGTAGATTGCTGCTCGCCGATGGAATCTGTAAATGGAGCAAATGTCAGCGAATTAGCTTTCTAATTCCAATTTGGATGAGCCTGAATCTGAATTTCAATTCAAAAATAAATCCAAAAACTCACCTGATAGCAAGGGAACTGTGTATCTAGGTTACAATCCAGCGCCGAACTACTACCCAGATTTGAGCCTGGTAAATTCGTACTGCTCGAATCATCATTGTCTTTGTTGCTCGTTGGCGAGCACATTGAAACGCATGCGTGAATAATATTACGATTTCCATCGCACCGTTCATTCAAAATTCCGCTAATTTGCCCTTTTGCATCAGCGCTCGATTCAATTTGACTGACAATTGTCTTGAATCCCTTGAAATCGCACCGCAAGATACGTTGCATAAGCAATTGGGTTTCGGGCACCAAAGCCAAGATGGCAACTTGTGATTTCATATTCGCGCCAACCGAGTTCAAAGTTATGGTTGTGGCGGCTAAGCATCTAATTGGTTGCAAGTCTAACCAATGCGGATCACGGATTGCATCCAAACAATCTTTAACCAGTGGATAGATTGTGCTGTTGCCATCGCGCAAAATCAGAACGCTGTCGTTTGTTTCATTGGCACATGTGAGCGACACATTGTTCTGTGATAGTCCTAAGAAGGCGTTGATATCGGTCGGAAAGCTGCTGTCGTGCTCCAATCGGCCAGTATTCAAATTGTGCAAGCAATAATGCAATTTCGAACCGGTTCGCACGATTGCGTGAATGCCCTTTGTGTCAACCGAAATGGTTAAAATTTGTTGTTGTGCAGTCTCATTTACACCGGACGTTGATGCTGTTAGTGAAACGCGTCGGGGTGTTTTTTGAAAGCAGTCAGGTACACGTGATGCGGTCGCTGATTTTACTGGCATCAAGTCTTCCTTTTTCATAAGACGACAATCTTGCCAAGCATCGGCGTCATCTTTTGCCTCAGAGCCTGATGTTGGAAACCGAACTGCTGCGTAATGGCCGTCAATTTTTAAAATACGTCCAACTGGTACCGCACGTGTGTCTTCAACAAACACTACATCCCTGCGACAGGTAAAGAGTAATAATTCGGATTTAAGACAAAATTGATGTTGTGTTATTATTTAGAGGTGTTTTGCTTACTTCAACATCCATTGCTCTTCGTCCTTCTTTGGGTCGCTTTCTTCTTTTGGAGCAGCACGTTTCGCTCTCTTGTGCGAATTTACACTTCCGGTATCACTGCATGTGCTTGATGCCGGCGATGGAGGAGGAGGCATATCTAAACGATCAGCTGTTTCTTTATTGCTTCCACTTGGACCCGTCTTTGTAACACTACTTGTAGTTCCACTACTTGAAGCTATAATAAATATACAAGAGAATTGAGTGCACACGAAACAGAGAGGTAGATAAATTTATCTAGCTCATTACCTTTGCCACCTTTTTCAACCAAATCTTTCAAATCGCTAGACGTCAAACTGCTCGACGGTATCGAACTTGCAATATTCGATGATGATACAGTGATGATTTTGAAGCGGCATATGTCGGTCAAATCCCAGGCTGAATTTAACAATTGACCCACTTTCGGAACACCATTCGAAATGGTGAATCCAATTGCACCAGGTTGATACATTGGACTGTTTTTCATGCAAACCTGACTGCCAACAGTCAATTCGGCTGAACTAGTGCTTGATCGAATTGGTTTCTTAGACTTGGCCTGTGGACAGGGTTAAAAAGTTATTTTTGAGAATGTTCCATTTTTCTTTTATATGAAAAAAATGAGTTATTAAAATGTTGACGAATCAGTTTAAAATTAGGCTTCGCTAAAAATGAAAATAACTCACCTTTGAACGATTATGCTTTTCCCACAGACGTTTGCGTTGCTCGAATGGCAGCACACCCCACCAGAAGAGGCTATTGTTTTCAGTTCGAACAACTGTGTAGAGTGTGCAAGTGTACAGCGAGTGGATCTTTTCATTTGCAAATTCCGGAAAACTTGTGGCCACATGCTCTAGCTTGTTACCACTGTGGCCCAGCAATTCGTCCATCCAAGTTGCAACGCGATTACTTTCCGTGGCAATGGTACAGCGGATCGATGTAGCCGATATTTGACACACTTTTTCGTAGATTAAATTCAACGACTGGGTTTTTGGATGGAAAATGCTAGGATTCTCATGGTTTTTGTACGGTTCGCTATCGGACCAACGCCATTGATGTAATTCGCCTTTCGTTGAAATCGCTATGAATTCCGAATGTAATGCCGCGATATGTGTGAAACGAACTGGCGAATCCCGTTCAGGCCAGAGCTCCAAATCATCAGATATCCATAGAGGTAAACCAGATGATGAGTCTTTCTTTTTTGAATCTAGAAGGACAACAAACGAGGTAAGCGCAATGAGTACGAAAAAAAATTTCAATGAAATTCCTACCATTATCTTTTTCCCATTGTGTTTCCTCGCGGGAACTCTGAAACCATCGCCTTGGTCCATAGTATTGCCGATCACGCCAACGGCTAAACGAATCACGATCTACTCCGCCACTTCCCGAACCACCAGCACCGTCTAAATTTTTTTTTTCGAATTTAGTATATGTTTCGTCTAGGGAACTTGAAATCGGCACGAATTTTCAACATACCTGGATTTGAACCGCTTCCACTACGGACACTGCCCGTTGCATTATCATTGGACGTTCCGCCTAAGTTTGCGCTACTATTTGCATTACTATTCGCATTGGTGCCGCTGCCAGCGTTGTTGCTGTTGCTCAATTGATTACGATCGTTCCGAACGCGACTGTATAATAAACTTGTTTCAGAAATTGAAACAATTTTTGGTTTCGATTAACGATTTGTTATGCGTGACTCGATTAAAATTTCATATTTGAGAGTAGTTTTCTTTGCAAAGAAAAATTACGTTAAATATAATGTTGGCTAACGAGTAAATTCAATTCCAAACAAAGTGTATTTGTGTGAGTATCAATGTCACATTAGTCGGCCAATGAGTGCAATTTGAAACGCTCTCAAATATCATTTTATCGATCGCATAGGATTGCCAATAGAATCGATGTTCAAGAACCGATAGTTTTGCTCATCCAATGAAATGATAATCTTAATTCAAATGAATTTAAATGATAAAAATGAAAAGTAAAAACAAAGAAGAAAATAAGGCCGTTTTGATGGTTTACTTTGTTTTTTTTTTTTTGAACTTTAACCCATCAGGTGATCGATGGCAAATTGCCACTTTCACTCTCAATCTAAGAACTAAACACAGATTCATGCTACTTACTTTCGAATGCTTGAATAACCGAACATCTCATCTGAGAACATAGTGTCTGCGTCGATAATAACACTATTATCCGAATGAAAACTGTTGTCTAACAACGAAATTAAATCTTCTGGAGCATAGTTATCGCTTCCCTCCTCCGTATCGTCACCCTCTTCATCGTCACGCGATAGTAAATTGTTTACGGCTAAATTTACATCCAAATTTGTACGCTGAAGAAAGGAAAAGAAAAAGAACATTGAATTAGGTTAAAGTCATTGATGGGTGAGTATACAACCAATAGTTATTACCTGTAGTTCCCGAATAATGACGTTGCGGCTCTTCCCCTGCAAAACGACTTGGGCTTGCGAAACCAGTTCTTCCGGAACGAATGGTGCTGGAACTGTAACCAATGACCTTCCAGACGAACCGCTGCCAATAATTACACCTGTCCCACGTGAACTGGAGCCAGAACCAGCTTGGCCGCTACTACTGCCATTATTGCGTACCGATGTGGTTCGCATAATTCGGGCACGTGAACGAGCCAACTGACGTGATGTGCTCGATGAATTCGGTTTTGCGTTTGCCGATGCATTATTAGCCGATGAGCCAGCTCCGCCAGTTGTTCTACACAATATAATCAAATCGATTGATTATATTTTATTAATCATTTACATTGTTGTTGGAATCGAATAACAATAACAGTAATCGAATAAAATATCTTTCATTTTTGTTTTGTTTGACATACCCTTTGTTCGGCTCCGATTTGCTCAAGTCTAAACGCTCAGCGATAACGGTAAATGCAACTCGCAATGCACGGCCATCTTCAAGCAGTAGACCCAAATGTGATGGTCCAATGACTATTTGTTTTACGGGTGTTTTCAACGATTGCAACGCTTGTGGACTGTGTGCACCATATTTATTTATTTTATCGGCTACTTCACGAATTCTGTAACATTTAAAACGACAAATACATCAATTGTATCAACATACATGGACTCTGATAAAATAGCGTGACTATTTCGTTGTGGTTTCGGTCATTTCACACGGAAATACAGATTTTTGCTTTTTGATTGAATAACAAAATTTAAAATATTTTTGATTAAAATAGCAATATTCATATTTAAAACAGAAAAAGTTTCCCGGTCACGACATGTGCTCTTATTATTAAATCAGTTCCGTCGGTCCAGCCCAAACACGTTATTTGCTCGTGTAATCTTCAATAAAGAATTTCAAACGAAATTGTGAATCAGAGTTGTATTGAAATAATTACGACAATTTCAAAAGAAAAATGTGCTGACATCCATTTTACTTGCTTCTAATATGGTCGTACAAAAATCAATATGGAGAAAATATTCGTGGAAACGACCATTATTGCGGTCGCAATAAGGTTCTGTAATTCAATTATCCAACATGTTTTTTTAGGGTTTGATGGGCGAATCGAAGGGAAACGGACACATTTGCAAATACTGAATTCAACGCAAAAATGCGACACGGAATAACGAAAAAAAATGTGTTCGATTGAGCACGATTGGACATTTATTCAAGTCCAAAACGTGGTGTTTTGTTGTTGCAATGTATTTTGCAATTTAGGTATGTATGAACACTACTATGTATATAATTTTTTGCAGGTTAACAACGTTCGTTGTACGTTTCTCATGTATTCACTGTCACCCGTTCATATGGTATCTCCGTTCACACTATGCTTGCTTTCGCTCGCATCATAGAAGTTTTTACACAAATCACGGCACAACAACAACACAGCAATTTTATCGTAGCCTCAAATACTTACCTATCGTTTAATTGATCCTCACTAGCCGATGGTAATGGATGAACCACAAAATGTAGCGAAGATGACGATGATGACATAATTTTATTTGGCTCAAACTCACTGCTTCACATGAAAAATTCGAAAATTTTTCTGTAATTTCCACTCACTGCGATGAATTCCACCAATTTTTCGCATGAATTTTCAATTAAATTACTCCTTTTAATGAACTCAATCCACTTACAACTACTAGAGACAGAAAAAAAAAACTTCCACTTCTAATGCGTAAAGGTAATTCTAGAAAAATGTATATTCTTCTCTCTCTTTTTTTTTGTCACCAACTTCACGATTACTTTTATTGTATTGATTGCTGCGATTGTGGTGAATGTAGAACATCAATTGGTATCAATTTTACGCAATTTGGAACTAATTCGCTTAGATCCTAATTAAAGTCAATGTTTTTGATGCGTTTGTTCAACAAATCGTCGAGAAAAATGTAAATTTTCTATCAACCATTTGCGGCCATATTTTTTCACGATTTGTACACACACAATGGGGAAAAAACTCACTTTTTGTGTTCCTCTTGTTCGTCGATTCTTTTCTGATTTGTTCGTTCGGTGCCAATAGTAAGCATTGTATTTTACCAACTCGAGTGAAGTTAGTCGTGAATATGACATGTTATTCGGCGGATGGCGCTGACTACGTTTCATTCACACGATGAATGCATCTAAAGAGATCCAACTATTTTTTTTTTCTTATATATAATTTAAGAATGATTCTGTGATGTTTATTCATGTAATTTTTGTAATTTTATGGATTTTTTTTTTGCTTGTTTCGAAAAAAAAAGTCACTTTTTATCATTTTGCTCGAAAATAATGCGATTACTAGACAAACAATGGAACGACCAAATGTCTGGCTAGAATCAAAACACAATGCATGTAAACTGTGTTTGACGCATGCTAATTTCAAAATGTATCTTTGTACATAATGTATATGCCTTGAGGCTGAAATGATACGCACATCAATTTAGAAATATCAGTACATGTGAAGATGTGCGCGAGCTACATACACAAGACGTAAAAGTAAGAAAAGATATATTGTTTGATCTCATTCGAATTTAATTTTCATCGTGTTATCAAAAGTGTTTAATTATTCACAATCAAATGAAATGTTCCCAGTGCTCTTCTTCCTTTGGAATAGTGAGAATGTGGCCAATGTAAGTTCATTTTCTTTCACACATACACACCAAAAACAGAGATTGGTTTCGATTCGGTACGCTAAAAGTGTTGAGTATTTAATGATTGAAATACAACGATCACCATAAATCAGTGAAATCGAACCGAAAATATGAAAGAAAATCGAAAATTCAAACTGAATGTTATTCTCAAGGTTAAAGAAATTACAATGATAAAAGTGTGACAAAATGTGACCGAAGCTAATCCGGTCGTTGTATGGGGAACAGCTGAAGCATTAAAATGACGTAACAAATGACGGAATATGCAAAAAATGAAAAGAGAAAACAAAATTTTCAATGAATAGTAAACAAAACCCGTAAAATCGTAAATACGTGCGTCAGTTTATCACAAATGCCGACACAGCAGCTTATACGCTACCATCCAATTTGATGCGTCTCCATATAAATATACCATTCCAATTAGCAATAAAGTGCAGTACACTCGCTCACCGTTGAATCGAAACGCATTTCCATGGCTAATAGGATTAAGATGTTCTATGCTGTGCTAGTGCTTTCGTTGTGTGCTTATCGAATAAATTTGCGTCAATGAAAATACCTATTCAAGTGTGCAATTTTTACTAAGGTCAAAAATGAAAAAAAAATCGCTCGCTGTCGCTGCTCTTTATCTCTCTAACCAGCGAAGAGTGTGAATTTTTATTGATTTTCCACTTTTTCACTTCGCACTTGACAGGCAAAGAGCTGATTCTATTGTGAACACGCTCAAGTGTTGGTTCAAAATAATCATGTATCGAAATATATTCGGGCATGAAAAGCATACACTCCATACGACTATACAGTATATAGAATGTCGTGATATTGTACGGCTGAGAATAGTGCCCAATTACAGTTGTGGGGTCGCAGCGCGCGCTGTCTTTGTCATGTTTGTCTAGCACCGCACTAATCCTTCCGTCCGAATATCGATTCCATCAATAAATTATGATTATTATTGGATTAAAGCAATCGAAAATATAATTTCATTCCTTTTATACGTGATTCAGTTAGTTCTGTTCATCGGCTGAAGCACTTTCAATCGCTGACACTAACATTCAAAATATCCGTTCGTATTACTCAACGATGTGGTTTACGTTATGCGTTGTTGTTTTCCATCTTCTGTTTCTAGTTGAATGTTCGTCGGAAACGATTGCGTGCTAAAGAGTCAATTGATAGATAGCAAACAGAAAAGTAGAATGGAATGAATGGAATACTGGAAAAATTACGACAAACAATTCATTTTCTCAAATGCAATGACAAAGAACATTAAGTATGTCTCGAGTAACGTGCACAATTCAATCGATTCGAAATCTCACTCCATGTCACATCATCCACATATATACAGAGAAATATATACTGGCATTGAACTTTCCGCATTCGGTTTGAATTGTTTTTGCCTTTTTTGTCATGTATCCACCTCATGGATAATCTATGTAGAATGAATGTGTATGCTCGAAAAGACGTATTTACAACTATCGTTTCATTTAACTTCAGAAAAGTGATTAAAAAAATGTTTACATTCGGTCTATTTGTTTCAGGCTTGCCAACATCAAACTTTTCACACATGAAACGCTATCAATCTGAGTTGAACATGCAGCACTCCAGCTAAGCTAACGATAGAATAACAGAAAAATAATAATAAACAAAACGAAGCGAATAAACTTACAACGATTCCAATCCACGGAAAGAGGCTAACGGAAAAAAACGCTCAACACATCGATTCAGACTACGAAGTAGATTAAGCTAAACGACAGTGTAAATGTGTCTAAGTGAACAGTAGCACAAAGGACTCAATCAAAACGATAGTGAAAAAAAATAGCGAATAAAATAATTGGTTCTGAATTTTCGATTCAGTTAAAAATCGCTACTATTCATATGGTACGTTTGCATACAATTAAGTCTGTGTTTATCTCTTCCGTTCTAGAGATTTTTTCTTTCGTTTATCTTCATTTCTTCTTCTTCAAATATTCCATATTTATCTATCGTTTTATCTGACTTTTTCTTAATTTTCGAAAACAAGTTGATTTTATAATCATTGTAAATATTTTGGCACACACACACAATTCCAAAAGAACACCAAATTTAAATTTCAATAAAACAAAGAAGATAAATTGCAAAAATGCCAACCTCATCGAAAAAACAAATAAGAAAATGCATACACAACCGACGAAAACTGAATCGGGCGAAAGGTATAGTTTTGAGCATTCATCTTTTTTTTTCTACATAAGCGTATTATTTATGGTTTATTTTTCTTAATTTTTCCCATAGAAAAGTCATTTTAGTAGTAGAGCTTCTGTTGTTTGTCGTTCCATTTGAAATGTGTTGATGGAACTTCAAGTGACATAGATCTTCATTAAAACGACAGTACAATCCTCAATTTTTAATGAGATAGTGACAGTTTTATTAACTTCGATAACAAACTGACTAATATTGCGTCGACGTGGAGTTCATTCAAGATATAAACAAAAACATGCGTTCGATGACAATGTCCAGCTAATAAATAAAGAGACAAAAACAAACAATTTATTGCTTTGTCTCGATATCTTAAAAGCGAATCTGCTCTATTTTCACAACTTCAATTTAAAATATTATTTATCACACTTTGCACATCAGAATATCATCGACGCTTTATGTGCTGTTTCGTTGCTTTTTGTTGTATTTTGTTTTCGATTTTGATGAAGAGTATTGCCAAGCCACATCAATTTCAATTAAAATTATCAAGTCATCGATGTGGTTGCGGGCACCATACTCTGTTTTTGTCTCTATTGTTCTCCATTTGTCGTGGAGGCTGCAGCTTTGGAGCATCCACATCCACAAACAGCACATTTCACATACACCAATGTGTGAGTCGGTGTGTGCGCGCACATTGTTTGAAAAGTAAATGAATAGTCCAGCTAATAAATGGAAGAACCTTAATAAAGTTCCATCAAATTAAAAGCGCTTTGAATTTGTGTGCTGTGTATATTGTTCATTCGCATTTTAAATTGCGAAATAAATAAACGAGCAATCGAAATTAATAAGTGGTGGAGGGTCGTACATTCGTCAGTGCTTTTGAACCGTTTTATTCTTGATCCGGACAGTGCATGAAAATAGTCGATCCAGCTCCCTTCAGTTTCTTATTTTTATTAATTTATTTTATTTTCACTTGGGTTTCTTTTTTGCTTGTGTGTGCTTTTATTCTGTCATTGGTGTCGTTAATTTGGTTTGGTTTGGTTTGGTTTCACTCTCTCATTGGCAGCTAGCTATGTTATTCATTAACGGTATACGAATTAATACATCGTGATCTTTTTGAACTTGTTAAATTTGCTTGTGATCCGAAAATTTGAATCTTATATGCGAAGCTGTCAGTTTGTGTCTTACTTTCATAATAACCGGTCTGGCGTGAACAAAAGGTTCAACTTGTTGCACTTATTTGCGTCCAAGAAACAAACAAAACTCATTAAACTGATAGCTTCAGCAGAACAAAAAGAGTGAATATATTATTTTGTTATTAAGTCAATTTGTACTAACTTGAGATTTTCTAAAGACTTGCTAACAACTCTGGCATATATTTGTTCTAATTGAAAAAGTCAAGTTAAAAATAATCGATTTTATTTCGGTTCGTTATTATAGTGTTGAAAATCCTAACTGCTGCAATGGAAAATGTTGATGGTGATGCCGGCGCTGGTCCATCGACATCGGCTGGGCCCGAATCAGACTCGGAATTTTTCAACACTGGTCGCGTAGGGAGACGGAACGCATTGCCCGACATTTTATCAAGTCACGCGACCGTTTCTACTGCAGATCTGCCAGATCAGCTCAGTGCGCTCACGACGAGTGATAAAAATGTGCCCTCAACAAGTGGTTCCAATGTCGGTATGGACATTCAACCGACAGCCAGCACGAGCCAAATATCAACGACGAACAGCAGTTGAAAACATTCATTGACCTTCGTAAATTAAGGAACACACCAAATTAATACACTCAACAATTGCATATTTGATTTAATAATGACTTAACCCTCTAAAAAAAGAGAATACTGAAGAGCAACACATTCGAACAAAACAAAAACATCGCACGATGGAATTTATCGCATGGAAAGACGTAATACTTTTTAGTTTCTAGATGTACAAAATTTATGATGAGAATGACGATGCTCTAGATTTCAAATTTATTTATTACTGTGGAATTTAAGTGCTACACTTTCGGAAGAGTATTATTATACGGTTTTTGTATTGCACTTGCTCTAATGTTTTGATGACCTATCGAGAACCAAAAGAATGAACGAACGAAGAAAGAAAAGAAAAACGCTAAAATATGTGATTTGAAACGATTATAGTTTGTTGCTATAATTTCAATTGCTTTTGGATCAAATTGACACTATTTATATTTTTATTCATTTTCAATTAATTCAAGTTGTTTATACACCAAGTTCTTTTTGAGATGCATATGAGATTCAATGTCTAAGATTGTTTCGATTGGTCGTCATCGTTTTTTGTTTAAATCTAATAACTTTTATGCTCGTGTAGAATTTCATATACATATAATATTATATACATATTATTATTGATATAAAAAGTAGGGTGAAGAAAAAGAAGAATTAAAAAAAAAACAGAGAAAAATGTGTGAGCTCAACAAAATAATTATTAAATTAGATAATAATAAATCAAGAACCATGACGAAAACCATTTCCATTCTTATATCATTTTTTACCGAAGTGATGCAAATTTTTGGAATTTAAAGGGAAAAATCGTTATTCGATATCATGTCAGGGAACAAAAATACCAAGCAAAATGCACCTCATAATAATAATGATGATAACAACAAAAATGAACATTCATGTTGGCTTCAATTCTCGGAGAGAGTCTCTCCGAAACACAAACCGAACAAACTGATTGATACTAGAAACATCACGAACAAAAAACACACAATTATGAACAATAATAAATCGCACATCGATTGCATTTTTTTCATTACATTTCAATTAGGGAAAAATTAAAATGAATGACAACAACAACCAGAAAACCTCATGTCAATTAAATCCATTTAACTCATTAGTCATATGAATTTTTTTTTTCTCTTCACTTGAACTCACATCGAATCTAATTCGGAATTTCATAGTTGATTTCAATTGAACATATGTTTGCTTTGATTGTTTTATTTTAAGAAGATATATCCTATGATGTGAGCTCTATTTTCAGAAGAACTAATTGGTATTTATTTGTGGTATTTGAACAATGTACATTAAATGTATTGGACAAGGTTTTTATTCAATTTCAACGTGTAACCGTTTTTATTTTAAGTGTTTGCCTGAACTGAATAAAGAATTTTAGCAAAGGAAACTTCTGAACCAAGTCGAAATTTAAGTGTTTTATTCCATTTTTTTTTTCATCCATGGGTCAATGTCAGCCGCTTTTCATCCAATTTTTATTTCGATGTTCAATGAACTTTGGTTTTTTTTTCTTCTTGTTTTTGCGTTTTTCGATTAAGATTGATGATTTTTTTTCCTCTTTTCCTAAAAAAATTTCAATTGTTTTAAAAACAAAATTCGATGGGACATCTGATACATCAAATACCTTGCAACCTTCTAACCGAAGAAATTTGAATGATGAGCGGCGCTGCGATCGGTGTCAGTTATGAGAACTATGTGTGACAGTTATTGAATTATTGGGTAGACGCCGTTGACTGACTGATGTGTCAAAACAAAAATCTTTTTCGTGTCTATGCGCTTTGGATATTTTGCTATATTCAGAAAAGAAAAATGTTCAAAACGAAATGATATGTTACTTTTTTTTCGTTCAATTCAACATTTTCGCGTGATTCAAATCGATTCGTGTATTTATATTAAAAAAAAGAGTCGTTTAGTTTCGTAGGGTTAAACAAAAAAATTAAAACGAAGTTTTTGTATCAGAATTGAGTAAAGAGTACTAGGAGAGTGGAAAAATGTCGGGAAAACATTTGGATACGGTTCGCATTAAGAAGGAAGTTCAGGAGTCACAATTTGCGGAAGCGGACAGTTCATCGAATTCCACATCATCGAATGCAGCGGAAGCAGTCACCCGCCAGAGTAGCTTGCAGCGAATCCAAATTCGCAAAGACAGGGTAAAACATAGAAACAAATGCAACAAAGTGCACATAATGCACAGTAAACAAAATAAATGCAAATACCTTTTCCACGATTTTTAGTTGAATAAGCTGCCTCGAAATCAACGAATGGCCAAATTGAGTATGTACTCCGCCTGCCAAGCAGATGAATGTCGATGTACAGGCTGGAAGACACCCGATGAGAACCGAAAGGGTGATGTGGAGAACAATTACATACCGAAATTTTCGGAGGAATGTCGAAATCAGAGTTGTCGACATACATTGGAACAACACATTTCACACTTGTCAGATGTTACCGATGAACAAACATTCGAACTGCTCGGTGCCGTTGTCGATGTGGAAAATCTGTATATGAGCATGCACAATGAAAAAGACGATGACACAAAAAAGGTTTATTATTTCTTGTTTCGGGTGAGTGATCGTTCATCTGGATGTAGTTTATCACACAGTGAGATAAATTGCTTAAAATTCATGGTGTTGAAATTCTTCTTTTAGTTGCTTCGCCAATGCATTTTAACACGGCAGCAGCCAATCATAACTGGACCATTGGGAGATCCGCCCTTTGAGGCTCCATCTATTGCGAAGGCGGTAACAAATTTTATATTCTTCAAGTATCAACATCTGTCGCAGGTTGAGTTCCACATTATGACCGAAGTGGCCAAGACATTTTTGCATTGTATGAACTATTGGAACTTCGAAACACCAAGTGCTCGCTGTCAATCGTTGACCAATGAAGATGCTTCATCGTACAAAATTAACTACACTCGTTGGTTAATGTTTTGTCATGTACCAGCTTTTTGCAATTCACTGCGCCACTTTGAAACCACTCTGGTGTTCGGTCGTACTTTTCTCAAGGCAGTCTTTCAGGTTTGTTTAGCAACACGATTACAATTGTTGATTATTTGAATGAAAGGCCTTTGCTCTTCTTTACATTTAGTACGTATCAAGTCAATTGCTATCCAAATGTCGTGACGACAGTGATCGAATGCCAATCGAAAGACGTGCCATGCTCGCGTACTTACCGAAATTTTTGGAAACACTCAAAAATGAGGTGGTTAACGAAGAATCACCCATTTGGGATCCGAATTTCAAGCAACCAATTGGTTTGATGTTGCAACGAAAACGAGATCGTGAACAAATGTCGAATGCTAATGCGAAGAAACCGGAAAACAAACGCCAAAAGCGCGAAGAAGGCGATGAGTTATCGGATGATACTGTTAAGGAGACAATAGATCGTATCAATGATGCAAGCTACGCGAGTAAAAATGAGATCGTATTCCCAGTGAATGCACCAAGAGATGAGGCCGCAAAAGCTGAAGAGAAACGTGGTGAAATCCAATTTCATATTGTTGGAAATTCGTTAACACGGCCTGTTAGCAAACAAACAATGCTTTGGTTGCTTGGATTGCAGAGTGTGTTCTCACACCAATTGCCAGACATGCCACGTGAATACATCACCCAATTAGTTTTCGATTCGTAAGTTCCAAACACATCACATTTAATTTTGTTTGTTGTGAAATAGACTAGATAGAATTTAAAATAACATTTGTATTCTAGAAAGCATAAAACTCTGGCACTTATCAAGAAAAATCGTCCAATCGGTGGAATATGTTTCAGAACCTTTGCTTCACAAGTAAATATTTCTTCAGTTTAAATGAACGACTAAATTTTGACATAAATTTCCCAAACTAATCAATCTCAAATCAAACAGGGGTTTACTGAGATTGTGTTCTGCGCAGTCACAGGGAATGAACAAGTCAAGGGATACGGTACACATTTGATGAACCATTTAAAAGACTACAGCACACAACAGGGCATCAAGCATTTTCTTACATACGCCGATGAATTTGCCATTGGCTATTTTAAGAAACAAGGTTTTTCGAAAGATATTAAAGTGGCTCGTCCTGTTTATGCTGGTTACATCAAGGAGTATGAAGGCGCTACTTTGATGCACTGTGAACTGCATCCATCGATTGTGTACACACAATTCAGTTCGGTATTGCGCAAACAGAAAGAAATCATCAAGGAGCTAATTTCACAGCGTCAACAAGATATTCAGAAAATTCATCCCGGACTGACGTGCTTCAAAGAAGGTAAATTTAATCGTCAAATTGGCTTTTTTTCTTTAAAAAAAACTGCATCAAATACAGTTATCATTTCTGAATCTGTGAATTTTATGCATTTAAAGGTATTCGGAATATTCCAATCGAAGCGATACCTGGACTGCGCGAAGTAGGATGGCGGCCTCAGGCTCGAGCTCAACGTACCAGTCGACCACTTGATGAATCGATCGATCCCGATAAATTGGCAATGACATTGAACACAGTCTTAGTAACGGTTCGTCAGCACTCGGCGGCGTGGCCATTCTTGAAACCCGTCGACAAGACCGAGGTGCCAGACTATTATGACCATATCAAGTATCCGATGGATTTGAAATCAATGCAAGAGCGTTTGAAGAAAGGGTACAAGAGAATACCGCTTAGATTTGAACGAAATTTTACTAAATTTTTCCACCATTTCTTTCGTAGATATTATGTAAATCGACGTTTATTTATGGCCGACATGGCACGAATATTCTCCAACTGCAGACTGTACAACTCCAGTGGAACAGAATATGTGAAATGTGCTAATAACTTGGAGCGATACTTTCAAACGAAGATGAAGGAGATTGGCTTATGGGATAAATAATTTTTCTACTTTAAATGTATCAATCAGGCTTTAATAGATTCAATAAAAAAAAAATAAACAATTTTCTTTCGATTTGGGAGCTAATAGTGGATTTTATTTAAATATCTTCATTCAATGGCTTCTTTTTGTTCATTCGTTCCTCCATACGAGAAATGCGATCGTTCATGGAGCTTAATGAATCTTTGAGCGTTTGGTGAATTTCGTCATAGCGCTGCATTGCCAGTGTAAGACTTTCCTCGAGCAAATCATTTTTCTGCGTTAAATCGGATGTGGTTTCATTCATTGCTTTGAGTTTATCGGTAACATTTGGCATCGAACGAAAATATTCCGCTCCCAATGTCGGTTCCAACTTCTTAATTTCTTCCAATTGGTCGAATGTTTCTTGGAGTTCCGGTGCAATCATTTGCAAATAAACCTCTTTAGCGCGAAGATCTTGTTGCTCTTCGACGAAATTTGGATCCAAATACTTTTCCAATTCAGCAGAGCGTTTGGTGAATTGATTGATGGCTTCACGACCGCTAGTTGCACTGGATAACAGTGTAGATGCCGACAATAGCGAATCTGTTAATGTTTCTGTAGCTGCTGAATTGGTCGGCTCACTCTCCGATGGCAATGTTCCCAAAATTCGATTCAAATTGTCGATGCGCTTTTCAATGAGGTCCAATGCTTCCATTTTTCACCTAGAAAAATTAGAAATTTACCATCAATAAGTATGCGTCATACGTTCTACCACATACAAATATACACATCAAACTCAACACTAATCAAATAACAATCGAAAATCAATTCGAAACTCATTCGGATTCTATCGCGATTTCACTCACCTTAATATGTTTATCTTTCACAACAAACGAGAACGAGAAATATTTAATAAATTGTTGAAATAATATTAATGCGAAACAGAAGGTAGACGTACGCCCGTACTAAATGAATAGAAAACATAAAAATTGCCAAATTTGACAGCAGCAGTAACATTCGCTTCGTAGTTTTCGGCAACCAGCACCAAGTGGCGCTGCCGACGCTGATATCGTAAAATATAAACAAATGCTAAATTAAAATTGTCTCCCTAGACAAAAACATGTATTGTAATGAGACGACAATTTCCAGATGTTTGACGTGTGTGAGAATGAAAGAAAGTTTGTGTGTAAACAGAAATTATAGCGATTGTCACTAATTGCCAAAGTGAAGTGTGGGAACAGCTGAGTGTATGAATGCGATTTGCAGCAAAGAGAAAGAAACCAACAAAGAATTTTTAGGCAACCGGAGAGTGACAATAACAAAGAAACGACGACATAAAGCAAGCAAATTGAAAGACTACCGCATTTTGTGTGCTCTACAGCGCGTTCCAAACGACAAACAAAATCATTCCGAATCACTTGGCTCAGTTACTGCATTGTTTTTATTTTGTCTACATATTCATTGTTGTAATTTTGTTCGCATCATTGATTTAGTTGCCAACGAAAGAAAGAAATGCCACAATTGTGTGCGCACATACACATCAAGCCAAACCAGGCAAAACCATAATGTGCAAAATAAAGCCGTGAAGTACTTTCAAGCACAAAGCGTTGTTGGCACATCGAACGATAGGCAAAAAACAGACAGACAAAGCGATGGTTATTGTGCTGTGTGAAACGCAATTCAGTTGTGATCGATGAATAATCGTGTTAGTTTATTAAATCAGTTTTGGTTGTGCGTTGCCACAGTAAGCACAGTGTACATTTCTTTGGTCCGCAAAATAAACAGTGGCCAGGTTAATATTAATTGATTGTGACTTGAACAAAAAAAAGAAGAAGTGGAAAACTGAGTGACCGCTTGAATTGGAATTAATTCAATAAATCTGTGCTAATTGACCCAATACGACAGTTGAACATAATTGAAGCAAGGATGTCAAGCAAAAGTAGCCCAAGTCATGAGTCAAATATGGTGGCGTCGAGTTCACGGTCAACGCTATTGACGGATGAAACAATTTCAAGGGATTTCAGTTTGGCCAGCTTGGCATCGGCCAGTACAATCAGTCAACAGGATGAATACTTTCACTGCGACAATCACGCTTCGACAGCTCTATCACACATGCAAACCTATTTGGACAATCAACAACTCTGTGATGTTACATTGATATCGGGAATCGACAAAAAAAGGTAAGTTCATTTATTCATACATCACAAAGAGTCATGTGTACAAAGTTCCGTTCCATTCATCTTTTGTGAAATGCGTAAATAAAGCGATTCACATTGGCGCTGCTGCTTTAGATGTGACGCTTCAGAAAGCAAATTTACATTTGCTTCGTCTATTTTTAGCCAATTTCCATTTTCAGTTTTGCACTTTTTTCTTGCATTTGCTGCATTCATCACATGTGTTCTTTCTTTATTATCTCAGTATTGCCTCGTCGTTTGTTCTTTGTGTTTTTGTTCATGGCAAAAAATCATGGCTCAACATTTGCTTTGATTTCCACAAACAGATAAAATGCGCGCAAATTTCCTGCTGTGCATATATGCATTCGTTTCGCATTGTTTCAACCATGCATATTGATCTTCTTCTCTCCTCTGTTTTTTTCTTGTTTATTTTTTTGTTGTTGGAAGTATAAGTTTTTGGTGTGCATGTAAAAAGTGGAATTTTTCCCTTCACGTCGCTGCCTTTTTTGAGCGCATGACTGAAGCGCAACATTTCGATTTAATCCCTTTCTTTTTTTTCCGTTTCAATTTCATTGCACAGAGTTCCAGCTCATCGAATCGTATTATCTGCGTCGAGTGCATATTTTGCGGCAATGTTCATGGGTTCGCTACGTGAGACCAAAGAAGAAGAAATTACATTAGGCGATGTGCAAGGTGAACCATTACAATTGCGTAAGTTTCAACCGAGATATCATTTTCCTCTAAACATTATATGCATATGTTCTGACAACTAATTTATTGAATTTTGTTTTGAAAAAAAAAAACAACAGTCATTCGTTACTGCTACACTGGTACAATTGAACTGCGCGAAGACAATGTCGAAATCTTACTGGCCACGGCATGTCTGCTTCAATTAACTCATGTTGTTAATGCTTGCTGCAATTTTCTGGCCAAACAACTTCATCCATCGGTAAGTTTTCAACCATTTTTCAATCATCTCGTTGTTGAATGTTGATTAAAATTTAAACCAATCAAACTTTTTCTCTGTTTCAATTCAGAACTGCCTGGGTTTCGCTTTGTTTGCCGAACAACAAAGCTGCAGTGCCTTATTTCAACTTTCGACATCGTATACATCACAGCATTTCATGCAAGTATGCAAGAATCAGGAATTTTATCAACTGAGTGCCGATCAGTTGGCTACACTGCTTAAAAGTGATGATCTCAATGTACCTACCGAACAAGATGTATTCCATGCGCTCATCAGTTGGATTAATTATGAACCAAATACACGAGAAAAGTACATACCTGAACTACTCGGATTGATCCGACTTCCATTGCTTCCACCAGCTGTAAGTTGTAATAATCTGAAAACTCAAGAGAAAGTTTCCCATTTTTCTGCGAACTCAACCATATGGTGTAATTAAATCCGTTTGTTTTTTTTTCTTCAGTTCATTGCCGATTATGTAGAATCATTGTGTGCTGATTCAAGCGAATGCCAACAGCTTGTGATGGAGGCGCTCAAGTGGCATTTAATGCCCGAAAGACGAGCTCAAATTTCTTCGGATCGAACCCGACCGCGAAAATCTACAGTCGGCCGATTGTTGGCAATTGGAGGTGTTGATGCACATCGGGGCTCGATTAGTATCGAATCATTCTGTCCACGACTTGATAAATGGACAATGCTGAAACATTTGACGACGGGGCGGCGTCTACAATTTGGCGTTGCATTGGTAAATTTTGAACCATATTTCAAAATATTTTGTTGTTGATCAAAAGAAAAACCAATCAAATGGTCTTTCTGTTTCGATTTCAGATGGATGACAAACTGATTATATGCGGTGGAAGAGACGGATTGAAAACACTCAATTCTGTAAGTTGAACGAAATGATTTGCAATGTATCAATTGTAACTCTATTGTATCGTTTAAAATGATTTTGAATCATGTATTTCATTTCGATAGGTCGATTGCTTAGACTTGACAACAATGACTTGGAACACACTCGGGTCAATGACCACCCATCGACATGGACTTGGTGTCGAAATTCTTGGTGGCCCACTTTATGCCGTTGGTGGACACGACGGTAAGCAATCAGTTAAATCTATGGCAAATTCACCGCTAATAATTTATGTGTTTTTTTTGTAGGCTGGAGCTACTTGAATACGGTTGAGAGGTAATTTTTGTGCACATCCATTTGCATTTGATAAAAGCAAAATTAAACGCAATTTTTCTTTCTCAGATGGGATCCAATCGCAAGGCAATGGAGCTCTGTTGCGGCAATGTCATTCGTTCGTTCGACAGCCGGTGTTGCAGTTTTAAACAACCGCCTCTATGTATGTGGTGGTCGAGATGGAAGCTCGTGCCATCGTTCAGTGGAATCATACAATCCACACACTAACAAATGGACGCTTAGATCACCAATGAATCGACGACGAAGTGGAGTTGCTGTTGGTGTATTGAATGGTTTCTTGTATGCTTTGGGAGGCCATGACAGTCCAGCAAGCAATCCCACAGTATGCCGAACTGAAAGCGTGGAACGATACGACCCAGCAACCGATAATTGGACAATGGTAAGAGTTGAATAGAGGCGCGAGAGTATTTTTTGAATGAAAACTTGCAATGAAAATTGGTTCAATTTACAGATTGCCTCGCTAAGTATTGGACGAGATTCGATCGGAATTGCACTTCTTGGCAACAGTCTATTTGCCGTAGGCGGCTATGATGGGCAACAATACTTGAAAACGGTTGAAAAATACGACGAAGAAAAGAACGAATGGATCCAAATGGCTCCATTGAATTTGAGCCGAGCAGCTGCGTGCGTTGTAGCTGTTCCGAATGTATTAAATACGACGACAACTGTATCAACGGTTTGAAACAAATCTATCACTCATAATGCATGTTGAACGTCATCAACATCATATTAAACAAAACGCATTAAGTCGATGATGAATTAACGAAAACAAAAATCTCATCACCATTAATTGACAAACGCATCATTTTTCTTTAGAAACAAAGAAAACTTTTTGACTGCTGATAACATTTTGAACCTAGTGAATTAACTTACAACAAGTATTTTGAAAAAAGTATTTTCGTATAAAAAAAAAGACTTTGAGGTAGCTAACAAAAAAAAGCGATAGAAAAACTGACAAAAGAATTGATATTTGGCTTTAGCGTAATTCGAAATTTGCTTCATTTTTTTTCTCACTAAAATTGCAATCGAATGCAGGGACAAGCGATTCCAATTCTGAGCATGCAGTATTAACAAAAAGTGTTCATTTGAATTGTATGAATTGACGAAATGATTCCAATTGTCTATTATCCAATTCGTAATTTAAACGATATATGGTTTAATTAATTTTTAGAGAAAAGTCTGGAGGCCAGTACGCTTCAACTTCAGCTATAGAAATAGTGACTGCATCAATTACTGTATTTGAATCTAGAATAAATCACACACAATACAAGACACATCCAGCCTGTGATTTCGACATTATCGAGGTTAGCATTAAATGTGAGACTTTTAGTTGATCCACACCATTCGTGAATATTAGCAAAACTCTGAAACATCACAACGTTCACGATTTACTTTTGTAAATTTTTATGCGACCAAACGAAATAAATATTGAATGAACGTCATTTTGACCCCTAGTTTATGATTTCTCTTTTCGAGCGGAAACAAGCAGAAATAGGCCGTAAGTATACCGGTGAACCTCTTTCTTGCATTCGAACACTCTTTAGACACGTTCTTTGTACATTTTATTTCATTTCAAATCGTTCTTTTCTCGGGTATGCTTGGGAATTTTTCAACTTTTTGTCATCTAAAATTTCGTATTGTTTGAAATTGAATTTAAACAAATTCTCATTATTATAAACACATATAATTATCAAATTCTGAGAGAATGTTTTTTTGCCCGAGGATGTCCCGCCTGATACGTGTTCATCGTTGTAATTCCTATTTTCGAAATATTCCATTGCTGTAGAAAATATTTTCCAAAATCATTATGTCTCATTGATATCACACCAAGGGTGAAGTAGTTTTTTCTTAAAAACTGAATTTAAAAAAAAAAAACATACATTTCGTCACTCCGTCGTTAGAATACGGTCACAAACACAAAAAAGTAGTACCCATTGACTCTATGTTCTAGTTGCGCGCTTCCCTTTCGCTTTGCTTCATTCCATCCGCATGCGTCTCACTCACTCAATGCGTGACCATGCGTCTCACGCAATAGATGAGTTTGGATATTTTTTTTTGTGGCACTCACCGTATATTACAATGTATGATGACCATACGGAAATATTCATTGCTATCTCTTTCTTCGGAATGTCATCTATATTTGTGGGAAAAAACCACTTAAGTTGTGGTTAGTTTGTATCTATCTGTAGACTATAGTTATTAAATAAATAAACCTACCCGTGGACTAATTTTCAATGTGGCTTTTCTACCTAACTATTTACATACTGTTACTTTGTGAAATGAATACAAGTATCATTTTGCACCCTCATTCAGAATTTGTCTGAAAATGATTTTATGCTTATGTTCGAGTATATGAATAATCACAAAGTCTGAAGGATATCACCGGCTTGACTACTTATGTCATAAAACCTAGCATAAAACACTTTCTTCGTTAGAACCATCATGTCTGGTCACATTAGAGATATTGCCAAATTGAGAAAACGTAAAATTTGTAGCACTGAAGCGCAATATGAAATATTGTGATAACATTTCTGAATTTGAATGCGTGAGCGCAAAAGTATACGTTTTTTGTATGAAAATGTTACACTTCAAAGTATTTCGAATGTAAGTTGCTCTTTTGCGATCACACATTCATTTCATGAACAATTTTGTTTTTAAAAGAAAAAAAAACCAAATCTTTGCTGAAGATTCGACATGTTGTCAACACTCAACATATTGTATTGAACGAACTGAATCGCATTGCTCATTCTTTTCTGCGTATTGTCTCATGCATGTCAAATGTTTATTATTCTTCGTTTTTCCTTTTCTTTTTTTGGTTTGCACATGTAAACGATGCCAATATCCCAAAGCAGAAGAGTCCAAAATATGCCTTTTTCGACTGAAGCTACTTATAAACAAAAGGTTCGAAATTCAGCATTCTTCACTACACATGTGCAAACACACACATGAAACAAAAACTAAACAATGCTTTTAAATGATACTGAAGAAAGACATGCGAAAATTGAGAGTGTTTTGGTAGTTGGTGTTACATTGTGCATTTCAAATTGATCGTTGAATGTAGCTCACCATACCAGTACGGGGATATATGAGCTTCAGTTATCAATAGTGTTGTTTGAGCTAAAAAGTGTATCAATAAATATCAAGTCGACATTTTTTCAAAATACTTTTGAAATCAGTGAAAAATCGTGTGTTTTTGATACATTGCAGAAAATCTGAAACTTTCATTTTGAAACAAAGTTAATTTTCATCAAATTATTTTATAAAATTTGGCGTACTCGCACAAAAAAGCCGAAACATGAGCATTCAACACGATTATAACATCCTGAACGATAAATCAGTCGCACAAAACATGATTAGTCCCTGGGAAGAAACTTTTGACTGGTTATCATTGAAAGACCTGCATTCGGTGGCCCAACTTTGTCAACAAATGCAACACGTGGCTGGTTACATATTCCGTGAAAATTATCCTATGGAAATGGCCCATTTTGATGAGGATAAAACATTTTCAACTTTTCAAACCAGAATGAGTGTGGATGTGTTTCGTGAATACATTAAAACAGTTTCCGTCGACGCTGAACTCACATTGAATGATTGCCGAAATATGGGATTAATTGGTGAAAAACAATTCAAGTCACTCAGGTGCATCGAACTATGTTACGTTACGTTATTTTCGGATGTGTTGCAAGCCATTAAAGATAAACTCGGCCAAATTCAAAATATCAAGTTAAAATTTTGTGAAATTGAAAACGGTGGCGGCGATCTTTATGAGCATCTACTGAAGCATGCACCAAAATTGAAAGTTTTACGCGTGGAAGTGGGTTTTAAATCAAAAACAATGATCGGTATCGGAAACAATTGGCTCCGCCATCAATATCCCGATCTTCAACATTTCGATTTACGTGGCGTGAATGCAGTGCACCAAATTGACGAACTAACAACGTTCTTCCGGCAAAATCCGAATATTGTGAAACTGGAACTAGATGACAAGCTCTTCCGTTCAAATAGGCGAGTGTTGCTGGAGGCAACCATCGAATTGAACGTTTTGGTTCTCGAGTTCCACGAACTGAAGCCACGGGAATTTGATGCAACCTGCGTTCAATTAAATGAACTATACGGCCGAAGTTTCTATCAAAAATTGCACCTAGAACTTCGTATTCAACAATCCGATGAAACATTCATTCACAAAATTGGAACGATTAGGAGTATAGAGAAAGTATTTTTGTGGACCAGCGAAAATTCGTTTGATGGAAATTCGTGGCCTGCAATAAAAACCTTAAAGGAACTACATTTGAGCATGTGGATTGCATATCACCCGTTACAAAACATGGAGACCTGTACAACTAAACTCGCAAATCTCGAGCATATCATTTTCGATATGGTCCATCCGGACACAATTTACATATGTATGTCGAAACTGCACAAACTGAAGTTTGTCAAATTTTTGGAATTGGACAACGCAGATGAAGAAAACATCAATGACTACATATCGTTATGGAATGAGACGCGGAAAAAATTACGAGCTAATCGTCTGATTAAAGTTACAATTTACGTGAAGGAAAAGTATTATCTAGCTGCCAAATGGGCGCTTAAAGCAAACTTAAGCCACATCGAAGTGAGACGCATGGATATTGTTAATTATCCATTCAGTGATTATGGAACAATTTGAATATTTAACTGTTGATGCCAAATCATTTGCATTTGAAAAATCATGAAAAAAATACGAAACGACCATTTACATGGAATTAGCTAAATGAGGTGTATATTAACCGAATATATAAATAAATCTTTATAAAATGTACAATAAAAAAAACGGCTTCACGACGTCACTTTGGCACATCTGACAAAAAGGTTCTCAATGGAGCATCGAACTTGTCGTCACACGCGTAAATGTAGCATTTCACTCATAGTCTATGTAGTCTACTCGATATATCACGTGAAATCTTTGCGTGTGACGACGAGTTCGCAGCTTCATTGATTTTCACTTTATTTTTATTCAAGTTTGACATAACTCGCAATGTCCTCACTGTGAAGCAATTGTTATTATATACAATTTAAAGAAATTGCATTTAAACTTTCAATCATCATTTATTTTAATATCAAATCAATTTTTTTTTCATAGCAAACGGGTTTAAACTTAAGCTTAAAACACAATGTTTTTCAAATACGTTTTCATACTTATTTTTCCAAGCCATTTTTTATTTAATCTAAATACTTAGGGAAAATTGATTTAAATTAAATAATAATTACTCTTTTCCTAATAACAACAATGTGTCGATTGGGTCGACTTAAGTCAGTTCTGGGAATAAATCTAGAAATAAATGTATTGAATTGTCGTTTTTTTCATCGCAATACTCAGTAAATGGTAACAAGTTTTTAGGCTTTTTCACACGTGGTTTTAGTGATGTGCGAATCATGATTACAGATTTTATAGCATAAGATTATTATAATTGAAAATTTCATTCCGAAATAACTTGCATAGTTGCTTATCTACTAATTTTCAGAGAGCTCCAATATGTATTTAGATTTGTCAGATCATGTTTTTCTCATTTGGTATTGTTTTGAGCGCTTTATCGGAACAAAAATATGTTTTTTTCTACGATTTTCGAAGCGATACTATTTCCTCGCAGGTATTTCTGTAGCATGCTTTTCTATCGGTGAGTAAAATATATCCTCTTTTTCAAAACAGTTGGCTTGATGCAGGTAAATGTTTTACACATTTTCATTGCCTTATCAATTTTCTAATCAAGTGAACTTTTCTTAAACATTCTAAATTTATTTGTCGATGGTTCGCAGACGGTTTTTTACTGTTCGATCTCGTTCGGATTTTCTTGTGCGTGGTATGGTTGAGTAAGTAGTAGACGATGACAGAACTTTTTCCTGTGAATGAAGTAGAAAATATTTGATTAGATAACGAATGATATGTACAAGCGTGAGGGCAAATTAGAGACACTTCAAACATATTGTCAATGTAAACCAATTCAAAATTCAAACATATTAGTGAAAAGTATATGGATTCGGGGAAAAGTGCTTCATTTCCTTCTTATCGTTTCATTCAACAAGCAAGACAAGGTCTGTTCTGAAAGGAAGAACTAATAGCAAGCATATGGAGAAAAGGAACGGTTTAAAATCAAATGAACTCAAGCATTACAAACTCTTTTTTGATTAGGAAAACCAAATGCAGGGATAGTACAATGCAACTTTCATCAATTTAAAACAGTTCAATGGTTCTTCTCTCACTTACCACATCGAACCAATGAATACGAATGAGGGTTAGGCTTATGTGTTGAATGAGGTGTTAATAAAATTTCGTTCGAGCAAAGCTATGTGATAAAATAACTATTTTTGAAGTCGAAAATTTGCGTATGTCTAAATCGATATGGTTCATCATGGTGATACTGCTGAAGCTGATGGATGTAATATTTTGAGTGATTTGAGCAAGGAGATTTCGCGACAATTATTTTCAACTTGCGATGCCTACGAAAATGAACGAAATAAATGAACAGATGTCAAAAATAGCGCCACAATCAGAACTTCAGAAAGTTTTTTTCAAAATTATTATTATTACAGAAATCAGAAGTTCAAAAGGCCATTTAAAAGAAATGCTAGATATCATGATTTTAATGAACGCCATCCAAAGCATAGCTATTCTAACACACTCGGTCGATCCTCTTACGATTTGATTTTTTTTATGGTTAAATATCTGTTTCATGGGATGATCTAGTGTTGGACGATGCTTTTGTGCTATTTTCTTCCGAATTATTTTTACTTTTCGAAGCAATGGTTGGTTGGTATTGGAGGCGCTTTGCCTTTCTTGTGTTTCGCTTTACGCTTGGCAATTTGACTTGATGAACCACTTAGCTTACTGTTCACCGTAATATCGCTTGAACTACAATCGAAGTCACTAACACTCAACTGACTTGGTGTATCGACTCTAAACTCCCCCAACATCGAATCGATACCATCTGCATTAATTGACACTTGTTCGTTATTTTCACTGCCCATAATAACAATCGATGGGAAATTTGATTCAGTGTCGAGGAAAACGTCGCTGCCGCTATCGTCACTGTTCGTAGCAAAGCTACTAACCTCATCCTCAGTCAATAATGTGCTAGAATTCACTTCTCGATCATCGGGTAACATCGCATTTTGGTCATTCTGACGAAGCCACTTACGAAACAATTCGTATTTCATATCTAAATTACTGATGTCACCGATCGTCGCCAAGGTAGCCTCGCTTTCATCATTAACCTCCATGATTCGACTGCCATTGAATTTATAAGTTCCGCCATTTGCCTGTCTCGGCTTCAATTTTTTATTCGAAAACATTTAAACTGATTAAAACGTGCAACTACGACCAATGTTTGGTGTTGTATTCAATTTTCTTGTTTCTGTCGACCGAAAAATTGATGCACAATTTTTTGTGTGTCTTTGTAAATCAACTCACCTCAGTACGTTTGGTTTTCGGCCGGAGTCTCGTTGGATTTGTTAACGATGATGTTCGACTCAACGCCATCGAAACGGGTTCTGTACTGGAATAGCCGGAGCTTACGTCTTCTGACGACCTAATGTAGCTGTGGATAGCAAAAACACGAATTGGATAACGGAATGAATAGAATGGGTGAATGACCGTAGAATACTCACTCATAGTTGTCAGAGCTTCTGGACATCATGTCATCATAATACACGTCAACCGTTCGGCTAGTAGACGATGATCTGTTGATTCCGTTCACATGTTGGTTTTGAATATTAGCCCTCATGTATCGTTGATTTGGTTGTATGCGTCGATATTGAATCATTTGTTTTGCCTGGCCATACAATATCTCGTCGACTTCATCATGCGATCGCTGCAAGTCGGGTTCGGATAGATCACTTAAGCTGTAGCTTTTTCTCAATGTTGATACCAAATTTCCACCACCCTAAAATCATTTAGAAGAATCGAGAATTGATGACGGACGTCAAGTGGGTATGAAAAACCGCATAATGTTACTTCAAGCGGTTATAAGTTAAATTTATGCCAGTAGTTGATTAGCAAAATAATTAGCATTGTTGATGTTTCTATTTGGATTAGGAGTGAGTCGTCAAATTACAATCGTATTAGCATTTTAGCAGAGTGCTATGAAAAAAGTGCAAAAACAGAAAAAAACAAGATTGGGTTACACAAACGCATAAAAACAAGAATTTTTTTTCCTTCGCTATTTATTTACAATGCAAATTCAATACTTTGATCCCACCCGAATCTTTAGATATGAATGTTTTGACATTTTTAACGCTTATCTTCACTTAACCTGTTTGATAGACGCATCCATTTTTAAAAAAAAAGCTTAGGTTTAATCGTTTGTTTTAGTAGATTCAAGATCATTGGCTAATCAAGGCATTTAACTTAAAAAATATTCGTGTACATTAATCGAGACATTAATTTTAGCTAAAAACGAGATTACCATTTAAATTTAGTCTTTTTTTTTTAAATCACCACCTCAGTTTTTTCTCAATTTTATTTTTCAAGTTTTGTGATGCAACATTTAATTGAATGCCGATAAAGAAACTTAATTACTTGAGTCGTTCTCGTTGTTAAAAATCATTGTGAATAGCAAGCAAATCGAGTGTAGTGAACAAAAATCATAAAAGTACAGATAAACCTTAGCACTAGCAATCTGTGCCATTTTTCATCAGGCGTCTCCACTCGCATTGAGTTTGTATTGTGAATGTTAAGGTGCGTGCAACGCCCTTCAATGTAAAAAACAATACAAGTGGAGATGATACACGAGATTTATCTGTACTTTAAAAGCGCACTGAAGCTGCACGTGTCGTACGATTTTGGCGTGAAACTGGACTCTTTTTTGGTTTCTTCTCTTTATCTTTTTTGGCTTTGGCCGTTTGACGTTTGGATTGACCTCTAGTCACGATTCGATCAAAGTCATCATTGTCTTCGTCGAATGACTCGGTGACCTCCGCAACATAATCACCATCTGAACTGTTGTCATCGTTAACGCCATCATCATCTTCATCGAATGGAGTTCGGCTCGACCGTTCGGAATGTTGATCAATTTGCATTTCCTCTTCCAACATAAATTCCTCAACTTCCGAAAAATTATAGTCGATTTCGTCACGACCCCGTGACGTTGATGCTTCGCCATTGGTTATACGCAACAAATTACTGTTCTAATGTGAGAAAGCGGCGTAAACGCAATATTTTTAGGCCGTGTTGTTTGCAGCAATTGTTTTTAAATTATTGGTGAATGGGTGCATGTGCAATGAGTTATTTGTTACCAACCAAAAAAAAAGAACAGAAAAAATACAGTGGTTTAAATCAGTGGTCCATTGGAATTACATGCAAAGTGTGCAAGGAGTTTTGTGATTGATTATTATAAAAAATGTCTTTGAAAAAGAAGAATATGGTGCAAATAAGACACACGTTTTAATCAAATAAAAAAAAACTTTAAAAAGCGGTGGAACAAACACTGTGAGAGCGCGGGACACACATACCTCACTCACCTTCAAAGCAGTCTGCATTATCACACTTGTTGCGTAGTTCACCCCCTTCGAGCCCAACTGAATAACAGCACTACAGCCCTTCTCTTTGGCTTGGTTTATGTATTCATCGATTTCCTGTAAAAATTCATCGAGTGTTTTTTTGGTTAGATTGGTATAATTACATTATTTCAAATTGAATGAAAAAAAAAACCAAATTGAATCCTGTTCTTAAAATAGCTCAGAAAAAGAAATTATATCAAATTAATTTGGCTCACCTTCTCCCGTTTGGTCAACATCGGATGAACGAAGTTTCGATAGAGCACTGAACTGCCTTCCGTAATCGGTGACAACAGCCAAATAACGATTGCCACTTTTAGCTCATAGTAAAATGGGAACCACGATAAAAATACGTCGGTGAAAGTTTCACAGCATGTAAAAAATGCGAAAACAATCCAGTACATAATCCATTTGAGCTGAAGCAAAGGAAAAGTTCAATAAGTTGAAATGTCAATTGAACATAAATGCATCAAATGTACTCACATATTCCTTGACATCTTTGTGTCGGACCGCCTTATATGAAGCGTAGGCCGGATAAAGTGTACCGAAAATCAATCTAAAAACGGGATATAGAATATTTTTGCATAAAATTCGTGGTAAAAAGAAGGCGCACGTAAGCGTAGACAGTCCAGCCCCATTAATTGACCATAAAAACGGTAAATTCAACAATATTCCGACAAATCGTTGGAAAATATTCAATTGGCACCGAACAATGTTTATATTTTTCAAGCTCATAAACTTAGTCGGCGATACAATTGGCTCGTTAATCGGCATGTATTCATAGTTTGGGTCATCGAACGCGTCGATTTCATCATAAATTTCACTCGCTTCAATCGGGTCAGTAATTTGATCTTCAACAACCTGAATATCATCGGGTGATCCATTATCACTATCAACAACAACATCATCACTGATCGAGTCAACCATTTTAATCGCACTGTTATTCCACGATCGCTGATTTTTTCTATTCAATTGAGCAGGGCTAAAAATATGTCCACTGTAAATGCTCAAATTATTACAATTATTTTGCAATTTGCCGGGATTTTTCATGGATTTTTTTATATCGAGGGCGATGTTATTGGGTACTTTTTGTGAATTTTCAAACTTATTAATGATATCATTAATGCTGTTGTGAAATGTAATGATTCTCTTTGGTGAATTGGATCGGATTGAGGGCAGATGTTTTTTCGAATTTAATTTGGATTTCGGCATTTTGATGAGAGAGTTTTTTTTTGTCAAAAGTCATGGAACAAAGCACACAAGACCGAAAAATTACACTTTTTTTTGGAAACCACACGAAATTTTTTCCTTCAAAACAGCACTATATCACATGAAAATTCAAATAAAACCTAGATCAAAATGTGCACAGTTGCACACCAGCGACAACATAAAAACGGTTTTCCTATGTTGCGCACCGCGATTCAAACTCGACTATTTACAACACAAGTTCTAAAATTATTCTGAAGGGTCGGGAGCAGCAGTGAGTGAGCTAGCTAGCTCTCGACACGACCCATAATTTATGCTAGGCATTGTGCATCGCATACGATGAATGTGCACATCGTTTGCTGAATGTATGTGTGTTGTGTGGCAGCTCGGGCACTCTTTCAACGGCATGAATTCAACAGCTATTTTTGTGTTAATTACTATTTCACACATATTTCAGATCCGTGATCGGTGCTCTTCTTTCTTTGGTTGACTATTTTCCCGTTCACAACGGACACATAATTCAATAGCTCATTTCAGTTCAACACATGAGTCAGACTGAGTCAGTATTTTCTTGTCTCTTTCTCGATATCGGCTTATATATCCCTTGTGTGTATTTAAAAACAGAAGTTTGGGTATCGAAATTTTGATGAAGTGCGATGGTATCGTTGCATGAATTCAGAATACGGTTTCACTGGTGTGTGCGCACAATTCTTTAAATAAAAATGCAAAAAAAAAATTCCTCGGGAAACGAGATCACTTCGAGTGATGGAAAATGAAATATGGGATGAATGCTCTCAAACGAAACTGTAACGTATTTCTTTTTATTTACTTCAACGATTGCAACGTCTCTCGTCGAGCGAAAAACTATTTCACTGGCTCAACACAATTCTTTCGCAGTCGGTTTAAGTGTTTTTGATTTATTTTAAAATTAGATAGAAAAAACCGCCGCCATTTGATTGCGATGCCGCTTGACCATAGTATTTGAGCTCCGACAATGTTCAAGTGTGATTTTAATAAGCAGCTATGGCATGCGAATTAAGACAAAAACAATAAGCGCCGATTAAAAATATGATGTGCGGAAAATAAAAGAAAAACACATTTTCCAGATGAAAAGATGAATTAAAAAACTGCAATCGCAAAAAATTCCTTAGGTGGTGGAAAGATGATGGATCGCTATTTCGAAGCATGAACGGGCACACATACGCAAAGCAAAGCAAGTGTGACAGCGATGAGATGGCATATTGTTTACTTAGCGCGTAATTCAAATTCTGTGTAGCGCCTTTCTTTTCGCCAGAAATGAGTCGAGAAAAAAAAACGTGCGCTCAATTCATGGAAACTCCATGTACTCGCTCGAATTATTTTCTCCGTTTCCCTTTGTACGCGGCCAACCATTGCGCCACCGGAATGGTGTAATTATACAGCAAAAATAGACAGGTCATTTCAAATAGCTCCCACACAAACGACTCCAAATGCGATGAAACATATGCTTGACATTTGATTTAAGCAAATTGATTTTTTCCGTACAAATTGCAATAAATTGAAATTTACATGCCAAATGCATTACGGTATTCATTGATCTCAATCAACTGTCGAGCAATGAGAGCGAGATGGTCGCGTGAAATTCAATTAACGAATCCGCAACAAAATGAAAACTATTGCGATTCAAAGTGAACAAAAACGTCTAATTAAATTTTATTAACACGAAGCCGTATGAATGTGGCTGAGGCACGAAGCAAGTCTGTGTTAAGAACGAAATTCATTCTATGTGTATGATTATAGTTAATTGGGACCTACAATAGATGTCGTGAATTTCGATTGTTGAATCTATTGATTGTTTTGGAATGTGGACGGAAAAGGAGGTTCAGAAGATACAGGTTGTTTTTCAAATGATTTTTTCAAAACCAAAAACTTGTGAAATAATGTGTATAATCCAAATCATATCACCACAATTCGAATAAATATTCTTTTCGTTCAATTTACGCTGTATATTCCAAGACAGAATACAATATCAAGTTAATGAAATGTAAACAAAACGAGCAAACTAAAAATAGCTGAACAGTGTACAAACGATACAGCAAATCATTGCGTATTAAAAGCTGACGAGACTACGACGACGACGACGGAGGCGATGACTCGAAGGGAATGAGATCCAGTTTCAGAGTGATGTATATATGTACATCGAACCAACTAACGAGAATATAAATTTGAAACCTCTTAATGATTTGTTCCGTGAATTAATCGTCTCGAGATAAGTAGTCCAGAGAGAGAGAGAGAGAGAGATATAGAGAGAGCGAAATGCATATAAATAACATGCGATTGTTCTCTGTATATATCAACAATTGTCTTGAAGCGATCCATCTTGTGTTTACTTCAATTGCAATGTTTTAGAGGTCAATTTATTTGTTATATTATTCAACCGAAGCCGATAAATATTCATTTAGCCATGCAACGGAATCAATGTTCAGTCGCGATCATTTTTCTTTTTCATTTCAACGTAGCCGATCGCGGTTGTTCCATTACCATCACTTTTCGGAGTGTGTGCGTGTCTATACGTGTGTGTACTGTACGTGCATGTTCAATCATGCGCCACCAACAACAAACATGATTATTGTTTGTTTATTTATGGATTGAACATTTCTCATTTGACTTTTGATTTTCGACAAATTATACAAATTGTCGAAGGAAATAATCAATCCAACTACTGACGGATGGCAATGGATGTGATCTCACTGATGCAATTTCACAATACTGAGCGAAATTACTCAGTTGAATTCCAATTCGAATTTCATATAATTGACACCGATTGTTGTGCGATTCGCGGCTGTCCTCCGTTTCGCTTTTAAATCAAAAGGTGGATAAACCGATGTTTTTTTTTGCGTCAATACCAAAAACAAGATTACATTTTCAACGTCATTCGTTCGAATGAAGTTCAATGTTTTTTCTCTCGTTTTTGCGATACACTTTCGCATACGTTTACAACTATTTATGGTCATTATTTTGAGTCACTCGGTTTTTTTTCTCGTCTGCCAAATTTTGCTGTCCAACGATTTATGACCATATCGGGACGGTGGATTTCTAATAAACGCTTGGCGAATTAAAAAGTTGATGACACTGTAGCGGCTATTTGGTTGTTTGGTTGACGGATCGATTTATAACATTTGAAAGTTCATAAAAACATTTTTGATTCAACCATTAGCCACTGTCGAATAATAGCGACATTTCTAACTGTCAAATCCATTTTTTGCCAACTAATTACTTTACAAAGAGAGAGTTAGAAGAGGAACGTCAAAACTACGGGTAAAAAAATTACATGCCGTGTTTTTTTTGTCAGAGCTCAGTGAAGAAATACAATGCGTTACATTCTCTTGTGCGCATTCGGTGCGCTGAATAGAGACAACAATTTTTTTTTCTATTTTGGGTGCGACTCAAACAAATGTCAAATGTTTGTACCTCTCTGTCTTTCACATGTGTTTTGCCGTTCGTTTTATTTTTGATCGACTCTAAGTACTCTCTGAAGACATTCAACTCGAACGGCACAACGGGAAGAAGACACGAAAAAAAACAAACGTCATACTTTAATTTGCAGTTCTTCAAATCACGTACACACATACCATAATTACGCCAAAAGCGGAATGGAAGTAACGGTTCGACCAAAAAAGCCCGGATGAACCGACACAAACGAAAGCCAATTTTTGTACGTCGAATTGTTTCGAATTGCAGATAGACACAATTACGCATTTTCATTTCGCTAAAACACCGCAAACGTGAAAAATACATTCGCCAAGCCTGGTGAAATTGCAAATCGGTATACAACATGTAAATATACGGAATTCCAAGTGTATGTTTTTTTTTTATATCGAAAAAGCTGTATCTTCTCTACTGACGCACGACTATTTTTATGCAAATATATATGATTTGTATTGGGATCGATCGATTCGAATGCGAATAACGGTCAACTGTCTGAATATTTTACTTCGAATGTCTGAAAAAATGCGAAGAATAGAAATGATTGTTTCTTTTTTCTATTTTCTTTTCATTTTTTCCAAACATCGATTGGTTGATGAAAACAGATCGATGTAATTATAGTCGATTTCATTTTTTTTCACTTTCTATGGTATTCGTATATTTATTTCGGTGTACGGAAATGGGTAGTAATTGAAAATTGTTTATTAGTTTGCTGGTTCATCATTTCGATGCAACAAACAAACATAATGACGTACATATAAAGCGCGTTTCGTGCAAACTATCGATTTTCGTCGGCGATAACATCAATAAATTTGAATGCAAAACAAACAAAAGAATCATCATCATCATCATCACGCCCAATAAAAAATACTGTACGAATGAAACAGAATTTCTTTGGTAAGCACCGAGTGAATCGTGTGCCAAATTCAGTCACATTGACATATTTAGGCAGAATGCGTTGATTATGTGTGCACCATACAGTGTAAATTGCATAATGAAAAAAAGCGATCACAAAATAATAAAGCAGTCGTTGACTTGAGCACAGATCATGATGGAGTGAATCATTGTTTCGATTTCGTTGTGTGTGTTTTTTTTCATTGTGCATCAGAGCAACCGAAAATAAAAGCAGATAAAAAGAACGATAGCACAAAAAGCGAAATCCCACTCGCACACACACACATATAAGCATAGGTTATGCTATGCACTGCGGTTCGCTTATGGAATTTAACATTGGAACGGTTACACTATGTTGCAATATTAAACTGGTGTGTGACATTGAATTGGAAATCGTCATAACTTCAATATGAACGAAGCGCAGTAAACATTGATTATTACTCGATTTGGATTTCAAGTGGAACATCGAACACTGACACTATGTCTCGCATTTAAAATTCGAGGTGAATGCGGCGAATCAATCGAAAAACTTGCGACCGAAAATAGCAAATGACGAGAGAAAAAAGAAACCGAGCAGTCATTTACCGCTTGACATATGACCATTCGTGCAAAACATCTGATTCGGGAGGTAATGATTTGAACTTTTGTTTTTTGGCCTATTTAAACTGGGGCTGGCTTTCATTTCAAAATATTCATTTGCAATACTTACATAATAAAACGGGATAGAATTACAGTAATCATTTTATTTACGTCGTTGCTGTCGCTGTTATTTCGAATGCTATGGTCGAATTGATGCCACCTAAATTCACTTTCCGATTCTAATAGCACTAAACACTATACTTAGGTGGAATTTTTCTTCCTTCTTCAAATGCGAATTTTAACTAAAAAAATGTGTGACGTATTTTGGTTTTAAAAAGCTGCATCGGAACGATGGTCACTTTCTGAGTATCACAAAAATCACCAAGGAAACATGGGCTCGAGCGTCGAATCCGTCCGTTTCGCTGTTTATTTTATCGTCGTTTGGAATTCTGAAACATTTCGAAAGAATCGTTTAAACTGTTTGCATGTGAACGTGGATGAAAGTGTTTGTGCGTTCGTTTACTAATGTCGTATGCGATCGAAACGGGGCTAAAATTGATGTATCACCCGAATGACCAAAACAAAGACATTTTCGAAACGACACAAAAGAACTAAAAGTTTCAAAGAAGAACAAAAGATGATGAACACGCACGCACTCACTCACAAATACAAGCAAAGGACAGTAGCACAAAAGTTACACCAAACACGTTGAGATCAATCTAGTCACACCAATCGGCAATTAAATGACAAATTTTCATTCCACTAAATAATTTCTCTACCATTTTATATTTTTCACTGTGTGAAAATCATTACGCGCCTTTGTTAATGCGTCAATTCACCAGGAATTTATTGATAAAACTATTACATTTACACAACGGTGATGCATAGAGAATGGAGAAAAAAGGAAAAAACAAATAAAAATCTGTGCGTCGTAATCGCTGCACCATCCAAACAAAAAGTTATATATAAAAAAAAAACAGCACGAAAACTAAATCGGAGTTAAGCGTCTTTATCGTGGTTTTCGATGTTTTATTTTCGAATAGCGCACGGTTTCTACTATTCGTATGCTGAACTTTTTTTTTCAAATGTACTGTTGTTGTTTGTTTGGTTCGTTGCCAATCTTTGTCCGTTTTAACAAACTCACTACCATCATGCCGACACAACGTTTATGAGCGTATTTCGTGAGTAGTATATCTTTCCAGTGTGTTTTGTTACTTGGGTGCAAAGTATTAGTGCAACTGGTACATTGGTGAAACGATCGTGTGTCGATACAGAGCAGCTGCGTTCATCGATATGTGTGCGTGAAACATTTTGACACTTACATTTCGAGCGGCCTCAAGTCACAGTGACAGTTGTACCCGCTTGAAGTTGGATGTATGTTTGCTAGCCTTTTTTTGTACTCATTACAACTGTTACAACAAAATGCTTCTAAAATCACTGATAGCAATAGTTTTATGATTATTCTAAATTATTACTGTTTGTAACAAATATTTGTGCCCACATTTTGTTTATTAGCATTCGTTTTCCACAAATATTATTTCTCATAGATGTGTTATCTAATTGACACCAAATTTCGCAAACTCAATCTGTTGACCTCATTCACTTTTAATTGGCAAAAAATGATTTTCTGTTTTTAGGTCTAGACAACAAACAACAAGGCAACTACTTTCAAGTGATTATGATTTTATTACTTGTGAAAATGAACCTTGAGATATATGGATATATATGGAATTTGAAAAATGACATAAATACACTCAACGTTTACATCTTAGTCTCAACGTTCTTATGACAATATTTAACATTTTTATCGTATGAACAATATTTTATGTTCTCAAATGAATACATTTTGTAATCATTTTCTTGACAAAATTACAAATCTGTGGGAAAATCGATGGTATGAGTACCAAGTATGTTTGGATAAAATCGTTTCTAATTTCTATTTTTACTGATTGTTGTAGGTGTTGTCATATACTGTACAGTTGAAAGAATTATTATGTAACTATAATCTACATTGGCCATGAAAATTTTATTTTTCACCAAAGAAACATTTTTGATTCGTAAAATGGTTACTAAAACTTAAAGCTGGTCTGAATGGGAGACTTCGTCACATTGTATAATAGAAAAACAGTTTTAAGCAATTTGAAGGAATTGATTGATTTCTTGATTCTGGCTACTTATTCAAATCAAGGGATTCAACGAAATTATTGGAAAAATGCATTTTGAAATATGACATCTTTTGGTTTTCAATTGGATATACTCAATCAAAACATGTACATAAAACAATTGTCACGGTTTATCTTTTATTATTCATGCTCCATTTCAATTACACGTTCGATAGCTCATATTTCGCACGGTAGAAAATGACCCAAAACTAATTGGATCACATTAGTCTAATGATATAATGACATAATTCGATGAAATTTTTCTAAAAAAAAAATACACTCACTTCTTGCCACTGGATTTGCTTTAAAAAGAAGAACGCGGCAGTTCCATCGTGCATTAGATTTGGATTTTTGCAAGTGAGTAAATATGAAGACATTGGTGTTTATTCGTCGCATATTGGTAATATGTGGACTTTGTTCGGAAGATTCCGACAACTCACATTATGGACGTCTTATTAACTGGATAATTTTGGGCTTATTAACCGGCTTTTTGATGATCACTTTCGAGTACATTTACACGCATTTTGACGAACGTGAAAATGCTCTTTACGCCATCATGCAATTTGTTACATTTTTCACCGTATGGACCTGTTATATTTGTTTCGCGAATCAAAAGCAACTTACGTACGAATTCTTCGAAAATCTGCAGGAGATCACCGACAGTTACAGTAAGTTATTTTGACAATTATAAGGAAAACTTATTCAAAAATGTGTTACGGTTTTCTGTTTCCATCATCAAACGATCTGACAAGGAAGGAGAAATAGAAGATATGGAATTTATGAAGAAGCTGAAACCAAGTCTAACGGAATAGCCAAATGGCCAGCGTTAGTATTTTTTGGTGCATTCTATGGGGTCATCATCATATCGGTTATAGATATAATTGTATCTGATTTGATACCAGGTGAACTAAATCCAGAAAATTGGTACACATTTTATAAAATGAGGTAAGAGAGAAAATATGAAATTTCTTCTCCAATAAAAATATGAAAATTTGCGTTCATATCGATTCGTGTTGCAGTGCACCGTTTGACCGAAGCATGGTTTCTGGTTTTATTGGTTACTTCATTATTCAATTTCTATTATTGCATTGCTATTACGCCGGTTTGATACCCTGTTTCTCATTTTTCGTCGGTACTTGCTACTATTTGGGAGCATGTTGCGATGACTTGAGTGAACAGTTTGATGCTATTGATAACGACGTATCGCAAAATGATAACAATATCAAATCGAGATTGATTGCTATTGTAATATTTCATGTCAACCTTATTGAGTAAGTTCGATAATAGCCTATCGCCAAGAAGAATGCGAAATATATTGAATGTCTTTTAGGCAATTTAAGTTACTGACACAAATATTTAGTGGAGTGATTTTTTATCAATTGGCATGTGGTTCAGCATTTATATCGACCACTTTATTCCAATTGGATTTGGTAAGTGAAAAGAATTGGATTATCTTAAGAAATTGTGCAAAAATCGAAACTTTCGTAACTTTTTAAGGCCTGGGGAAATTTTGACGGCAATTTCTTTGTAATTCTTTGCGTTGTCGTTCTGAGCATAATGTGCATCCTGCCGTACTGCTGGTTCGCCACAGTTTTGTCGCTTCAATTGCATAATATTAGCCATGATGCCTATCATTCCATTTGGTATGTTCATCCACCGTATTTGCAGAAATACGTTCGATGGATCATTATTTATGGTCAAATACAAAGAAACTTTGACGGATATCATATTTTTAAATGCTCATTAGAGGTCTTTATGAAGGTAGAGAATATTTGTAAGCAATTATGAAACTTGCATAAAACTATTTTGTACGCAATTTCAGATCACAAAGGCATCTGGTTCATATTATTTAATGTTGAAGAGCTTCTAAGCTTCACCTTGAGAGATTACTCAACCAATTTCATTTGGAAAACTTGATTGAATTTTTATTCAAACCGAATCAATGTTAAAAAATGGTTCAGTTTGTTGCTACAGTACAATTTAATTATTTGAATGAAAATCACTTGTTTATTGGTAGGCAATTTCAGTTTCCTCCAAATAGAACGTCAATTCGTTTAATGATATATGAAACGTTTAAGTTCACAAAGATTTACTTTGTTAATAAAATGTTGATCTAGTTTCAGTCAATTTGATTTTTGAAATACGCATATAGTATAGCTTGCAGTTTCATTTGGGTCGATTATTTGGGCCCTTCTTCAGGTACAATATTGTAGTTCATGTTCTTCATAGAATAAATGTTGGAAAAAATCAAAATATTGAAAAAATACATTGTCAACTGACAGAAACTTCATTGATTTTGAACACACTCGCGACAAAATGTGGAGTTTTCTTTCCATATATATAAACTCTTTATTTATGGCAATTGGTAAAACAGAGTAAAAATTTTAATAAATTATATAAAAGTAACGACTTCATCAGTTCGTACATCTACAATTTTTGACGCTTTTCATTTTCCTGGCGCAATCGTTGAGTTTCTTGTACTAAA